GTAGATTGGTTTTGCTTGTGTTTTCTCTTTTTCTTGAAAGAACAGACTAGAACTATCTTTTAGGTGGAAATCAATATCAGCCATAATCACCAATTAATTCCTCTAAATAATTGTGAAACTAAATACACAACAAATTAAAATATACAATTTAAAACATAGACTGTAAACACAAAACAGATTTTTAACAGTCTTCATGATATATAAGTGACATATCATACAATTCAATAGTTCATTATTTAAAAGCTTTTCAATCATCAACATAATACATTTTAGAACATTTGTTCTTTCTAGAAAAATATAGGCCATGATATGAATAAATATATGTATAACCTTGTTCATCACAGCAGTATTCACAACATCCTAAATTCCCATCGGTGGAAGGCTTGATAAGTAAACTGGTACTTCTAACTCTTCAAAACAGCACATAACATATTCAACCTAAAGGATATTATGCTGTATGAAATAAATTAATTGTAATCATGGAGGCATTGGACTGTTGACCAAAAGATCCATGATTCACACCCATGAGCTGCTTCTCGGGAGAAAGATGAGGCTGTGTGCTTCTGTAAAGATTTACAAAGCCCAGAAAACTCTGTATAGGTTCACTATATGTTAGCATTAACTCGATGGCAGTGCATTTTTGTTTTTAGTCATAGAAGAACAAATACTGTATAAGACCACTATTTTTGAAAGTCAAGAAAGGGTTTTCACACTAACAGACACTAATTGAAGGGATGTTTATCAGAGGTGGGAGGTGAAGAGAGTAAATCACTAGCCAGGAGTAGACATCATATATGTATATATACTATGTATATACACATATGTATGTATATCTCTAAACTTCCTAAACATTTAAATTTTAGAAAACCTACCAAACTCATTGACATCTGGTCAGTTCTGTCTCAAAATGATCCTACAGAACTGGGTAGGAACCCTGTAGGTTTCAGAGACTGTAATTCTTGACAGGAGTAGAAAACCCCACCTTTCTCACAGAGTGGCTGGTGGTTTCAAACTACTGGCCTCATAGATAGCAACCGAATTCATAACCACTATGCTACCAGGACTCCTAAAATATACATATATATTCCCAAATAAAAAGATACTGATGTTTTTATCCCACAGACATTTCTTCCGATAAAATGTTATTTAAAATGGAAAACAAATTCTAATACTGGGTCCAAAACAAGTTTAAACAGGAAATCAGTAGAGATAATTATGTTAGGCCTTGGCTTAGACATGTGTTCTGGAACTTCATCTGACCTTGACCAAGTCATCCATAAAATGAGAGGGGCCAACTAGATACCCTAATCCTAAAAATCACGAGTCTATGATTATCTGTGAACTTTCGTACTAGATTCAGCTCTTTAAAGGGGAGATTGCTAACCAAAAGATCGATGTTTCAAAAGCCACCAGCTCCCCAGCAGGAGAAAGATGTCGCAGTGGGCCTCGGAAACCATATGGGGCAACTCTACTCTATCCTACAGAGTCGTTATGTGTCCTAATCACTGACTGCACTGGGTTGGGTTGGGATTGAGATTACGGCAGAAATCTTTTATGTCTACTTCTGTTACTAGACATCAGTCTGCACCTAGTGTTCAGCACAGTACCGGAAGTGTAGGTGCCCCCAAATCATTTATTAAAGGTATAATTTTAAAAACTGAATCCTGGGCTGGAAATTTCTATTCGTAATCCTGGGGTGAAATTTCTATTAGTAATCTTAGTTTTTCATTTACAAAATTACGAGGTTTCTTCATCTTGCTATAAAATAATAATTTTGCTACCCAATCCCATCATTTCGCTAACGGGTCACCATTATCCTGCACGCTCGGCCGTTGGGCCACACGTGACGTGAAACGTCATTACTTCCCTTCCATATATGTCTGTGGGACGCAGGGAACGACGGCGAGTTTACTCACCTGCTACAAAGCCCGCCCCATGGCCACACCCAAACCGGAAACGAGGATGCCACCGGGATTGACGGGAAAGCGCGGTCAGTTCGGCGCTCCTCGGTGCCGCCCCCTCCGGTGACGTCAGCGCCTGCCCCTTGACCCCTGCGCTCCCGCCCCTTATTCTGCTTTCTCAGTAGCCGGCGGCGGCGGTGGCGGCTTGAGCCTAAACTGGCGATGGAGGAGTCGGAGTTCGTGGCCGCGCGTGAAAGGGAAGCGGCGTCCTGCTCGTCCTGGGGCGCCGGCAGGTGAGAGGACGGTTAGGGCCGCGAGGAAACGGTGGTTGCCGGCAGGACCTGAGCTTCGGCTCTCCGCGTCTCCCCTCGGGCGGACTGGGGGAAGCGCGAGAGGCCGAGGGGCCGAGACGAGCGGGCCCCAGGAGGCGCCGAGGGCTCGCGGGGTGGGTGTGACGGCGCGGGCTCCGGGCACAGGACGCTCTTGATTTCTCTCAGAAGAAAGCCCATTTCCCGCCCCTTTCGGCGCTTTCTCAGTTCCGTTCGGGGTCTGACGACATCTTTTCTCCCGGCCCGCGGACAGGGGGGCTCGCGCCTGGACGACGCCCGTCCGGACGCCCGTCGTGGTGTGAACTTGACAACTCCGGCGCCAAGCCCCTCGCCCCGCTGCCCGCCCTCCCCCGGGAAAGCGTTACCCGAGGGCAGTTAGTGATGGTTCCGGAGCGGTCTGGACGGCCTGAGGCCTCTTGATCGTAGTTTGTTTTGTTTTCAGAAAGTTGGAAAAATAATCCACAACTTACCCATTCTTGTTTCCTAATTGTTCATGCGCTTAACCTCCCTACCAAAGAGGGCGGGATGTGCGTCTTGGGACGACGCTGTTTCTTGGCGAGTAATTTACTTCCCAACCACGGCCAGGGTAAGGTCCCTACCTAGATCTTGGTTCCTCGCTCTACGTCCACGGCTGCGCAGGTGGCCCAGTGCCTTGGTGGCGTCGGGCGGCTCACCGAAAGGTCAGCAGTTCGAACCCTCCAGCCGCTCCACTTCATGGCAGAAAAATGAGGTGGTGCTTCTGTAAAGACTTGCAGCCTCGGAAACCTGAAGGGAAGGCGCCCTGCTGCCTGTAAGTTGGAATCGACTAAAAGGCATTTGGGGTTTTTCAGTCAACTTCGCAATGATTTCTGGTGGCGTAATGCGTTATCCCGAAGGTCAATATTGTGAACCGTATAGTTGCTCTTCAGAGAAAGATGAAGGTGTCTACTATTATAAATATTTACAGTCTCGGGAAACGTGGGCAGCAGTTCTCTTGTCTCCTGTTTGTGCTCTATGAGTCGGAATCTGCTCCTTCAATGGGGTTAATTTGGGGGGGTTTAATTGTACTATATTTTCATTTAACTCATAATTAGTAAAACTGTTAGTTATCCTCTTCCCGGTGCTAGAAGATTTTTGCCATTTTAGAAAAGTGTGTTCTGAAAGCTCTGATACTTAAATTTCATTTTCTTTAGCTTTAAGTCCAAAATAAAGGGAGAGAGTTTCAGTTTCTAGCAAAATAATTTTTAGTCATACCAGTGGGTTTCATTGCTTTTTATTTCTTTCTGTCTCATTAGTGTAGTGGACCAACTTACTCTAAAATGGAAGTTAACCACAGATAAAAAGGCTAGAGTTTACAACACACCACAAATGGATCCCATCAGATTACAAAATGGAGGACAACTACACACTGTACTGTGAATCATGGCCTAACCTCAGGCTCAAAACCCACTGCCCTCAAGGCGATTCCAATTAATAAATCCCTATAAGACACGATAGAACTGCCCTGTGAGTTTTCCAGACTGCAAGTCTTCACTCAAGTAAAAAGCTACGTCTTTTGCACATGAGGAGAGCCGCTGTAGTTCCGAATTGCTGACCATGCAGTTAGCCCAACGCGTAGCCACTGCACCATCAGGGCTCTTTGAGGGACACAATTTGATCCATGACAGTGTCTACTATCTGGTTGACTTTTTTTACAACTAATTAGCAGCTGATAACATCTGATGATATCAGCTATTGTTTGGTAAGATAAATGATGACAGTGTTATGACACGTGTTTACAAGTTTTTTGGCCTATTTTTGTGTGCCAAGCTTTAGAACAGTGGATTCTCAAACTGATTTGTGTTCCAGACACGTTGTTTTAAGAGTATTGTATGTAACAGTTTTACAAAGCCTAAAATGGATTACACATTGGCCAAAATGATAATCTGGGTTCTCAAAGTGGTGGATCAGGTCCAAACACCCCTGACTGGATCCCTCTGGCAGTGATTCATTTCTGTTTCCTACAGGTATATATAGTTTATATACTGCGCTCTGAAAAAGTTTAGGTACACTGCTATAGATGAACTATCGCTAATGTAAGTCATATGCTGTTGAGTTGATCCAACTTGTAGCACCTTACAGGGTAGTAAGCCAGCTTTGTTTCTTGGGCTAAAATCTGTATGGGAAGAGATCCCCAGGTCTTTTCTTCCCCAGAGAAGCTGAGGGCTTTAGACTGAACCATTTGGTTAGCAGTCAAATGCTTAATCATTACACGATACCTTAGGGTCTTCCCTGTCCCCTTCCCCTTACATCTAAAATTATTTTTTTTAATTATTTGAAATAAGTATTTCTTTAATGCTTCCTTTATGCCTACTGTGAGAGGTAGTAGGCAGCATAGCCCAGTTAAGAGCTGGACTGACTGGGTCACAGATTCTGCCCTGTTACCTTTGGCAAGTTATTTAAGTTAAAGGCTCACCGTGACCTCAGTTTATTCCTTTTCTATTCAGTGAAGAGTAATAGTTTTTAGTATCTAACTCATTAGGTGGTTGAGAGGTTTAACTGAGAATACTTAGAACACTCAATGTGTGGCAGAATGTTAGCTATTTTTATTATTAAATACCAGGCATTATTTTAGGTATTTGGAATACAGTATTGAGATTTTAATGGGGCATGCATTCTATGGAAAGAACCAGAGAATAGACAAGTAGGCACATTTATAAATAATAATATTTCAGACATAAAATATAGCAGTTAGGAATGGCATAAGAGTCATTGATGGAGTGATCAGGACTGCCTCTAACAAGGTAATACTTTTAAGGATGTTTAAATGATAGGAGTTAGCTATGCATTAATGTGAAGGAAGAACATTTTAGGCAGAAGGAACGGCAAATATAAAACCTAAAATCAAAGCAAACTTTCTGAAGCACAGCAAGTAGTGTGACTGAAAATAGTTAACAAGTGGGTGAGAATAGTGAGCATTGATTGGATTTGGAGAGGTAAAGAGACAAAACCTATAGCCCTTTTAAGGATGATAAAGTATTTGAATTTTATTCTATGATGAAAAGAAACCTACTGGAGTAGTTCTAAAGAAGGCAGTGGCTGCATTTTAAAATGAAATTTTTAAAGACCCAGGCTGTTCTGGGGAGAAAAAAACCTGGAGAAAGGCAATAGAAATAGGGAGACTAGTTAGGCTTGCAAAGTAGTTGAGGTGAAATGTAATGGTTTGGCCTAAGATTTTGTGGGTTTAAGTAGTGAAAAGAGATCATATTTCTTGTTGAGCTGCTACAGACTTCTGTAGATTTTAGAAGTTAGGCCCTTGTCTTATGTGACATCATTTTTTTTCTCACTGTTAGTTTTCTTTTTACCCTTTTGATGACATCTTTTCATACACATAAAAGTGTCTTTTAATAGGTTTCTGTGTTTACTTTGTTATATTTGATAATGTGTCTGTCTTGCAGTATGTCCTGGTTCTTCAGAATGAAATCCAATTTTGCCAGCACCATTTTTGAAGAGACTGTCCATCCCATTTGTGGTAGGCCTAGTTGACTAGTGAAAGAAAACCAAGAACATGCATATATGTGGGAGAAAGGTTTTTATCAAGAAGTAGTTATAAGGAAAACATTCCAGGCCTGATCAGGTTCGATACTAGTCCATAAACTCCTCTTCAGACTCACGCAATCACAAGCAATGATACAAAATGCAGGATCGAATGGCAGTGGCTGCATCTCCAGGGGTCTGACAGGTCTACAGCAGATCTCTTCAACAGGAAGGTGAAGGTAGAGGGTGGGTAGGGGGCCTGACCTCCAGCAAGTTTGGTTGCACCTACAATTGAGGTCATCAAGCTGCGACCTGATTGATAGACTAAAGTAAACCCCTACACTTTACTTATAAAACTACCACACCACTTAATGTTTTTTTAATTTCATGTCAAAGATCATTTCTAGGTTCGCTATTCTGTTCCATTGGTCTGTGTATCTGTCATTGTACCAGTAAGTGGCTCTGTAGTAAGTCAGGAAGTGATGGGCTTCCTACTTTGTTCTTTTTAAGAAGTATTTTGCTTATCCTGAGCCTCTTTTCTCTCTTTATGAAGTTTTTTCATCTTAAAAGAACAAAGTTGGTCTCTGGATCGGAATTGGATTATATTTATCAATTGCTTTGGGTAGTGGGTAGTATTGACATTGTCACAATTTTAAACTTTCATCAGCCACTCCTTGGGAGAATGGTAGGGCTTTCTGTTCACATTGAATTACAGCCTCAGAAACTCACAGGAGCTCTTGTACCCTGCACCTGGAGGGTTGCCATTGACTTCATGACAGTGAGATCTGTGAGTATGGAATATCTTCCATTGTGTAGGTTTTTAGTTTCCTGTAGTAGTGTTCACAGGTTTTCTTTGTGCAAGTCTTTTGTTTCTTTGGTTGTTTACCCGAGTATTTCTTTTTTGTGTGATTATTGTATTGTAAATGGTTTTATTTTCTTAATTTCTTTTTTAGAACTCTTTAGTATACAGGAATCTAACTGATTTTTTATGTTAACGTGTTTGTATACGTCTTTGCAGCCAAATATCTCAGTTGCCAACATTTTTTGGGGGGGGGTCAAAATTTTGGAATTTTGTACATATAATATTATAACTGCAATTAGCGAGAGCTTTTCTTTGCCAATCTGAATTTCTGTCTGCTTTCTAATGTCTAATAGCTCTGACTAAGACTTCCAGCACAATGTTGAATAAAAGTTGAGATAAGGGTCATCCTTGTCTGGTTCCTTTATGAAGCGTGAATGCTTTCAGTTTCAGATTTGAGATAGCTCTTGAAGGTAGAACCAACATACTCACAGATGGAGAAAGTGAGGGAATGAGCTAAGAAAGAGGATACCTAGATTTTTGACCTGAGCAATTAAGTAGATAGTCATATAAGAAACAAATTGTGAGAATACTGAGAAAGAATAGGTTAAGGAGCAGGAGTTGAGCTCTATTTTGGGCTTATTATATTTGTACTAGAGGCCTTGGTGGTACAATGGTTAAGCACTCAGCTGTTAATAGAACAGTGGTTAGAATCCACCAGCAGCTCAGAGGGAGAGGTCAGACAATTTGCTCCCTCTTTTTACAGCTCTCAGCCTAGAAAATCTAGAGGTAGTGCTATTCTGTCTTACAAGGTCGCTGAGTTGGGATCACTCACAGCACACAATAATTAACCATGTATGTGATGCCAATCAGACATCAGAATATAGATACTGTTTTGGCAAGTGTTTAAAATCCAGCTGTGAAGAGAACAAATAAAAAATTCAGTGTATGGATGGCATCAAATTTCATGAGGCTGAGTGACTATATAGGGAGATCATGTTGATAGACAGCAGAAGAACAATACATCCAAGCTCAGAAAGTACTTCCAACAAAACTGCCAAAACTTAAATTTCATCAGAATGTATATAGTAATGGTAAAATAATACCTGAAAATATTTCCCCCTGAATTCTCACCTTTCATGTGAGGGTTTGATTCCTGGCCAAACACACCTCATTTGTGCCTACCACTGCTCTGGAGAGTTTTATGAGTGAAGCATGCAGATTCAGATAGACTAAGAAAAAGGTCTGACAATCTAATTCTGAAAATCAGCCAATGAAAATCCTATGGTTTACAGGGATCAGGCAATGTTCTGTTTTCCTAGAGGTCACCAGAGTCAGGGGCAGACTCCTCAATGGCAGCTAACAGCAATAAAAACTGGAGTTTTACAATACATGTAGGACAGAGCAAGCAATTCATCCATGGATGTACTTTCAGTATTTTTCAAAAAGTAAAATGAAGTGATAATAAAATGTTACTCTTACAAAACTTGGTAGTTAGTTACCCTGATGACATACAGTAGAATGTAGCAATATAGAGTATGAATGTTTAATAACCATACTTTCTCTTATAATTTTGTTTGTCTATTTTCAGAACAAATACAAATTTGCCCATCATGTCGACAGACTCTTTGGAGATTGATGATGCATTATATAGGTAAGAGCCTTGTAAAAGCAGAAAGTTTTTCTTAATTCATTGCTTTCAAGTTATCTTTTACAAGATACTATCAGGCTTAGAGCAAATTTTGTGAATATATCATAAGTGTGTCTTTTCAAATTAAAATGAAAATTTTTGCTTTTTAAAAAGACTATAGTCTGAAAGCTCTGATAATACCTAAATAACATTTTCTTTAGTTTTAGTTGATGACTAAAAATGATTATAATAGTATTCAGGAATACAGTTGCTTCATGTACTCTTACTGGCAGTATAGTATATTTGTAATATCTCTAGATAGTGGGAAAGTATAACATGATTAAAATGATGAATAAATTTAAGTGACTTATGGAATACAAATTACAAATTTAAGGAAAAATTAAAATCTCATTGGTACTGTGCCTAAGAATTCTAATAATTAGAGTTGTTTGTATGGAAGATAGTCCCCATTTAAAAGTTACTAGTTTTCTTTGCTCTATAATTATTAAAAATAGCTGGGTTTTGTAGGTATAATTTGGAAGAATATTCTTAATCTGTATTCTCTCCCCCCCTTTTTTATTTTTCCTGTGCAATCCAGAATTAATTATGAGCACTTTAGAGACAGCTGATAGAGTCTACCAGGTTTATTTAATCCAAATTCCAATTATGGTATATATTTAGAAAAATAGATGAAATACTAACAGTTTTACTTAGTAAATATTGTTTTGTCACATGGTGTCCTGATTATGAAATGAACTCTTAGTTGGTATTTACTATTAAAGCCCTTTTGGGCATATTCTTCATGGAATGACAAATGGTATTTCCCTAAGAGAGCAAGACATTGGCTACTTTTATTCACTATTTAGTTATAATCCTTGTGGGAAAAAATGTATAGCTTCAGCTCTATAATACTGATTAGTGAACATAATTTTTGTTTGCAAGTTAGATTAAATTTTCCATTTAATATGCTTTATATGGCTGCAGTTTTCTTGATTGGAAGTTTCAGAAAATAGCAAGTCAGCTGTTATTAAATACAGGCATGCACATTTGTAAATATATATAAGGAGAGGGGAATAGATCTATGTACTTATTTCTACATGTTAAGAATTAAGGTTGCTGATGGACATTGGGCCTCGACTCAAGTACTCCCTCAACACAAAAACACTTTGTTCTAATAATCCAGCATTTTATGATGCTCACCTTCCCGACATGATTGCTGAAGACAAAATGGGTGCAGAAGTAAATGTGGTGAAGAAAGCTGAAGGCTTGAAGATAAACAAGCGGCCATCTGGCTGAGAAGCAATAAAGCCCACATAGAAGAAGCACACTAGCCTGTATGATCATGAGGTATAGATGGGATCAGGTATCAGGCATCTAAGACCCAGAACAAAATCATACCCAATGTGAATTTGGGGGAGGGGTGTTAGAGTGGAGACTCCAGTGCCCATCTGTAGACAATTGGACATCCCCTCACAGAAGGGTCACAAGGAAGAGATGAACCAGTCAGGATGCAGTATAGCGCCTATGAAACACACACCTTTCCTCTAATTCTTTAATCCTTCCCACCACTATCATGACCTCAATTCTGCCTTCAGATTACACCAGCATACACACACTGCTACAGATAGGAGCCCACAACACACAGAATCCAGGATAGATAAACCCCTCAGGGCCAAAAATGAGAGTAGAGACACCAAGAGGATAAGGGGTGGGGTGCAGGGGTAGCGAGAAAAAGGGGGAATTGGTCACAAAGATCAACATACAACCCCCTCCCAGGGGGACAAACAACAGAAAAGTTAAGTGGAGGACGATGTAAGATATGAAAATAATAATCTATAGCTTATCAAGGGTTCATGGGGGAGGTGGGGGGGAAATGAGCTGATATCAAGGGCTCAAGTAGAAAGAAAAAGCTTTGAAAATTATGCTGGCAGCATATGTACAAGTGTGCTTGACAATGGATGAGTGTATGGATTGTGACAAGAGATGTAAGAGCCCTCAGTAAAAGTATTTAATAAAAAAATTAATTAAAAAGTATGAAGCTCAGGGAAAAAAAGAAATAAGCTATTTTCTTACCTACAGGAGCATGTCCTTTGGTGTAGTCGGCTGCTCTTTAAGTGCTTGACTGGTTGCAGGCATACTCTAAACCAGTGGTTCTCAACCTGTGGGTCACGTCCCCTTTGGGGGCAAAGGACCCTTTCACAGGGTTCACCCGTTTCATAACAGTAGCAACAAAAATACTTTTATGGTTGGAGGGGTCACCACAACATGAGGAACTGTTTTAAAGAGTCGCAGCATTAAGCTTGAGAACCATTGTTCTAAGTGGTTTACTAAATAAACTTGCAGTGTAGTGGTTTATTTAACATAACTTCTGGCCATAGTCATTATTGCTCCCAAACTACTTTTTCCTAATGGGCAGGCCTGGGTAAGAAAGTAGGGGACCACAGAGCTAGAGCTGGATGCCTTCAGGCTTAGGTGTATGGTATTTATTGGCGCCTCTCGAAGAGCTTTGTAACATTACACAAGCTGAAGCCAGTGGATCCTGTTGTTGAGAGGCCCAAGGCCAGAGAGACCTGCCTGGGGGCACTGCTAAAAAGAGTCTGTCTTGTTTAAAAAACTATATTCTGAACTTTTGTAGCCTGTTAACTTCCTTAATAAACCCCATAATTGTGATTATTGTGTGAGTTCTGTGTAGTCATTTCAATGCGTTATCAAACCCAGCTACACTAGAGTGCTTTGGACAACTGGAATCAGAATGGTAAGGTGGGACATACAATGACCTCAGTCGTATAGAAATCAGCTTTGGAAAGTTGATGCTTTTCATAGTGGTTTCTTGAGGAATGACCCCCTTATAATGTTCCTCTTATATGATAAATTTTACAGTACTTATTTAAATTGTAATATTTGCTAAGAATTTATCATAGAATAAGAATCAATAGAAGAAAAATAATGAAGGATAAAGGCAGCAATTTTTGTAAATAGTAGTCTTGTATGCTAAAATAATTGTCCGTTATCTTCAAGGCAGTCTAACTCATAGTGACCCCATAGGGTTTTATAACTGACCTTTTGAAAGTGGATCACAGTCCTGCCTATTAGTTAAGTTATATATTTTCTTAGAAATGCAAAGAAGCATGTATGTATTATAGAAACTAAATTAAATATTCACAAAAAAGCCTATTTCTATTCTTGGATTTAATTTTTTTTATTATTGACACTCTACAGAGTAAGGGTTTTGTGTATGTAATTTGAAGTAAATAAGTACTGCTTAGTGTGTACTTGTATTAGATTCAGGGTATTCACAGTGGTAGGGCACAAGGTATTCACAGTTTATGGTAGGGACTGGGCATGAAACAAGGGACTGTATACTACCTAGCTTAGAGATGGGTTTAGGTAAAGAACTAGATCCCAGAATAAACTGCATTAGGTTAGAATAGGATGAAGATACTCTATCCTATTTTCTTTCGTATAGCCTTAGACCTGGCCATTTTGTCTCTTATTACAAGTCCAAGTACATTAATATCGCTTACAGGCTTATAGAATATGATCCAGCTTAACTTTTTCCTGTAATTACACTGGAAATATGAGACCAGTTTCACCTTATCAATTCATACTTTTTACACCTCAGCTCCTCTGAGTGTGCCCTTTTAATGCCTTAAAAACATTTTCTTATTCTTTAAGATTCACTCATGTCTATTCTGTGATACGTATTTAGTTACTTAAATTTTTTCTTAACATTTTATACTGGTTTCTCTTTGAAGAGTCAAATTTTCCCTTCATGGTATACTGTTGGTTCCTTACATGATTCTCATTAAATGATTACTGAGTAGAACTAGATGGTAAGTTCAAATTGACTTATGTTCTACAACTCAAAATTGGATATAGAGAAGCAAAAGCAGATAAATTACTGGTTCAATAGCTGAGCAAGAACCAAAGCTACAAGAATGAAAGGGTAGGGTAGAAAAGATGTGCAAGTATCAGGGGATACTGATAATAAAAAGGTATTTAAATATTTCATTCTGAAACAAAAAACAACCTATCAGGCATTCTCTGCTAGATTGTCAAAAGAGGTATCTCAGATTTACATCTGGAGAATATTGACCACTAGAAGGATGGTGGGGCAGGAGGCAGGGGCAGGGTCTGTCTCTATGGAATGAAGGCATTTTAAACAAATGTGTTGTTTTAACACACCACCCCCAATGTGGGTATATTGATTTTAAATCACTAAATGTTAAATGTGACAGGTATCTTATATGTTAAAATTTATAAGGTCAATAAACATTTATTTCTTTCTGAATACTATAATTAAATTTCAGCTTACAGGTTTTTCCCAAACATAAGAAATTCTCTCTGAGTTTTTGTGAAATTAATAAATATATATTACAAACATTAAAAAAATGTAATTAAGTCTCAGCAATTAGGCTCTACTCTAAAACTGTAACCTTCATTAAGATTGCACCTCAGTACCTCAGTGCAAAGGGTGAAAAAATGCTCAAGTGGGCCATGCATGATAAATGTAGACAAGGTAAAAGTTAGCAAAGGTTCCACTTTTCTCGGATCCACAATCTATACTTATGAAAGCAGCAGTCAAGAAGTCGCTACCAGTTGCATTGAGCAAATCTGCAAAATGCCTCTTTAAAATGTAGAAGAGCAAAGACGTCACTTTGGGAACTAAAGTGTGCGCCATGGCTTTTTGTTAGTTTGGGGTTTTTTTTTTTCCAATTACTCCATATGTATATGAAAGCCAAACAATAAGGAAGATCAGAGAAGAATTAATGCATTAGAATTAGGTGTTGATAAACAATACTGAATATATCCTGGACTGCCAGAAAAAGCACACGAAATAGTGTTAAGTGCAGTCAGAATGCAGAAGTGTTTTTTGAATAAGTTATCATGAGGAACACTAGCCCCTGGAAAAAGAGTAAGACCTTTGAGATGGATTAACATTTTGCCTACAACAGTGGACTCCAACAAAAGAATTGGTACAGGACCAGGCAGTATTTCATCCTGTTGTACATAGGGTTGTTATTAGAACTGACAACAGCACTTCCTAGCAACACAAAATTAATTCCTTAATATCTACTAATTTTAACTACTAGCAAGCATTTAGTATTTTTTCACAATTAAAAAAATTTTTTAATGACATCCTAAACAATTACTGCCCACAAAGTAATTGTTCGGTGAGTTAAACTCACACCTACCCTATAGGTACGTTATGGATTTTTTTCTCTTTCTGAAGATGTGCCTGAGCCTGCCTGCTAACTTAAGAATTGAACTGAAGAAATGAATGAGTCCTACTTGAGGGCTCCAGCCTTGGTTTTCTAATGCTACTTTTACCAAAATTACCCTCCATTGAAGATAATTAATTAGGACCAATCATACAATAATAAAATGGCATGCTAGTGGTTTTTTTCGGCAGAAGAAAAAAACAGCCATCACAGAATCATTGTATGAAAGGGATAAATGTAAAAACAGAATTAGGCCAGGTCTGTGTTTATGGATGTAATATCATATCTTTATTCTAGTTTTTGTATGCATAAGTTCTATCTTTAAGAGTAGGAATATTCTAGAAAGTACAGAGGTTTTGTGAGCATTTTGTGAGTTAATGTCTAACCCTAAGACAGTATGTACTTAGTGTTAACATTACAAAGTAGGTATTGGCAAGATACTAGTAATAAAAGGAAAATATAGGTAAACTCACTGTTGGGGAAATTTTAGTACTCAAGGTAACAAGTGTAGAATTACAACATTTAGAATATTAAGTATGATTATTAAAATTAACCTTGTGTGTATGTAAAGACCTTAGTATTCAACATGGGGAGCATTTGTAAAATTGAAGAAATTCTCACAAGTCATTTAAAATAGAAATCACAAAAGATAACTAAGGTATTTTATGTGTAATTAAAAACCTAAAATATACTCCAAATTAACCCAATATCTTAAAAATCATAATTAGAATTAGAAAAGAATAACGAAAATGCTACAGCAAAACTTGGAATGCTGTTAAAGAGCAGTTAAAAATCAAGGTAATAAGAGTATATAACCCATGCCATACATGCTATAGTTGATTTTTAGTAAATGACAAATCCAGTTTTTTACTTTGAAACTCATTCATGTCATTAAGTCAATTTTGATGCATAGCAAAACAGAAGTGTTGAATACTAATTTGAGAAGGCAAGAGCTTATTATATTTTGTAATGCATAAGGAAAGAAATAGCTTGTCTATAAGTTTTATTCTGATTTGAACAAAAAAAAAAAACCTTTTTAGACTGTCATCATGAATATGAAAAGCAAACCAGAAATCAACAAGTATTAGAAACCAAAAGAGAATTCCCAGAGGAAATACCTTTAACCCAAAGATTCTAGAATTATTTTTTAACAAATTCATCTTTCAAATGATAATTAGGAAATTCCATTAGAATGTTCATTATCTATAAAGAGTATTTGACATTTCCTTTCTTGTCTATGGCCATTAAAATGTGTAGCTTCCATGAGCTTGTATATTTGGCAGCTTTTACATTTAAAGATAACATTCAAAACTATTCAGATCTATGTCATCTAAATTTGGAGAGAACCAAATTGTTGCTTCAGAATTTAACTTTATACTGAAAGTTTTAAAGTAGAGATAACCGGCTCAATTACCTATAGAGGAGGCCACTAAGGAATAAATGAGAGTCATGGAAGCTGTAGGAAACTTTAGAGCATTTACTATGCCCTCTGTAAACCGAGCAACTCTTACTCAACTCTCGGTGTCAATAAGCATATAGGGATGTAGGTATGTGTACTACAATACCAAATGTCAAATCTTCTAATATTTTAAATATTGTCATTTGGCAGTTAATTCAGAATTTTTAAAACTGTGCAAGTCCTCTAAAAATGAGTCTGAACAGGATCCAGTTTGGAGGCTATTAGTTTGCAAAAATTTTAATGAGAAATGTTTTTGTTTTACATATAGTCGACAGAGGTATGTTCTTGGAGACACAGCTATGCAGAAGATGGCCCAGTCCCATGTTTTCTTAAGTGGTATGGGTGGCCTTGGTGTGGAAATTGGTAAGCAGTATTTTTATATATTTTTAAGTATTTTTGAGGAGCATATTGCATAGAATTTAGCTTTTTCCCCTTTTATTTCTTTTAAAAGAAAATTAGATCCAGAAGTATAATCATATTCCATTTTTATTGTTTTAAAGCAAGACAGTTGCATTATACTGTTAAAGTTTTCTATCAGGAATCAGTAATGTTTATTGCTTCTCATGTGATGTTTATAATCCTGAATGATCAGTGCCAAATGCATTAATTCATTGTGGTAGCATACATAAGTAAATTCATAGAAACAGGTTTAGGTCTGGGCAAATACATTGTAATTTGTGATTGTGAATATTTTTGTTTACCTTTGTATTGCCTAACTTCTTACAAGGAACTTATATTTCTTGAATAGTAAAAAAATAAAGAATTGACCAAACTTTATAAAGACATTTCTAATATGCATTCTTAATAGTAAACTATTCATTTTTCTCTTTTTATTGTAGCAAAGAATATCGTTCTTGCAGGGATTAAGGTAAGGGAGAAAATATTCTTGGTAAGAAGAATCCATTTGATATGAACTTAAATTTTTTTTTCATTAATAGTGATAACATTATTTACACTTACACTTTACTGTTTCATTATTAAATATCAAAATTGTCTTAATGCTCTGCTTTTCTCTATCGAGATTTTTCATTTTGAAAAATCTCAATCTGTATAAGTAGATAAACATGTTTAACAAGTCCTCATGTACCAACTGATGACCAGATATATTTCAGTCTTCTTCCTGTGTTTTATCTCCCCTACTAAATTAATTGTGATGGAAATTCCAGATATCAAATTATATCATTCTATAGTATTTTGGTATGTATCTCTTAAATATACTGGTGCCTTTTAAAAACATAATCAAATACCATTTTCATACCTAGAAATATAACATCTCTATAACTTATTTAGCTATCTGTTGCTACAAAACTGGCTTAAGTTTTTGTGGGCTGGTAATCAGATGCAAATTATCAGGGTCTTCTACGCGAAGACCTTTCACAAAGCTATGGTCAAAAATGCTGCCCAAGCTTGTTTACATGTGATTTGCAGGATCCAATTCTTCATGGGACTGAGGATTACTTACTCACTCACTGGCTGTTGAACATTCATATGTTATCCTTGACCTGTGACTTCACCTTAGGTAGCTCACCAGAGCATCTTGCTTTTATCTGAATAAACTAGCAAAACAAATTGTAATCTGTAAATCTAATTTAAAAAGTAATATTGCTAAGGTCCATTTAGTAGAAGCAGATCACTAACATAAGCCTTCATTCAAAGAAGAAGAGCTTGATTATACCAGTGGTCCTCAAGTTTCCTAATGCCACGACAGTTCCTCATGTGGTGACACACTCCCCACCATAATATTATTTTCGTTGTTACTTCGTAATTATAATTTTACTACTGTTAAGAATCAGGCGACCCCTGTGAAAGGGTTATTCAACGCCCAGGTTGAGAACCATTGGATTATACAATGGCCTCAATATAAGGAAATGAAGTGGGTGAAGTATCTAAAAAGAGTTCATACTTTGCTAATTGACTTATGAATTGTTTGTTAAAACTTGATCTAGTAAGATTCTAACTAAAGTATATATATTAAACTTTCTTTCCTTTAAACTGTTTCCTTTCCCTGATTTTTTTTTGACATTTGTTAAATCAAGTATTTTGTCACATGTGCCTCTGCTCTTAATGTTTTTAGTAAACTAATACTGAGAATCAGATTGAATTTTTTGCCAGGATCATTTTACTGGTGACACGTTTTCCCATGAGACCATTATTTTACTGTGTTTTCCCCTCTTTTTTTGGTTACCATTATGAATTGGGCTGCTAACTGCAAGTTCAGCAGTTCAAATCCACCAGTTAAACCTCAGGAGAAAGAGGAGGCTTTCTACTCCCCACCAAGAGTTAAGTTGTTTTTTTTTAAAGTTACAGCCTCAGAAACTCACTGGTGCAGTCTACCCTATCCTGTAGGGTCACTAAGTCAGAATTTACTCGATAGCAGTGTTTGGTCAAGTTCATTTTGTATATGTGTGAAAGGCAGGATAATTATCAGTTTTCAAAATAGTTTCCAGTTATCCTCCAACAGTGACTACTGATGGTGTGTATGAGAGAGAGAGATGAATGCATTTGATACATTTATTATCTGTTATAATTGCTGTTCTCATTGATGCTTATATCATTTCTTATTTGGTTCCTGAGATCCTGTTCAAATTTTTGAGACTTTTTTACACAGCCCCACTAGTCTTTAATAGTCGCTACTGGTCTTTTTTTTTTTTTTTTTTGGCTCCTAATGAGTGAGCAATGAAATTTCTGAGTCTCCAGATTAGGTTTGTAAGGTGAAATTTCTGATTCACATTTGATTATTATGCTTGTTAGAAGTCTTTGGCTAGTACATAATTGCCTTTTGTATTTTATCCAGCGTGCATTCAGGATGAAGTTCTAGAAATGGTGTTGCACTGTCAAACTATATAACTATATAAAAGGTCATATATGTCCTTTTGCTATAGATTGCTAAGTTCCTTTCCATTGGTGGTGTATTCTCGCCTGTAATGCAGAAGTGTATGAATCCTCTCACCCTTCAAAAGTATATTGTCATTTTGATTGTTTGCCAGTGGAGACATAGGAGAAAAGACAATAGTTTTGTGTCTCTTACTATGAATGAAGTTGAACATGTTTACATATTTTCAAAGCTGTATGCATTTGTTTTAGATACATACATTATGTTCATTTATCTTTTGCCTTTCTAATAATGCTTGTGGCCTGTGTTATAAATTAAATTTTTCCCAGTATTTTTTTCTTTGAACACAATATATTTTAGAAGACTAAGTACTTAAATTTTCTTTATTAAAAAACAGAATAAAATTTGTTTATGCTCTGGGTTGCTAACCATATGGTCAGCAGTACAAAACCATGAGTTAATCCAAGGGAGAAAAATGCGACTTTTCTACTTTGGTAAAATGTTACAGTCTCAGAAACCTATAGGGGCAGTTCTCGTTTGTCCTGTAGGGTCACTGAGTCAGAACCAAGTTGATAACAGTGAACTTGGGGGTTTTGCGGTTTTTTAGATTGACTTTTATCTGTTTCTTTTTTAAGTTAAATTCTTTAAATCATTTTATTAGGGGTTCGTACAGCTCTAATCACAATCCATACATATATCCATTGTGTCAAGCACATTTGTACATATATTGCCATCATTTTCAAAATGTTTTCTTTCTATTTAAGCCCTTGGTATCAGCTCCTCATTTTTCCCCCTCCCTCCCCCGCTGTCCCTCATGAACCCTTGATAACTTATAAAATACTTTTTCCCCCCAAATTTTACACTGTCCATTGTCTCCCTTCACCCGCTTTTCTGTTGGCTGTCCCCCTGGGAGGGGGTTAAGTGTAGGTTATTTTGATCACTTCCCCCATTTTCCCCTTACAGCCCTGGTATAAGTACTCAATATTGGTCTTGAGGGGTTCATCTGTCCTGGATTCCCTGGGTTTCTCTGTCCATGTACATGCTCTAGTCTAGCTCGATTGGTAAGGTAGAATTGGGGTCATGATAGTGGAGAGGTAGGGAAGCATTAAAGAACTAGAGGAAAGTTGTATGTTTCATCAGTACTATACTGTACCCTGATTGGCTCATCTCTTCCTTCTTTAAATTTTTTCACTGTTTGAAGTAGTTTTCCTGTGATTCCTTTGGATTTTTCAGATGTATGTAGTCATATATTACCTGTATCCTTTCTAATTTAATCACTTTCTATTGAGTCCTGGTGGAGTAGTTGTTATGCTCTGGGCTGCTAACAACAAGGTCACTAGTTAGAAAACCTGCCATTCCATGGAAGAACGAAAAGGCTTTCTAAGCCAGTGAAAAAACTACAATTGATAAACGAGTGGCCATCTAGCTCAGAAGCAACAAAGCCCACGTAGAAGAAGCACACCAGCCTGTGTGATCAGGAGGTCTAGATGGGATCAGGTATCAGGCATCTAAGACCCAGAATAAAACCATATCCAAGGTGAAGGGGGCTGGGAAGGGGGTGCATGGAGTGGAGACCCGATGCCCATTTATAGACAGTTGGACATCGCCTCACAGTGGGGTCACAGGGAAGAGATGAGCCAGTCAGGATGCAGTATAGCACCAATGAAACACACAACTTTCCTCTAGCTCTGGTGCTTCCTCCTCCCCCCCCCCCCCTCCCACTAGTATCACCACAATTCTACCTTACAAATCGGATTAGACCAGAGCATGCACACTGCTACAGATAAGAGCCTGAAACAGGGAATCCAGCATAGATAAACCCCTTAGGGCCAACAAGGAGAGTAGAGTAGAGTAGAGATACCAGGAGCATTAGAGGAGAGGGTAGGGGAGAAAGGGTTGGGGGAAATAGGGGGAATTGATCACAAGGATCAACTTAGAACCTTCTCTCAGGGAGACGAATAACGGAAAAGTGGGTGAGGGGTGATGGAGAACGAAGTAAGATAAGGAAAAAATATAACTTATCGAGGGTTCATGAGGGCGGGGCGGGAGAAAAGGGGAGATGATGGCGGGCTCAAGTAGAAATAGAATGCTTTGAAAATGATGGCAGCATATGTGCAAATGTGCTTGGCTTTGGAGGAATGTATGGATTGTGATAAGAGATGTAAGAGCCCCCTATAAAAGTATTTTTAAAAAAAGAAATATTCCTATTTTAATAAAAAAATTATTTTTTTTTTAATTAAAATCTTCAAAACCCATAGGGGGCAGTTCTACTCTGCCCTGCCCAATCCTGCAGAATTGCTTTGAGTCAAAATTGACTCAATGCCAGTGAGTTTGGTTTTGATTAATGACTTCCTTTTGTCTAATTACAGAAGCTTATACCTTAGATAAACGATGATACTGAAGGTAGTGAACATCTGTGACTTATTCCTGACTTTTAACAGATGTTTTCTACTTTTTTGAAGGCACTCACAATTCATGATACAGAAAAATGCCAACCATGGGATTTAGGAACCAACTTCTTTCTCTGTGAAGATGATGTATTTAACAAGAGAAACAGGTGAAAATGAGCTATTTTGTTGTATTAAAAAGTTTTCTTTTTACTGTTATTTATAGAATATTTTCTGTATTCAGAACATATGTCACTCAATTGTTTAATTCATGGTTCATCTGAATTTACGTATGTATTAGCATATATGCACACACAGGTAGCGAGTTTATAGAACTAATAGACTACTTCTGTATTAGCAGAATCATTAGCAGCCTTATTATGGAAAATGATAGTATGTTATATCTCAAAATTGTAGCTATGTGTAAAAATAAGTTTATCTTGGCTTCTTCTGTAACTTGCTAAGTTTCCATCAAAATTTTGTGCCATGTCAGCTTCCTTCATCTGTCATTTAAGTCTGAAGGGTTGGTTATGTACAATGAAAAAATAATATAGATCATTTATTTTAATTTTTTTAGAGCTGAAGCTGTTCTTCATCGTATTGCAGAATTGAATCCATATGTTCATGTCACATCATCTTCTTTTCCTCTAAATGAAAACACGGATCTCTCTTTCTTGGATAGATACCAGGTTGGTACTCCATTTTATATTAAATGTTATCAACAGATTCCAAGATACACCATAAAGTGTTAATATACCACAATTAATTTAGCCTAATGTGTTGAAGGTCAGAATAAAAAACTTTATGAGATTTCCATTACAATATTTTTCAAATGTTCCATTTTAAGAAAAGGATGCAAGAACTGAAGTAATATTATCAGCCAGCTATAGTAACATATTACAATTCAAAGTTATATGCATAATATGCTGCCCAAAATTTGAAGATTTATTACACCACTCACATATGTATTCCTCATGCCTCTAGGCATCAGCCATAGTTCAACTTTTCTAGGCTAGAGTCTCAGTTTGACTTGAATTTCTAGGCTGTTGTGTTCTGATCCCCAAATCTCAAGTCCCTATTCATACTTGTTTTCCTATTGTTTTTATTATTTTACTCGTTGGCCAAAACCTTTCACATAATCAAGCCCAAAGGCAGAGAGCAAGAAAATATAGGTGATGTCATAAAGCTCATGGGGGAGAAAAATCTATGATCTCTCGATTCTATTTACCATGAACACGCTGTACTCTTTTGTATAGCCATAGCAAAGGATGATGTATAATATAATTAGATCCAGTGGTTTCAACTTCCACCAGGACCCCTGAAAACCTGAATTCTTACATAATGCTTGATCATTATGGTTACAGCACAACAAAATTTTTCACTTTGTAAGAATGGCACAGGAGCCACATCTTGTCTTTTTTGACTTCACAAGGGAGGGGGAAAATCAAACTCAACATTAGCCCAAGACTGAGTCCTGTGAGGCAGAGATCAGACATAGCTCCGTCCTTCTCTTCTGGCACCATCTTTCTCTACACAGAAACTCATAAATAATACATATACAGTTAATTAAGGAAATTAAGTTACAAATAAGGATCAGAAAATGCAACGATGAACTTGGGTTTTGTTTTTATGTGTGTTAGTATATGAAACCCAGGTTTGATGCACTATGGGGATAGCAAGTAGAATAAGGGTTTTGGGGGTGGGGTGGGGTGGGGTGGGGTGGGAAGGGAGAACAGTGTCAAGTACAGGAAGAAAAAGAATGGAAACCAATTATGGTAGCAATTGGACAATTCTGTTTGACATGAATGAACTGTGGAATGATATATATATATATTAACTCCCAATTAATAATTTTTAATGAATGTAATAACTATAGAAAAAGGGGAAAAAAGATGTGTTATACAATCATTACCACTATCAATTTTAGAACATTTTCTTATTTTATTAGTTCTCCATTTTCCCCAACCTCCTCACCATATCCTCAAGGAACCATTAACTGGTTAGTTACTGCCTCTGTAGAGTCACCTCTTTTATTAAATAATAAAATTAATGGCTTCACTAGTGATTTTATTGAAAGCAGAAGTTTATTGTACTATGCCATCTTTGATTTCCAGAAGTAAAAGTTAAGCTTATGTGTATTATTTTTTAAATACTACTACTTTAAAATTAGTATGTAAATAAACTGAGGTTTTTCTGTGTTATTTTTAATTTTGCTAGAAAAATATAATAGGATTGTATTTTTTTAAATAAGGATAGCAAGTATTTTGCTGTATTACCATACTTATGTACTATTGATCTACACTTTATACTACTACCTAAATAATTAAGGATTTTATAGCCTGTCATTGCTTATGTTATTTTCAACAGTGTGTGGTATTGACTGAGATCAAACTTTCCTTGCAAAAGAAGATTGATGACTTTTGTCGTTCTCAGTGTCCTCCAATTAAGGTAAAAGTATCATTTAGTAATGACATGAAGTTAAGCAAAGTAATATGGACAGTTTCACTGTCCAAATTGATAGTTCTTCAGTAGATTACATGAGCTCTTTCTACATCAGGACAATCAAAGACAGAAATTTGTTTTGTAGGAAAATTGTAACAACTAAGGGGAAATTAAAGCTAGGAATGGAAAGAACGTTAAACTGAATTGATCATTTAACCTTAGATGGCATAATGGTTGTGATAAGAGTTGTGTGAGCCCCCAATAAAATGATTTTAAAAAAAGATGGCATGGTGATTTTGAAGATGCTCATTAAAAAATATTCACTTAGTATCATGTAGCAGAGGTAGTTCTAGGCACTAAAGATGGTCTGTAACATAACCACATGAAAAGTTCCTCTAGTAATGAAAATAAATAAAAGCATCATATTTTCAAATACGTAGTTGTAAGTGATATGAAGGAAATAAAATGCTTCAAAATAGAGTATCATGTCTGGATGATGTTGGGTAAAGCCAACGCTAATTTTCTTAGATTGGAAGACCAAGGAAATCCTCTTTAAGGAGAAGACATTTTAATAGCTCCCTGAAAAAAGAGTCTGCCATGTAAAATTCTGGGTGAAATGTCAAAGCAGCGTAAACAACTTGTGTAAAAACATGCAAGTATAAAAATGAACTTGAGTAATGATCTACAAGTATAATGTAATTCCTATTAAAAAACCCAGCCCTCTTTTATTCTTTTTTTTAAAGGAAATGTAAAAGCTGATTTTCAGATTTATACAAAACTGCCAAATCTTGAGAGGAAAAAAGAACAGAATAGGAAAACTAACAGTTTGTCATTTCAAAATGTATTGCAAAGTTTCACTACTCTAAACAATATGGTACCGGTATAAGGATAGACATAGACCAGTGAAATAGATTGAAAATCTAGAAATCATAGTGTGCATTTTTCCAATTAATTTTCAGTAAGAGTGTCAAATCCATTCAATGGGGAAAAATAGTCTGTCAATCCAGATCCCATGGTTGACAAGACACACAGGCTTTGGGTGGAATGATGCTGCTTTACTCACAGACGAGAGAACAAGGTCAGCAACAATAATTTGTTTCAGCCATTGTCCAGTGAGTTACTACCTGTAACCAACTTAGGGTCGTTCAGTTGAGAGACCTCATCCACTTCCCACTGGGAACAGAAAATTATAATTGGATTGGCCAGATACTAGATGACATATATATATAAGGAGAACAGGGCAGGGGTCCCTGTTAGGAGGAAAAAGAAACTAGATCTGATGGAGGCTCAGTTCTTGGCCTTCATTATCATGAATTGTTCTAGGCTCAAGGCTCCTGCCTGATTAGGTGGTAAGTTAATGTCACAGGGACCATTATCTTTCATCTTCCCAACAGTCCCTCTCTCCTCAGTAGGACAGCAGATGGCAAAGAAAGTGGTCTCAAGTCCTGGCAATGCCATTATTCATTCCAGATGTTGAAATGCCTATCTATGACATGGTGGACACCTTTTGATATTTGTTAGGTCTCTACCATTTATTTATATCTTTAGGCAATATTCAGTAAGAATATCAATGAGATATTCAGTGATTATCCCCAGCAGGAAAATTGGACCTGCTGAAGGAGAACACAAGCAGCTAGCTACTCTGTAGTCACTGCTTCTCCCAAGACAAATGAATTTGTTAAAGACTGTTTCCAGTCTTGAAGAAGATTTGAACTGCAATTTTTATCTGCCCTCTTATGTTATTTATACTTGTCCTAATTAATTTATAAAGTCTTTTCTAATATGTCACATGCACCCCTAGTTTATGCTAGCATAATGTTCGGCATTGTGTAGTTCCTGAGGGCAGTTAACCACACAGTGGTAGGAAATGGAGAGGTGGCTATTTATATGTGTAAATGCTGACAGAGCCAGCAGTTTGTCTAGTTAACTGCTCTAGCAAAAACCTTTTGGGGCATCTGGATGAAAGGCTAATCTGTAATAAGTTAAATTTATATGGAGAAAGGATGAAATGTTATCAGTTGCCTTGGATGTGTACACATGCAGGTTGTACTATAAATCCCAAATAATCATGAGACTAAGGAGGACTTTAATATCCGATCTACTAAACTGTGTTGCACACACAAAGACACTCAACGCAGTGTTTGTAAATGAAAGTCATTCTAATTTATGTGATATTGACAGTAAGCCACAGGAACAAATTTTAAGTGAGCTTGTGCCCTCCATCTCAAATAGCTACCACCCACCACCATTAACATTACAGTAAAATAACCCATTTATGATCTAAAGGGGATCTGCTTGCCCTTCCCATATTACTCGTGTCCATTTGTGTATCACTGAGTGTGCATGCTGTGTATCAGGTGTTGGTACTTGTGTCTGCCAGCAGGTATATCACCATCTCTGGTTAGACATAGCATTACTGTTCGTTTTGTCTCTGCAGCTTTTCTTAGCTGGCTTTGCCTCCTGTGCTTAGTGGTCCAACTCTCTGTCAGCAGCCTTGAGATAATATTGGGCTTGTGTCAAGTTCATACTGGCATTTCAATTCTCGAGGCAAACCTGTTTTGCACACCTAAACCTCCGTAGTTAGGACAATCACTGTCTTGCCAAAGCGAAGTTTGGGTGGTTGATGTTAGCACAGACATGCTGATTGGGCCCCACACTGCTGCTTTTCACCACCACCAAGGGCCAATTGACATGACCCCATAATGTCTCTTCATGAACTGACCTCAACCACCCTTTACTGTAATAGGGTTTCTGAAACAGAATCTTTACAAAAGTAGACAGCTTTAACAAGTCAGGGATTTCCTAGAGCCAAGTGGAAATCATCCAATAATCTGGCAGCTTGTTGCCCAGCTAACCATTTTAGGAGAATTGCAAATCTCGGGTCTGAAAATTCAACGTAAGAGAAACCCATTCCATGTCACTCAGTCTCTAGCCTTCTCTCCTTTAACTTAAAGGGTTGGAGTCCTGGGTATATCCAGACATGTTGCTCTGGTTCCCAGGCAACAACTTCCACAGGAATCCATTGCTCGTGTCGCTTGAGCATGCCCTTTCAGCCCCACTTGTCTAATCCAGAGTCGTGATATTCTATACATTTTATGCAGCCTATAATATTACTCATGAAGCCCTGGTGGTGCTGTCAGGTAAAAAAAAGGAGGTAAGCACGCAATCATCAGCCACTCTGAGAAAGATAAGACTATCTGCTCTTGTAAAAATTTACAGCCTTGCAAATCTCATATAAGATTTCTGTAAGTCATAAGTGAGTCAATGGCAATGGGTTTTATTTTGGGGGTTTTGGATGATGTCACCCGTACCAAGGGGCCAAGGATCCAGATAACAGCCAGAGAGGCACTCTTTTGCTCCTCTTCTGCTTATGAGGTCTCAGGAAAGAGGAAAGAACCTGAAGGTAGCAGCATTTCCAAGTTTGAATTAAGAGATCCTATTGCTGGTACCACTAGATTGTTAAAAGTGCCATCAAGTAGGTTTGACTCATGATGATTGTGTTCAAGAGGGTTTCAAGGAATTCATGGACAAATGGAGTGGAGAGGTACTAGAATTCCATAAACATTGTGAAGCCCCTTTGTACAGCAGAACAACTGCCATCAGCCACTCTGTCAATCCAGCTTATGGAGAGTCTTCCTCTTTTTTCACCAACCTTTAATCTTACCAAGCATGATGTCCTGGAGTGACTTATAACCTACTTATAACATGTTCAGTGTGTGAATTGAAGTCTTGCCATCCTTGCCTTGAAGGAGCCCTCTGACTGCATGTCTTCTAACCAAATTCTTCTGAATGTGAGTGTTTTCAGTTCTGACTCATAATGCTCCTATGTACAACAGAACTAAACACTGCCCAGGCCTGTGTCATTGTTCCAGCCACTTTGTCAAACCATCCTTTCAAGTCTCATTTTTGCTGCCCCTTACTTTACCATGCGTGATGGGCTTTTCAAGGGACTAGTCTCTTGATACTATGTCCAAAGTAGTGAGAAAATGTCTTCTTGCTTCTAAAGAGCGTTGTAACCTTATTTCTTCCAGGACAGATTTTTTTGGCTCTTACGTTAGGGGGAGTGAATAACAGAATAGTAAACTTAGAGCATAAAAATTTTGAGATGATAAGAAACAAAAAATGATAGTAGCTTTTGGAGGTCATGTTTAGTACCGTATTTCTACACAAATAATACATGCGCTAAAATTTTCTTTCATAACTACCACATAATATTTTCATGAATGCCCCATATTAATTTGGTTTTTTTTTTGGGGGGGGGGGGGGGGGGGGGAGGTTTGCATGCTGATGGCTTCCATTTCCATTTTTTCCTGTCCCATCATTTTAATGGTGGGTTTTCACCTTGGTGCCTGTTGACCCAGAGGTTTGGTTACTAGTAGCAGAACCTCACCAGCCTACCCTTAAGTTTTCCAAAAAAATCTTCTGACAGGATTTTTTCCCCTGTTCTGCAAACCACTTTCTCCAGTACTAAAAGCAATCACTGTTCTGCCTGGGAACCAGCCATTGCCAAAGCTGCCAGCTCCAGCCCAGAACATATGTGGCTGTCTTCTCAAAGGATAGAAAGGCCTCTGGCAGGCAAGGCCAGTGTGCCACAGCTGTGTGCCATCTACCCTGCCATCAGGGTGGCAGCCACACTATACTAGAAGAGTTAGAATCTGATGTACTCTACGAACCTATACCATCCTACTGCCCCCACCCAATGTAGTGAATTTTCTGTTACTCATTTCACTGCTCTATTCAATGGGTTGTAAAAATAATTTTCCTGTACCCAAATTTGGATATAAAAGTTCTGTACTAATATAAAAATCTTTAATTCCTAAACCAATCTACAATATCTGATTCTCTATATCCCCAAAGACCTAACTAATAACAAAATAAATTGTCACAAAGGGTCTAAGATATTTGTGCCAGGTTTTATTTTTTTCCTCTTTATATAAATAAGTTTGAACATATTTATTTGTTATTTCACAGTTCATCAGTGCAGATGTCTATGGAATTTGGTCACGGTTGTTTTGTGATTTTGGAGATGAATTTGAAGTTGTGGATACAACAGGAGAAGAACCAAAAGAGATATTTATTTCAAACATAACACAAGTACGGTATTAATATTACTTTGTAAAAAGAATGTTGAATATTTTGAATATTGATAGCATTTTCATAAAGATGATATTAGCAAAATTTAAGTATGTAGAATGTTTATTGGTATACTATAAGGTAATTGATGAGGGAATATTTTAATTTCTTTGTTTTATAACAATGTTGAAGTTAGAATGGTAATTAGTTGTTAAGTGTCTTAAATTCCCTCTAACATTGTTTAATAAAACATGATAGATCAAAATTTGGATTTTTCATGGATTTTAATTTTTTCTACTTCATGTTCCTATGGAGCATGACTTGTAATTCCAAATTTTTTTGAACTGTTTAGAGTGTCAGAACATGGATGTGTTGACCATATGATAGGTCACCTGATCCAACTCTAGATACAGAAAGAGGCGCTCTTAAATCATCATAGACAAGAGCTTTTAAATCTATTTTTAAAACTATTTGGGTTGGAAGGTTGAGAAATTCGTATTCAAATAAAAATCAGTCATAATTTTCTACCCTGATATCTTATAATTTGATAGAATTAAAAAGTCCATTTGATCTCTTTTTCATTACTCTCTTTTTGGCTAAATTGCTGTGTTTTGTTTGCATGTGTTATAATCAAATTACACTAAAGCCCAAAAGAAACCACGTATACTTTTGCTTACTAGTATTAATGCATCTGTCTCTTTACTTTTGTTGTTGTTAAAGATGAACTTGTTTGTCACTATAGACTCCCAAATCCATTTCAATTTTACTTTTCTCCTACATTTTTTTTTTTCAGCCACTAAGACCAGTATTTGGGGTTGAGGAATAAGGAATCGGGGTGTAGGTGGTGGTGGTGGTTTTGTTTTGTTTTTACAGAAACATGTATTCACACAGACCATCTCAAGAAATGAAATCAATACCCTATTAAACTCTCCACATACGTAGTTCTTATCTTAACACTTTTTAAAGGAAAAGTCTTTGAGAAATCGTGTTATCTTCCAGAAGTTACTCTTTGAGTTAATGTTTAGCCAACCTTTTAACCTTTTTTAGTTGTTTTTACTTGTTCCCAAAATTGTCACACTGTCAAGATCAAATTCAATAAGTTCTTGTTTGCATTGGTGTTTTACTTTATTGAATAGTTAGACTTAAGGAAGTTATCCATGATGAATTAGGCAATATTTTTAGTGTTCTCGTTTATCTTAACAGTAAGTTATTTCTTCTTAATGAAGTCTTAGCTTTATGAATTATATTCTGATTCCTTGATATATTAACAAAATCACTATTTCTGTATATTTGTGGGATTTAAAATTTTTTTATTCATATTAAGCAGCAAAATAATATTTGAAACCTACAAAATTACAAGGACAGAATTGGTTTTTTGTTTTATGCAAATGAAGTTATATGGTAGTAATTTTCCATCTGTAGAATTATATATACTTCCTTGACTCATCCCATCTGTCCTCTTTGGAAATAAAAATAAATTTCTTCTTTGCCTGATAAGATGGTCTAAGAAGTATTTCTTTAAAGCATTTGGCATATGCTGCAAGCTACTTCTTTCCTTTCTTTATATCTCGATCATTTGCCCTTAAATTTCTTTGATCTTGAAAGTTAGAAATATTTTAAATTTCTGTGTAGAATCCTAAACAGCCCACCACAAATGTAAATATATTTTAATGCTAATGTAAAACAAGTTGATTATTATTTTGTGACAGTTCTTTAAAAGCCTGCTTTTGAGATGAATGCCTTTGATTTGGTAATTCTGGAAATTTTGGATAGCATATCCTTTTTGTGTACAATTTGTAAATGCACAAACTTGTTTTTTAGTAGGCTTCTCTTTTATATATAGGCTAATCCTGGCATTATTACTTGCCTTGAAAATCGTCCTCATAAACTTGAAACGGGGCAGTTTGTAACATTTCGAGAAATTAATGGAATGACAGGGTTAAATGGGTCCACACAACAAATAACTGGTAAGTTAATATATTTCATTACTTTCTTTGTATTTATTATTCAGCACTTTTATAATTCAAAGACTACTCAGATGGGAACAAAACACCAACTTAGACATGCGGTATAGCTGTTGCTTTCTAAGTTTTCCCATGAGAAAAATGCTACATTCAAACAGCAATGTTATAAAATGAATTTCAGAGCATTTGAGAACTCTCCCAAGTCTAGCAAGAATATCTACCCATTTTAGGGACAGCAGCAGTGGTGATCCTGTGTTTTAATTGCTTTTTTTTTTTTTTTTTTTTTTGTAGCCTGTGAGAGTTTGACTTAAGAATTTTCACTAAAAGTAGACAAAATGCATAGCAACCCCAGGCCTGAAGGAGGGGTATCAAATTGAGATGTTTTCTCATTGTTCAGGCCGATCCAACCTTTGTGACATCATTTCTGGGTGCAGCATGAAATTCTTATTGTATATTTTCAAAGGATTAGTTGTATTTTCTCTCATCCTCTACATTTACAGTATTGACAAGATCATCATGTGAACTTTATAGACTGCCGTTATTAATCCAATTGATTATTCTTTTTGATTTTGTATTAATGTCTCCCACTATCTACCTTTGATGTGAAGGACAGGATGTCAGGGTAAACCTGAAGAATTCATTGGCTTAAGAAGTTATGGAAAGGAATATTATAGACAGAATGCAACAATAAGAGGCTTAGATGAAAGACAAATCTCAAGGAACTAAAAATAAGGCAGAGCTGGTAGTGAAAATTAGAAGGGAATGAATCTCACAATTCTAACACTGACAATTTCTCTTATGAAATAGAAGAGATTAGATTTCCACAAGGAAATGATGAGTGCATTTTGTACTTGTGTGAGGTGGTGGAGAGTTTTCCGAGTTCGGATGCCTAGTTCTTTATTTTTTGCTGATAAAGAGATTTATTGATTTATTTTTAATAGTATTATCAGGGGCTCATACAACTCTTATCACAACCCATACATACATCAATTGTGTAAAGCATATTTGTACATTCCTTGCCCCCAACATTCTCAAAAATTTGCTCTCCACTTAAGCCCCTGACATCAGGTCCTCTTTTTTTTCCCCCTCCCTCATGAGCCCTTGATAATTTATAAATTATTATTTTGTCATATCTTGCCCTGTCTGACGTCTCCCTTCACCCACTTTTCTGTTGTCCGGCCCCCAGGGAGGAGGTCACATGTAGATCCTTGTAATCGGTTCCTCCTTTCCAAACACTCTCCCTCTATGCTCACAGTATCCACTCACACCACTGGTCCTGAAGGGATCATCTGCCCTGGATTTCCTATGCTTCCAGTTCCTATCTATGCCTGTGTACACCCTCTGGTCTAGCAAGACTTGCAAGGTAGAATTGGGATCATGATAGTGGGGGGCAAAGGAAGCATTTAGAAACCAGAGGAAAGTTGTATTTTTCATCGTTGCTACATCGCACCCTGTCTGACTATTCTCCTCCCCGATACCCCTCTGCAAGGGGATCTCCAGTGGCCTGCAAATGGGCTTTGGCTCTCCACTCCACACACACACACACCCCACCCCCCTCATTTGCTGTGGTAAGATTTTTTGTTCTGATGATGCCTGATACCTGATCACGTCGACACCTTGTGATCGCACAGGCTGGTGTGCTTCTTCCATGTGGGCTTTGTTGCTTCTGAGCTAGATGGCCGCTTGTTAATCTTTAAACCTTTAAGACCCCAGACACTATTATATCTTTTGATAGCCGGGCACCTGGCTATATCAACTGAAAGGTAAAGCATCCATTTAGGACCCATTTGAAATTACTAAAGTTATAAAAGCACTTATCCTCATAGTTTGTGATTTTCCTCAAGCCATGCATAAAAACTGTTAAATATAAATAAAAATTCATCTATACAGCATGTTTACTTAAACTTGGTCACAGGAAGGTTATTCCGTTATAGCTTTAAAAATTATAATTGTGTGATTAGTTTACAGGCAACTGTGAATTGTCATGGACCAGACTTTTGAGGCTACTTAGAAAAAAATGAAGATAAACTCACATTGTATAGTAGAATGTTCTTTAGGAATTTTTATTTTCATCTACATAGGATTTCATTGCATAGTTAAAAAAAATGTTTTCTTAATTTATCTTGCTCTTGTTTGAGCAAGTTTTGAATATTGCTCCTTTGTTTGTAGGTTTTACTTTTCCTTTTGTTATTGACATGTCCTTTGCTCGTTTTTGCCTTTGAGTTGTTTTAAGCTACAAATATTTTTCTTAATTTGGGTTCTATCTTTTGACATTATTTGTAATGGATTTTTACTATATACCTTTTTATTTTTAAAACATTTTTCACTCTTTTATGCCTTCTGGATGGATTTTGAGCCATAGTTAGCAATCCATATCCCACTTTAAGGTTTTAACGTGTTTTTATCTAGAATTTTTTTTTTTAATCTAGGCATTTTCATAATTAAAACCATTTGGAATATTTTTCCATATTTTCTCTATTCTCACCAAATATGTACTGAATAACGTATTTTTTTATCTCCGATTTGAGGTGCCACCTCTATTAATTTCTCTTGCATACTTTGGTGTTATTTCAGAATTCTTTAGTCCACTCAGGAATTAGTGCCACAAAATGTTAGTTATTCAAGATTTATAATATGTTTTATTGCTTAATAGTGAACATCTCTCACTGCTCTTCCCTCCATCTCCAAAGTTTCTTTACTGTTTTTGTTAAGTTTGCAGGACTAAGCAACATTTTGTTCCACTAAACATAACATTACTATGAGCCAATTTTTCAGCAAATAACAAGTTCACATTGCAAAATAAGTGGTCTATCTAGTTTTCCACATTCTTTCACTCCATAAAACAATTTTAATTTTAATTTATATATTGGGGACAATTTACATCTTTATGTTAACAAATCATTAAATTTAAATACTTGTATCACTATGTAATTTTTTGTTATTGTTATTTTCTTAGTTATATCGCCATTTGCTTTTCATATTGGTGATACTACAAAACTGGAACCATATTTACATGGAGGCATAGCAGTTCAAGTTAAGACTCCTAAAATATTCTACTTTGTAAGTCTAATTATAATGCTCTAATAACAACCCATGCATCAATTGTATTAAGCATATTTGTACATAAGTTGCCATCATTTTCAAAACATTTTCTTTCTATTTGAGCCTTTGGTATCAGCTCTTCTTTTTTTCCCTCCCCTCCCCCCTTCCCACCTTGTGAACCCTTGATAAATTATGCTTTTCATATCTTACACTGTCCACTGTCTTCCTTCACCCACGTTTCTGTTTTTTGTCCCCCTCGGTGAGTGTGGGTGTGGTGGCTATATGTCTATCCTTGCAATCAGTTTCCCCTTTCTCCCACCTTTCCAATACCCTCATGGTATCACTATCCCATTACTGTTCCTGGGGGGGTTTATATGTCCTGGATTCTATGTGTTGAAAGCTCTTTGTCTGTACCAGTGGATATGCTGCAGTCTAGTCAGGTTTGTAAAGTAGAACTGGGGTCATGATAGTGGGGCAGGAAGCATTAAAGAACTAGAGGAATTTTGTGCCCTTTGTCATTGCTGTAATGCAGAACAAGTACCACTTGAGATCTGGAATATAATAACTTTATGTTAAATTTTCAAAACACAAATTTTTTCCCCCAAATTTACTATGTAGAACAAGTTGTCTTAATGCATTCAGTGTAATAAATAGATGGTGTAGTAATAAGACAAAGGGGAATTGTAGCAATTTTATTTCAATTATAACATTAAACCAATCCTGTATGTTTCAGTACTTTTAGTGCTAATGACATTCAGCTGGATATCTGGTCAGACTGGATAATTTCTCACTTCTTCGTACGTGTGTTTTCTTTCCTTTTAGGAATCATTAGAAAGACAGTTAAAACATGCCACGTGCCTTATTCCGGATTTTAGCAAACCTGAAGTAAGTAACCACTTAGCAGATTTGGGAGGGGAATTGGTAACTGATTAGCAAGTTAAACATGGAATGGCCATGTATATACCTTTTCTGATATTTACTTTATAGTATCTTTACATATCTGAAAGTGGCATCAGAGAATGAAAAATGGGAATTGGATCATGAGATCACATTAGAAAATGGGAAGAACTTCTAACTTTTGTAGTGATATTTTTTTTTAGCATTGATAGTTAAATAATACCAGTAATTTAAATAGAGCTTAATCTTAAAGTATTTTCTAGATTGTGTAATGTTTATACAATAACTTTCTTCCCTCCCTATCTCTCCAAGGAAAACATGTTGAAGCAATTTTTCTTTGGTTTTGGATATAATTTTATAGCAGTAAGTGTATTTTGTATAAGCAAAGCAGCCGTTAAGTTTTCAGATTTTTAAATTGAAAAGCAAAAAATATAAGTGATAGTACACAAATATTTGATGCTACTCTAAATTTGTTTTGTGACCTAGCAAAAATTGAATCAGACACCTGGAGTTGAAACTTAGATAAATACCTTTATAAGGAGAATTTCCCTAAGCTTTCATTTTCTCAACTATTAAATAAAGATAATAATACTGTACTTCTACATTTATTGTAAGAATTGAATTGTTCTTTCAAAACAACTTCAAATCTAGCACATAATAGGCACTCTTATAAATGTTGGCTAATTTTTAATCTTCTGAAATAGGCACCATTAGAGATCCACACAGCTATGCTTGCCTTGGACCAGTTCCAGGAGAACTACAGGCGCAAGCCTAATATTGGGTAATGTTTGTTTTTTTAAGAATAACTTGTCTGTATTATAAAAGTATATTAAATACCCATTTTGTTGAATATGTTGACCTTTTTAAAACCTAAAAATTTGAGAATTAATCTTTTTTCATTTGTATTATATTAAATCACAAGTATTGAAAAATTTTTGGCTTGTATTCTTAAAGCTAAGTCTTACGTAATAAATTTTGAAGAAATATATTCTTAAGTCATTGGAACCTTTTATGAGTCTGGCACAATTCTGCATTCTTTGTTATTTAAATTTCAGTTTTAAATATGATCAACCGTTTTGTTAATTGAGAAAATAGACATAGCAATGCTCTGTTCAATCCTAGATGCCAACAAGACTCAAAAGAACTGTTGAACCTATCAACATATATAAGCGGAACCTTGGAAGAGAAGGTGAATATTCAAAAATAGGAATTTTTCCTAATTTATAGTGGGTCTAGCTTTGTTACTTATTAATTCTGTAACACTAGGAAAGTTATTTATCTTACATATTCTTCTGGAGTTTTATATTTGTTTCTTTTAACAGGTCATTTGTAGCTTATAATATTCTGTTTCCTAATACTGAAATACTATGTTGTTTTATTTCTCCTCTTGTAGTAGCTAAGTATTGTTCATTTTTTTAAGATTTGGTAAGGAAGCTCAGAATTTGATGGTTTTTATTATCGTAGACCAACTAAAAATTTCCTTGATCGTGGTTTCATGACTGTTTACTGAAAAATCCTAGAATCTTTGGAAGTAGTGTAACTCAATAATAAAATGGTATGCTTGTATTTTTTAGTTTCATATCCTGCTTTTACTACCTACTAGCTATAAAATCTTAAGTAACATGCTTAACCTTACAACGTTTCAGTTTTCTCATTTATAGAATAGGAATTATATTAATTAGTATTGTTTTAAGAATTATATGAGCATCTAATACATCACTTAGCACAAGGTTGCTTGACGAAATTAACTTTATATTACATTCTTGTCATCACTTTTAATTAACACTACCACCAATATCCCAGTGTTAAATGACAATAAATCTGTTTCATAGTCCATCAGAGTCAAGGCTAAAGCTAATAGGAAGTAGAAAGGTTGGCAAATAATTGAAGTATAGGATATTAAAATGGAATGAGTGGAGTAATAAGCAGATAGTAAACTTTAATTGCATTACATATGTCTTGAAACTATCAAACTTATTTTACAGAGAGCTTTAGGAGATGGAGTTCTTTTTGGAACTTAAGGGTGATTCAAGTTATAATGTGGAAATAATAGGAAGAAAAAGAGAGCCAATGCTCATTAAGAAGTCTTCACAAAAGTTATACAAAAAATAATTCCACATTTCACTTATGTAGCATTTTCTTTAGAGACCGTTAGAACTCTTTTCCTTTTTTAAATATGCTAGTTAACTCAGTATATAGTCATTCTGTATTATATTTTTCCTTAACTGCCTTTTAACTGTCTTTTAAATATTGTTGTATTGAAATAATTAGCATACAATTCAATCATTCAGACATGTTAAGGGTTTTGGAACCATCACAATCATTCTGACATATATTAAGGGTTTTGGAAGCATCACAATAAACTTTAACAATCTTTTTAGCAATAACTTGCTTCAAAATGCATCGGGTTTTTTTGTTTGTTTTTTGCCACTTCTAGCAAAAACTGATCGCTTCTTTTGGATTGTTTCGTTTTAATTCCATTCTATGAAAATGACTCATTTATTTTTTTAAATTCTACTTTGTGAATATTGACTTTTAAGAAATAGTTTTTAACAAAAATAACAAATTATAAACATTTCCAGTTCTAATGATGTGTTGATGTTAACACGGAATCAAAAGGGGAAAATGAACAGGTACTGGTAAAAGGAAACACTGCGTAAGGTCACATGTAAGTGCCCTTTAATCATAAAGTGTAAGACATTAAATGCTTATGTACTACAGGAATTCAGTGTTATAGAAGTGATGGAGTAATCTCACATTACGCAATTCTCACATACTGCATTTTCAGGTGTACTATTTGAATATTGTTAACCTTACTGTCTTTCGTGGCTTGTTATTTCAGCCTGAAGTAAATGCTGACATTGTGAATTGGCTCTCTTGGACTGCTCAAGGCTTTCTACCCCCACTTGCTGCAGCAGTAGGAGGTGTTGCCAGCCAAGAAGTATTGAAAGCTGTGACAGGAAAGTTTTCACCTTTGTGCCAGTGGGTTAGTTCTATGTTTTAACATTTCTATATATTTTTAAAGGAGCCTTGGTGACACTGGTTTAAACATGAAGCCATAATTTTGAGGTTGGTGGTTTACCCCAAATCTACTGCCTGGGAAACTAAATGGGGCAGGTCTACTCTGTCCTAGCTTACCGTCAGTCACAAGTGACTCGGTGGTCTTGGGTTGGGTATATTTAAGAATTAATTCCTCCACTGTACAATGACTGTGTGATGTGTTCTAACATTTTTAACATACTTTTATAACTGCCTTAGGCTTAGTGATTTATTTATCTTGGGGCATGAGAGAGATGGGAGTAATGTGCTTCCAAAATTTAATTCTGTAATTGAAACTCACACAGTCAAATATTGGGACTACTGGGTTGTTATTCTAGAATGTATTTCCCTCAATACTGAGAGTGAAGGAATGAGTTGTCTTGTAACTTTTGGTTCGTCTTCTATACTATTAGCTAAGTTTTTGTTCTTTCCCTCTACCAGCATTCTTGAGCTGCTTTCACGATTATTCCTTTCCTAATGATAAATTCCTGAAGGTGGAGAATATTTAAGAATGATTTTTCTTTTTTATTATTTATTAAAGTATACACATAATGCTATTTGCTAATAAATTATGTAACAAGACAAATTAGTTGTGCTATTAATATAAATTCTGTGCTATTATAATTGAGCTGATGAGTATTTTATCTTCTCCAGGCTTGGCCAGTTAAGTTGCTCAAATAAAAATGAGAGTGAGATTGAATTTTTTTCAATTAACTTACTGATTATTGTTTAAGCAAATGTTGGAATTGTAATTTCTCAAGGCATTTTTAATGTAGTATGCATAATTTATATCTGACATACAGTATATCTAAACTAAAAGTACAGACTAAAGGTTTTCATTTCAAAAGGGTGATCAAATTAGAATTTAGCTAGGTTTGAATTGGGTTTTATAAGTTTTATGTTACAGAAAATATATTTGAAAGAGGCATTTTTTGTTAAAATTCGAATATATATGATCTTCAGGATGGCTAAGTAGTATGAACCAAATTGTATCTTTTTCATACTCCCTTTGGCTTATCATTTTCATGAGAATATAAAAATATATATTACATGAAAAGTAATTAAGTTTTATAATCAATAGTTTTGCTCTGAATTAACATTTTTATCTTAATTGCTAGATAAGTATTATAATTTAATATTAATTTAAATTTTATTAAATACATTGTTTTTTGTCTTCCTTAAGTTATATATCGAAGCATCAGATATTGTCGAAACAATAGGCAAACCTAAACCTGAAGAATTTCTCCCACGGTAATAGTGATATTACTATTGCATCTTCTTAGTTATATGTTTGTAACCAGTAAACTATAAAAAGTGTTTTGATCTATACATGCCTTTGTTTTATATGTTGTTTCTCCTAACTCATTTGCTATTCTTTTTGTTTTCATAATTTATCTCTAACAGTTCCACTTGTACAATTCACACATAGTCCATTTTAGAAGTTCAGTCGCATGCATAAGAATTGTGCAACCATCACTATAATCAATTACAGTTCAATTCTTTTTATTCATTATTGTAAACTCACAGTTTCCTGTCTGTTTCTGTGTCGCGCCCTTTTGAATCTATTGATCCAGTTGTTACCTCTATAGGTTTACCTAATCTAGGTTTCTAACTTAATCTACTTCAGTAGTCATTTTTCCTTTATACCATTGGTTTCTTTAAGTGTTTTATTAATACCATACCTTTTAAACATTTTAAAAATATTGTAGTTTTAAGTTACATGTCATGAGAATAGTCCAGCATTCAAAGTGCTATAGTGATGTTAGATGGAAAAACCGCTGCTTTCCTTTTTACTCATATTGGTCATTGTTAATCTAGCGTCATTCTCCTCAAACTACCAGTTTAAGAGAGTTAACAAATCCAAAGGCCATCCATAGATTCCTCTAAGAACTTTTATTAAAAATCTCTGCCCTAGACTCTGAGCTCTCGCTCAATCATAAACCCTCATCTAAGAACAGTTAGTTCTTAAGATGTGGCCCTGCCCAATAGGCAGGGGAGTTTAAGGGAGTAATGGGAAACTAATAATAATGGGTATAAGAATGAAGAAAATGTTTTAAAATTGATTGTAGCGATGATTACTTTTTTATATATTTTAACCAATGAATCATATGGTTCATGAATTATATGCCATTAAAACTGTTTTAAAAATAAATATGCAAGCCCACACTCAAAAAAAATTTTAATCTCTTGGAAAGTTTTTTTTCTAGATAAATTTGCCTTTGCTTAAGTTATTGGAACTTATATTTAACAAGTCAAGTAGAAAAAACCTTACTTATGGGGCCTTTTTTTCTTTCAAATTTGATTGGTTATATGATTGTTCCAGGGGAACTTTTAAAGAGTATTATATTTTAAAGTACAATGTTAAACTGCTTTTAACAATCATGAAATTTGTCTTAATATTGCTTATAGTTATCTTATAGTTTTCTTGGTATGCATTTTCTTCAGAGGAGACAGGTATGATGCCCTACGAGCTTGCGTTGGAGATTCTTTATGTCAGAAGCTACAAAATTTGAATGTCTTTTTAGTAAGTATGGGACTATATTGGACTATGAACTATCGTACAAAAGTTTTAATTTCCAGAGGGGCGCTGAGTGATTTTTTTTTTTTCTCTGAAAAGGGAAATAGACCAAATAAGTTTACAAACCTGTTCTCTAGAGCTGAGGTGGGGATAGTCCAGCCTTCCAAGCCATATAAGAACCACACAGTCATCAATACCAGCTAACACGCAGCTCACCAAAGAGAAACAATTTCTGCCATTGGATATAAAAACTCTCTGCCAAAGAGTAAATATAGACTTAGAGGCACCTTGTAAGGCAGTGTGGAACTGCCCGTGGGTTTCCTAGACTGTTTAACTTGACAGCAGTGAGTCCAACTCATATGTGAGTTGGAGCGGCTGGTGGTTTCAAACTGCTGACCTTGGTGGTTAGCAGCCTATTACATAACCATTTTGCCTTCAGGGCTCCTGCCATCACATTAGGGGTGAGTTAATGTTTGAACAAATACAGTAGCCTAATTTTTAAGTTGGAAAAGAATTTTTTTAATTGATAAATTTTATTGGGGGCAACATATATACAAATGTGTTTGATACAGTTGATGTATGGATTTTATAAGAGCTATAGACTTCAAATGGCCTTCATATGATGTTATAAATGTTATAAATAACCAAACAGTCCTTGGCAGAAAAAGATTCCTGTCCTTTGGGCTAGACAAACAGCCAGTAAGAGCAGCATGTCCTTGCCAAGTTGAAACTTAAAGTTAACTGGTACAAGTGCACAAATAGAATCTGCTTTTACTCCTATTTATTTAAAACTGATAGTCTTACAATAGTTCTCATAGTCGATTAAATTTTGATAGATGCATAAACCCAAGGAATCTTTTTCAAAAAAAATTGCAGTATTATTTTATGTTCTCTTTGTGTTATATATAAAAATGAACTCAGTGTTTTGGGGGGGTTTTGTTTTGTTTAATTTTTAAAATCTTTAGTATAAAGGAATTGCCAACATTACTTTTTTTCTCAATTTAAGTGAGACACAATGACATTGTAAATCTGTTTATGCTAAGATAATCAAATGAAATGCAACTAAAATCTTCAAGTTATTTAAAAATATATGTACTTTTTTATAGCCTAGCAATTTGAAGAATTTTAAGATAAAAAAACACTATTAAGTAGAAGTTCCTGATTTTATTTCATCTAATTAATCTTACTTTGCTCTTCCATAGGTAGGATGTGGAGCCATAGGCTGTGAAATGTTAAAAAATTTTGCTTTACTTGGTGTTGGCACAGGCAAAAAGAAGGGATTGGTAAGAAATTCTTCAGAATTTAAAGTATATGGTAAACTCTGGTCACCTTTTAGAGTTTCTCCCTGGTTTCCTTCTTTGATGCTGAATGAATCCCATTGTTTTGAAATTAAATATAAAAGCATTTTACTGTTTATTTTTATTGTTTTTATTAGACACTCATTAATTGGTAAATCTTAAAATAAGAGTAAACATTAAACAGTTACAGAGTACTCAGATATAGTCTCAGTTGGTGATTATCAAAAGAAGTAGACTAATGCACACTTGTGGATAATTTAAGAATAAATATAGTTTAATTAGAAAACTCACTTATTTAAGTAAAAACCTATTTCTCTGGTGTTTTTTTACTAGCTTTCCATTGTGATTTCATTGCTTTATTGTTTTTATTTATTGAAATAATACCCCTGAAATCTTTATTAAAACCATGTTATAGTTTAACTCAACTAGTTAAAAAAGGTCTGCCTTGAGCACTATTCTCTTTTAAGAACTATTCAAATGGGATCAAAATGACAACTCAAAAGATAAAATAGGAACACTAGGAAACAGCTTTAATTAATCGGAAGTGAAGCACATCTCAAGGTATTCTGCTTGTGGAAACTGTTGAATTGATATATATTTTCTTGTGTATATTATTAACTACATTAATTTTTTGAAATTTAATATCCTTGGTTATGCACATTTGAGAATCTAAATACTTAAACACCTTAGAAATTTATAATACACAGCAGCATGTAAAGATCAGAAAAAACAACCGTGTGAAAGAAACTTACTGGTTTGAGGCAATACGACAGCATAGGTTAATATGGACAGGTCTCCATCCTATAAATTTATGTAGATGTACTGTATAAAGTTTAAATGGAAAAAAACACATTTGTCTACAGAGCCATCTTGGGGAAAGAAATCCACAGGTACCAAAAGTTGAGAGATTAAATACTGTGCTAAAAGTCATGACAACAAGTGTTTCTTTTGAATCACTCATAAGAAATTGAAAACATGCGTAATACTGATTTTCTTGGGGCCAAAATTACACGGTTTAAAAGTCCAAAGCAGAGACTGAATCTTTCAGCTTAAGGATCATTAACCATGCTAGAGCCCTGACTAAAACAAATGTGAAACTGCATTATGGTGATGCTTAGAACAGTGGGACCTTGCTGGTAAATCAAGATCCATTCAAATACATTTGACAAGAATTTTAATCTAGAAAGAAAAATCAAATCTACTAGAAGACAAATCTGTTTTGGAAAAAGTGCAGCGAAAAAAGAATTCCCCTTAGAATTGAGGATGGTTGAGTCTTATCTCACTAACTTGACCATGCTATCAAAACCAGTCCTTGGAAAAGGACGCTATGCTTGGTAAAGATCCAAAAGATGAACTTCAGCTACATGGCTGGACACAGTTGTTGCAACAACATGATTGCAGCAGTTGTGAGGATTGGGCTGTATTTTGGTCTGTTGTACAGAGTCAACTGAATTGTGTACGAAGAGCCATATTTGACTAAAAATAACGATATCCTTTTGGTAGAAGTTAGACTTAAGCAAGAAGAATCATACGAGTTGTTCAACTGCACCATATACAGCCTTAGTTTTTTCATAATACATGTTTTCCATGACCAGTATAAGGCAGGAAGAGGGTGAGATGAGGAGAGGGACATAGAAGGAAACAACAAAAAGTTAAATATCAACAATTAAACTACAAATTCGTTAATTTTTTTGTTTGAAGGCATTTTGTTTCTTTTGAATTTTTTTTGCATATACTTGCTATTTAAAAGAGATACTCTAAGCATGTAATTTCACAGACATGCTCAGAATAAAAACATAACCAGGAAAATACCAATGAAAAGAAAGCCAAGTGTGTTTGTAGAATACCAGCCAACACTTGACAACTGGAGTAGTCTGAAAAAAAGCTTTTAAAAATTAACCATTATTACTACCTTATAGATTATGTTGGGTCTGTTTGTTTTCTCTGGTATTCTTTACCACAGGAGTCTAGACTTTCTCTTAAAGAGCCATGTTGCAAATACTTCAGGATTTCAGACCGTAAAGTCTGTCATTAAATGTTCAGCTCTACAATGAATCATGTTAAATGGTTATATGCACATGGGTAAAACAGTTCAAATAAAGCTTATTTACCAAATCAGGCAGCCAGACTGTGTTGTAGTGAATTGAAACAGTATTTTGCCCATACTAGGTGAGATTAACCAAATCATAACCTCGCCTCCATCTGAAGCAGAGTGAAGATAGACACCTGAAAACAATCCAAATGACTATTGGACATTAACCACCCTTCAAAGACTCTGAAACCAGAAGAACTTGATGCTCAACCTTGGTTATCAACGACTCGGAACAGGATCACACTAGAAAGTTTTGGCTAGAGCAAGAACAAAATTTAGGACAAGGCTCAAAATCTGAACAAATGAAAAAAACAAGTTTTATTAAACTTGAAATCTTTCAAGACTGGCTCTGAAATATTTCCCAACTGCTAAGCTTTCAGATGAACCGTAAACATGTTTATATAATGAACTTGGGGAGATAAACATCCCTTATAACAGTACTTCTCAACCTTCCTAATGCTGCGACCCTTTAATAAAGTTGCTTATGTTGTGGTGAACCCCAACCATAACATTATTTTTGTTGCTACTTCCTAACTGTAGTTTTGCTATGATTATGAATGGGATGACCTCTGAAGGGTCGTTCGACCCCCAAAGGATTCCCAACCCACAGGTTGAGAACTACTACCTTAGAACAGTGAACCATAGGAGATCAAAATGGCAGTAGTTGCTTAGGGTTAACGTTAGAGGCAGAATGGGATAGGAAAGGAGGACAAATGGTAAACACGGGCAGGAAGTAGAAAAGAGTGCTGTTACAATATAGGAATCACAATCTGTCATGGAACAATCTGAATTATAGAATGGAAAGCTAATTCTATAAACATTGGCTAAAATCATAAAAGGTTTTTTAGAGTAAAATTAAAATAGGGAACCTCTAGCTCCTTTGGGGTAAACTATTATGTATTTTTTGGTATAAATTAGAAAAGTTTTGGACAGAAATTGCAATTCATTTATTGTACATGCCTGATAAAACTTGGTTTTTCAAAGTAAAAAGTATTACTATACGTACTTGAGTATAAGCCCACCTGACTATCAGCCAAGGCACCTAATTATACCCCAAAAACTGCATTAAAAATGTGCTGAAAAACAGCTTTTACATGAATATATATGGTAATTTTAGTATTTCAAAATACTTTAGCATTTGAGCACCCAAAATAATTTATAATAACTTGGCAATTGTTTTAGACAAAAAATAAATTACAGACTCCCTGTTGTATAATTTAGCTATTTTTTTCTTCTAGATTACAATTACAGATCCTGACTTAATAGAAAAATCAAACTTGAATAGGCAGTTTCTGTTTCGTCCCCATCACATACAGGTATGTTGCTATTATGTTCAACATTTGAATTGACTGTTGCACCATAGAGAGAAGGGCCATGCTTTCTCCTCCCAGAAGAGCTGCGCTACAGCATTGGAAACATAGGAGCAGTTCTCCTGTCTCACAGGGTTACTATGAGTTAGAATCCATTCAATAGCAGTTAGTTTGGTTTTTATTGATGAAAAAGAAAAGCTCTTTTTTGATAAGCAGATTAGTGCTTTAACAAGCACAGCATTTTATTAGCATTATATAGTACATATAATACAGTATCAAATAGACATGATAAAGGAAAAAATACAAAGATTTTAATGTAAGAATTGGTTTTTATGTCAATTGTGGCTATTCGAGCTTGAACTTTGATGCACTGGCAGTATCTTCAAGTTCACTTTGTAATCACCTAGAGCATGGAAATGTTTCCTTATTTTTAAGTTTTAATGAATCATGAACTCCGTACTTTTTTTAAAAAGCCTTTGCTTCAAAAGGTAAAATTTAGCACTTAGTATTTTTTGTACTCTTGATCTTATTTGACTTTAACATCTTTTTGTTTTAAAATAATCTTTTCAAATTTTTGCCTGTCCCATACTGACTGCCCTACCATCAAGTCCAATCCAACTCACAGCATCCCTTTATAAAAACTATAAATCTTAGGAACGGATAACCTGATCTTTCTTAGAGTAGCTAGTGTATTTGAACCACCCATCTTGCAGTTAGTAGCCGCAATGTCTAATCCTGTACTATAAAGAGAAAAATATTTAAAGAAAGAAAGCATTTTAATGAAGCAAGCTTTATTTTATTTATGTAATGTTATCTTTCCATTTATATTGGAGTGGCTCATTAACAGTGTTAGTAAACAAAGCTTAGTAATGTAACTAAAAACAGGTGGCATAAAATGTTATCATAAATGCCTTACCTAAATAAAAAGCAGGGTCTCTTATGAGCTAAAATACAAGACACTAACTATATGCTTAAATTGGTACATTTTCCTTGCAAAGAAACTATAAAGGTCTGCCCTTATTTTACTGAACCCCTTAGCACAGTTTCAGATTTATACACTGAGAAGTAAAACATGCTAAACTAACAATATGAAAGAAAAATAGAATTAAGATGAAATTCAAACAGAGTGATCCATAGATCCAATACTCATACATGAACTCTCATAACACCTTGTAAAAAAGAAATGACTTGGGTGCCACTTTTGACCCTCCTGCAGTTATAAAAGGGGGGAGGAAAATCACTAACATCAGCTGGCCAAGGCTGATCTCTATGGGACTGAGATCAGACATGGCTTTTCCTTGCAACCTGCGTACCATTTCTGATACTACTTTACCCACAAAACTCTTATTTTCAACTGGTTTTGATACTTTCATTGACATGTACACACAACTCACAGTTATGATTATGTATTTATTGAGGAAATTAGCAGGTTACAAAAGCTCAAGATAAAATTATTTGGATAGAAGAGTCAACTATGTCTGCAGGCAGGTCTCTCTCTGGTCTTTGAAAGCCTCTGAGCCACACAACTGATTGGCCTGTGCCCCCGCTTGTATAGTGTTGCAGCACTGTTTTTACAGGGCTGCCAGTAAATGCGCAGAGGCATGCTGTTCTACTTAAGTCTCATCCTGGAGCACTCCCGCTCCACACACCCACCTCTTATTTAAAAGCACTTAATTCTACTTAATCCTTGGGCTTGAAAGTCCACAACTCTAGTTCCTGACTCTGCTACTGCTCTACTGTCAAACCTGGATCAACAATATCCAATGCACAGGGATCTTGGGATCCAAATGACTCACTTCACTTCTGGCTTTACTCTCTTGCTATAGTGAAAATCACCATTCTTAATTCTGGAGATAGCTCACTTTATACTCAGCAGGATTATGATCACAATTATCCCTGTTAACAGAAACATCCAATTGAATCCTATCCTTTTGTCCAGCTCCATCAGGAGAAGGCTTTTGGTGGGAGTTACAGAGACTCCAGGGTTATTAAATAAGTCATTTCACTACATACGTGAAACATTTCAGATGATTTAATAATGATCTAGAAAAGAATGCATTGTATTTAGTGTACCTTTTTTTAAAAACAAAATTGAAATGTAATGTTTGAAAGTAGTTCTATTTAAAATAGTAATAAAGATTTAATACTCAAAATAGTAAACTTCTATATTTGTAAGCCATATACTATCTAGATTTCTAGTATTTTATTATCTGTGTTCTTGTTTTATTCTATGCATTTCTATATTTCAAACACTGATTTGGAAAAAAAATTTATTTTTAACTGAATATTTCATACAAGGGAGCTTCAAAAAGTTTGTGGGAAAATTTCATTATCTTTTGATTTCATTTTTCTGTGAACTTTTTCGAGTTGCCTGTGCTTTTAGAATTCTAAAGCACCTCGATAAAATATAGGTTGTTTTGATTTTTATTCATGTAAAAGACTCTGACTAAAGTACATTATTAACTTATAATTTCCACACACAAGCAATTAAAATGGTATCATTACTTTTATTGAATACTCCCATTATGATAAAAGTGTGTAATCTCAGAGGTTTTTTCTTTTTGTTTTGTTACATTCATTCTGTTTCTTAGAGAATTTTTTTGTTGTTGTTTAGAAACCTAAAAGCTATACTGCTGCTGGTGCAACCTTGAAAATAAATCCTCAATTAAAGATAGATGCACATCTGAATAAAGTATGTCCAGCCACTGAGACCATTTACAATGATGAGTTCTATACTAAACAAGATATAATTATTACAGCATTAGATAATGTGGAAGCCAGAAGATATATAGACAGGTATGTTCTTGAAATTATAGTTCATGGAAAATTATATTTGTTTTCATTTCTATATCTCTTACCTACTTATTACAGTTACTGGCATTTCTTGCTATATTTTATGTACCTATTGTACTCTTCAGGCATAAAAATACTTTCGATAATTTCTAAAATCTGTAGCATAGCTAAAGTTAATGGAGTTCTACTTGTCTACCACTCCAGCTTAAAATATACCAGTTTCTCCTCAGCTCCTATTTCAGTTTCAGTTCTTAGAAGTTGGTACATGACATCATACACTTTTCTATCTCAAATTTACATGTTAGTACTTATATTTCTCTTGCTCTTAAACCCCTGGCTCCACATCTACTGACCTCTACGCCTCCTTTTCCCTCCCCAGTACCTAAGGTCCAAATCTAAAAATGTCTGTCTTCCAACTTCAGCTCTCACATCTACATGAAATATTCTTGTGATAATCTTTCAGAGCGCTCTACTTTTCCTTTTATATGCTTATCTTTACTGATTTCATACTTTAATGTTTGTGATTTCACTTGACCCTACATTCAGGGCTTATTTCTTTTCCCACTATTATATGCTCAGTGACCAATACATGATGCTAAATGAAAAGTGAATAACTATAATATGTCGTATTAACATAATCATTCTTAGGTCTTTGACTCTTACCATGTTAGAACATATATATATTAGAGGAAAGTTTATCAATTGAAAAGTGTGGAATCAAATATAGAAAAGGAGAGAAGAGAAAGTGAATAAAGAAATTTAAGTACAGAAATGTGAGGGTAGGTCAAAAAGTGTTACTTTTAAGGCTCCAATTCATACATCCACAAGCTTATTCCTAAGATAACATTTTTTAACACATCTGTAATCAGTGGATACCCACATATTCTCTTGATAAGCTTAGTTTCATTAGGATGCCTTCCCAAAAAAGGTCCAGTCAGAGCAGTAATTTCCAAAAGAATCTGCTGAGCCACTTAAAGACAGCTCAGAAAGTTAGGGAAACTTTGTGGGAATTCCAAAGGAGTAACCTTGATAGATTCCCACAAAGTGGCAAGGAGTCATGAAAACTTCAGGGCTTATCAGAAAGACTTTTTGTTGTTGTTGTTGTTGTTGTTTAATTCTAAAATGGCGTTTTTGAGAAAAAGGCCAGGGCTATTGGACTAAATAATTTTTTCCCCATCATAGCATAGTGCCTGCTCATTCTATAATGGTAGCAAGCTTCTGTCCTTCAGGGATTTCATTGGGAAGCCTTACCTCATCCTTCCCACATCCCTGATCTTGACCTTTTCGAGTTCCTTCTGTTCCCAGCACTCAACATGATTTGAGCCCTTCAAGGATGCTGTTACTTACAGCTCTTCTGTTCAATGTCTTTGTCATTCCCACCTAACCATGCAGACAAAGTGTAGGGTGCAAACTCGGATTGGTCAGTTTTCCCATTCTTATAGGTATAAGAGAACCATTTCAGAAGCAGGAACAGACATGCCTATGAATGCAAAGAAAGAAGAGCTACCAGTGGAACACTTGCAAGATTCCTACCTGAAGTGCAGGAGCATTGGCGGCATCAGGGGCTGTGACATGTAGACCATAAGTTAGAGCAGAAGGACCATAATAAGAGTGAGCAGAGAAACCATACCGCTGAGACCCTGAAGCAGTGAGACAGTAGTAGGCAAGGTTCCTTGCTCAGTGGAAAAGAGGCCACAGGATAGCATGACTAAGAGAAACTCTAGACTTTTCTCTTGGCTGTGGTCCAAAGACTGTATCCTTAATGTTTTCTGACCCTGGCTTGTAATAACCTGTTAACTTCCCTAATAAAGCCCATACGTAATTGTATTTTCAGTGCTCTGTGGCACATTGCAATGGATTATCAAATGTAGCAGAGAAGTGGGGTACCGTGGGTGTCTGAATAGGGTAAAAGAAGAATGGAGGGTGGAGGCAATCAGCCTTGGGCTGGTGGAGAATTGTATCTCCTTTTCCCGAGTGAGTAGCTCTGGGGGTGTAGTGGTTATGCATGGGGCTGCTAATCACGGGATCAGCCATTTGAAACTAGCCAGCTCCACAGGAGAAAGACAAAGCTTTCTTCTGTAAAGAGTTAGTTTGGGAAACCAATGGGAAAATTCTACCCCGTCCTACACGGTTGCTAAGGACTCAGAATTGACTTGATGGGAGTGAGTTTGTGATTTTTTCTCTCTTACGTAGCCTAAGGATGGCAGATGTGGCCCCAAGCTATTTTGAACCAAAGAACACAATTTTTTCCAGGATAGGATAGAGAGTTGAGAGAACTGCCTTCAGAATTACGTAGGCCTAAATGGAAGGTATGATAAAAAATAGTAACCAACTCAATGGTTTAATCCTATAAAGAGTTATTTTGTCCACAATCCATTTTAGAACATTTTCTTCTTGCACTCATTAGCCTTCTGTCTCCCCCCCCCTCCCCCTCACCATAATCTTAAGAAACTATGGATCCGGTTATTGTCTTTCTAGATTTACTTACGGTGGATTTCATATACAAAAAAATCAATAACATAACAGAAAAACATCAAAAATAAAACAGGCAATAAAAATTTTAAAAATTAGAACACATTTAAAATGAATCAAGGGGGAGAACAAATGATAAAGCCCCCATGGCAGAAGCACACCAGCCTATGTAATCACGAGGTGTCGAAGGGATCAGGTATAAGTCATCATCAGAACAAAAAAATCTTACTATAGTGAATGATGGGGGGGAGTGTGGAGTGGAGACCCAAAGCCCATTAGTAGGCCACTGGAGATCCCCTTGCAGAGGGGTCTCAGGGAGAAGACGAGCCAGTCAGGGTGCGATGTAACAACAATGAAAAATACAATTTTCCTCTAGTTTCTAAATACTTCCTCCTCGCTCCCACTATCATGACACGAATTCTACCTTGCAAGTCTGGCTAGACCAGAAGATGTACACTGGTACAGATAGGAACTGGAAATACAGGGAATCCAGGGCAGATGAGCCCTACAAGACCAGTGGTGTGTGTGGCGCGATACAAGAAGGGTAGAGGGAGAGTGGGTTGGAAAGAGGGAAGCGATTACTAGGAACTATATGTGACCTCCTCCCTGTGGGACGGACAACCGAAAAGTGGGTGAAGGGAGACGTCGGACAGGGCAAGATATGACAAAATAACAATTTATAAATTATCAAGGGCTCATGAGGGAGGGGAGAGCGGGGAGGGAGGGGGAAAATGAGGACCTAATGCCGGAGGCTTAAGTGAAGAGCAAATGTTTTGAGAATGATGAGGGCAATGAATGTACAAATGCACTTTACACAATTGATTTGTGATAAGAGTTGTATGAGCCCCTAATAAAATGATTTTTAAAAAAAGATGTTAAATTTTAGCCTAACTACTGCATTTATTCTTTTTACAATCCACTGTATCTGATAGCATGGATGTTCACATCCCTGATACTGCAAATGGATTTTTGGCTTTTACTGCCATCCTTAGCCTACAAACTAGATGCTCAGAATTTCCCCATCCCTCTAATTTTGGATTTAATTATGTACTATCCTTTGATCGCACAGGCTGGTTCGCTTCTGCCTGTGGACATAACTGACACCTCACTTAGTTTGTCTTAAGACAGCCCTTTAAAACCCCAGATGCTAATTCTAATAAGCTATGTGTCATTTAATTTTTTTCACACTTTGCTATAGCACTCTTATCTTCAGTTAACTTTTTCCTGAGAGCATGTATGAAATAAGACCACAGAACTAATTAGATGAGAGCTGGAATTAAGTGCAAGCTCAAATTCCATTCATATATCTATAGTTTATATAGGTCTTTGGTTCACTTTAAAAACATCTTTATCATTTTATTGGGGAACATTATAAATTGTCCCATGTGGCATGTGGTAATTCTTTGGTAGTAGTAATTTTTTTTAGCTTTAAAATTTGATATATTTGTTTAATGAAGATTTCCATGGTTTTATATCAGTACTTTTTAACTTCTGTTCATATTATATTGAATAAAAGCATTTATATTATTTAAGAGAAAGCTTTAAGATTGTAGTTGGCTAGAAGAATTTTAGAAAATAAAGAGCAAATAAAAAGCAAGAAATGAGAGCAGAACATAATTAAGAGTTAAGCTGTAAGAAAAAAATTGTAGCAGTTTCTGGTGGGGGAGGTAGTGACAGTAATGAGAAAACATTTTAGTATATTGGACAACAAAATTTATACTTGGTATAGGGTGGAAGGTGATGAATGTGCTGTTTGATACTAATTTATCTGTTTCTTGAAGTATTGCTATCAAGAAATTTCTGTGAAATAATCAGTTCAAATCGGTAAATTCTGTTTCCCTTTGTTACATTGTTCATGTTTGTTTGTTCTTATTTACCTTTTTAACTAGCCGTTGTTTAGCAAATCTACGACCTCTCTTAGACTCTGGAACAATGGGCACTAAGGGACACACTGAAGTTGTTGTTCCTCATTTGACTGAATCCTATAATAGTCATGTGAGTAATGTTTAAAATGTTTCTTCTTTCAAGCTCAGATTTATTTTGATTTTCAACAGTCAACAAATTTGACTTATTTAACTTTTCTTCCTTTCTGGTGTTCCAGTGAAATCCATGCACATGAGAACAGTATATCTGTAAAAATGCAACAAATAATTATTTCCTTTAACTCAATAAAAGTTGGTTTTTGGTGGTTCTAGAGTAATTGCTTCTGTTGTTGGTTAGTCTTCAAAGCTGCTTGATTTAGTTTCCATCAGCTTTTCCGTTTGAAGATTGCCTGATAAGAACAATTAGACTGTTAGTGGACAATAAAAGTATCCCCCCTAAAATCCAGTTTATTATGTTAGATAATAGCCAGCATATGGAAAATGGAGTCTCGTCAAAAATTCAAATCTAATGTTTATTTAGATTTCCATCCCTACACTGGTGAACCATCTAAAATTTTACTGAAAAATAAGTTTTCTGTGTTCTCATGTAGCGAGGGTATCTATCTATATATCTTAGATAATAAATGGAGCATTAAAAAAAGAGAGCACCACCTGTAAGGGTGCTCTCTCTCACTCTCATGCGCGCTCTCTCAGTGTAACTAATCAATTAGTATCATATTCTACCAAAGGAAAAGAAAATTAATTTCTTCATTTAATGGATAGGTAGTAGTCTAACCAAAATGTTTTATAAAACATTTTCCCACTTACTCTTAGAAGCTGATGGTGTCTATTGAAAATACTCTAAATTGACAAACTGATTTTGAAGGCCATTAAATAAAGAAGAAAATTTTAAATGAGGTGTTATATTAAAAGACTTCCAAAGTAGGGAGTATTATAAAATCTCAATGGCTTTTTGAGTCTTCCGTATTTTCCATAAACCTTTCTTGCATATTTTACTTCATTTTTTACCTTCTGGCTTGTCTCTTGTTTTTTTCACTGTTTAGTGCTATTTAATGGGAAAAATAAACTAAAATATACATCTTAGTGAAAAAGGGACACAATGGGTCATTTAAGATTGGATTAACCAGTAAGTGCAAGCAAAAGTTAACCTATAATTGAAGATAGGTTTCCTCGGTAGTTATTTCTGTTATATGCAGCAGAATAGACATCTGTCAGTCATTTAATACATCTTGAAAGAAACTGTAGCAAACATGGAGGGTATGTATATATATTTGCTTCAAAAAATTTTTCCCCATGGAGGAATTCGTATTATATTTGAGGGATTCTTGGAATTCCTTTCAAACTAGAGAAAGCTGTAAATTTTAAATGTGCCCTTGATAGTTGGGAAAAGAGTAAAAAGAATTTTATTTATTATCATCTCCCATAATGGATGTCAAAGGACTGCCCAGATAGTGAAGTAGTCAGCCTTATTGTGACATTACTACTAAACAGTTTTAGGTGTTTATAGGATTGTTTTTTGTTTTGTTTTGTTTTTGCTTTCTTATTGGCAAGGAAAAGAAGATAAAAGAATCAGTGTTCAGATTTTATTTTTAATTACCTTAAAATCCTCAAAAATAAACCCAAAAATTAAAAAGGAAAATATAGCCATAATAAATTTCCATTGTTTCTCTTAACTGTTGCTTGTCTTATTTCATTAAATAGCGGGATCCTCCAGAGGAGGAAATACCATTTTGTACTCTGAAGTCTTTTCCAGCTGCTATTGAACACACTATCCAGTGGGCAAGAGATAAGGTAAAAGTTTATTTTTGAGGAATATATTTTCTTTGAGATAGGCAAGAAGATATTTCAAACTTTTAACCGGGCTATTTATAACTTTCCCTGTCTTTGCCCACCTCTCTCTTATAGTTTGAGAGTTCCTTTTCCCACAAGCCTTCGTTGTTCAACAAGTTTTGGCAAAGCTATCATTCTGCAGAAGAAGTCTTACAGGTAAACCAATACATTTTAATATAAACTCAACATTTGATATCAATGTAATCCCATTTTCAAGTTGCATCGTTATTAGCTGCTATTAATTCCCAACTCATGTGCTACAGAAGTGCTCTATAGTAATCACTTCCAAAAGTGTTTACTCTCTTGATATAATGGGTGGGATTCACACTGCCAACATTCAGATTAGCAACTGATTTCAAACCACTTGTACCACGCAAGTTCTATTTTCTGTTGCTTGCGAATCATTTTTACTGCCAAAATGGGGAAAGCATTATTGTATATAATCAGTAAAGTGATACCTCAGGCTGCTGTGGTCTCAATAACACCAGAGTTCATTAGCCTAATCTTGTATTTAGTTCTCTTCTGTTATCTTCTAGTTTGATGCATAGTGCCTGGGATCTTAAAATCTTTTAAGTGGCTTGCAAGGGACCATGTAAAATAATTGATCTCTGTCTTGATTAGTTTTTTCCCAAATAGAGCAATACCACTCCCTGGAGGGCCAACTGGAATGATCCAGTAGTACTACAAAAGCAGATACCTTCATTTTATCATTTATTATGAGCCATAGTTTATGAGGATTTTTGTGGTTTGTGTTTGTTTGTTTCTGAAAAGGGTGCTAAATAAGTGTGCGAACCTATGATCTAGAACAACAGCAAGGAGAATCCAGAATAAGATGATAATATGAAATGTGTGACTAATTGCCTCCTTTTAAAACTTAACTCCTTGGCCATTAGACCCAAAAGACCTGGATGGTGCCCAGCTACCATTAATGAGTGTCTTGTTAAAAGATTAGAAGAGTAATTTGATTACTCCTGAACAGAAGGGAAATGTAAAACAAAATTTCAAGTTATAGACTTTAGGCTTTTCTGAAGCCATTCCCTTGAATAATCTTTAAAACTGGGATCAAAGCAACTATTGGTCTCTTCTATCCAGAGCAAACTGTGAAGAAAATCAAAGACTTATGGAAACAGTCCATTGAACTAATGGGCTGTGCAATCAGTCATCAGCTTCTCTGATCATAAGATCAACAGAACTAGATGGATCCTGGATACCAGTACCAACCACTCTGAAATGGGTCACTTTAGAAGGTCCAGGATAGACTGCGGGGGGAGAGGTAGTGTGATTGACCATAACGCAAAAATAAAAATTTCTGAAACGTCAAACTTACTGACCAGGTGGAGACTAGTAAAACTGCTGAGATCATGCCCCTCAGTCATCCTTTATGCATAAAACTGAACTCACTCCCACAGTACTGTTTTCAGCTAAACAATAGATCTGTAAGAGGAATATTATTGAATATGTTTGTCAATAACGTGGTGACACACGTAACTCCCCCCCCACCTGAAGAAATACAAAGAAATGAAACTATATGAAAACCTATATGAATGAAAAAGAAAAAAAAATGGAGCTCAATATCATCAGCCAAAACAAAGCTAAAGGTTGAGTTAGCATACAATTTTGAGTATACCAAGCCCAAACCCCCTGCCATCGAGTTGATTATGACTCAAGAGTTTCTGAGACTTCAGTCTTTACAAAGGCAAATAGCCTCAGCCTACTCCAGAGGAGCAGCTGGTGGCTGTGATGCCAACCTTGATATAAGCATTCAAATGCTTACCCACCAGGACCCTATTAACCTGAGTGTTTCCCACCTGACTTATGGGAGAACCTCAAGGATAGGTTGAACACTAATGACTAAAAACAAGTTGTATGATGACTTGAAGAACATCAAGGAATTGTGAAGTCAGAGGACAGCTTGAGAACACAAAGTGTTAAAAATGTTGAAAGACTTGAAGTTAGAAAGTCAAAGTGGAAGAGCATGCTTACTATTTCTCAAGCAGACAGAATTGAAAATTCAGGCCTCAAGTAAGTTTAAGTAATGAAGGATTATGTAGACACATCTGTTTGGGAGGACATACCTCTAGAATGCTCCATAGAAGTGAGAAGGATGAGACTGTATCTCATATTTTAGGTTATCTGGAGAGGCTAGTCCCTAGAAAAGGATATCATGCTTGGTAAAGGAGAAAGTCGGTGATAAAAGCAAAACCTTTGATTAGATGAATAATGAACAGTGACTATAACAACGGTCTCAAATGCAATGGTGGCACAGGACCAGGCATTTTCTTTCTGTTGTACATAGGGTCGCTGTGAGTGAAACTTGACAGAGCCTTACAATAACAATAAGCAAAATATTGAAGGCTGCATGAAGCCTCAAAAGAAGATGCAAAGAATACACAGTCACTGTGCCAAAAAAGAAAATTGTTAGATGATCAAAAAGAGGCATAAGATCCCGAACCAGTAGTATTAAAAGAAGTCCACATGGAATTGAAAGCCTTCATTTAAAACAAGACTCAAGGAATTGGTGGATTACCATTTTAAATGTTTCAACAAGCATGCAGCACTGGAAGCACTCTCTAGTCAAAATAAAGTAATTTGGAAGACAGCCACCTACGGGAAGAGATCCATTATTTAACCCTATTCCAAAGAAAAGTAACCCACTGCAATGCAGAAGTTATTGAATAATGTCATTAATACCACATTCTAGCAAAATTTTGCTTACAATAATTCATAAAATGTTTGTAGCAGTGCAACAGGAATTTAAGCATAATTCAAAAGTGGACATAAAATGAAGGATATCACTGCCGAGATCAGATGAAACTTGGCAGAAACCAGAGAATATAAGAAAGATACTTTATTGATTACACAAAGGCATTTTACTTTGTGGATCATAACATGCTATGGAAAACGTTACAAAGTGGAAATTCCAGAACATTTAATTGTGCTCATGTGAAACTTATACATGGATCAGGAGGCAATTGTTTGCACATAGCAAAGGGATACTGGCTTGAAATCCGCAAAGGTGTACATTAGGGTTGTCACCTTTTACTATACTTAATCTGTATACTGAGTAAATCTGAGAATCTACTTTATTAAAAAGAATATGGTGGGATTTGAGGAAGGCTCGTTAACCGGAAACACGCAGGGGACACACCATCTTGTTTACTGAAATCAAGGAGATTGAAGCACTTACTAATGATCATCAAAAACTTTTGCCTTCAGTGTAAAAAACTTTGGATTAGTTCCTGGAAAAGTAAATCATGCTTGTTAAAATGGAGGGCTAGAGAAAAGAAGGAAGACTGAATAAGATGAATTGAAAAGATGCTGTAGTGGGCTCAGACATCATTGTAAGGGTGGTAGTGTAAGACGAGTCGTCGTGTGTAGCATCTATGAGTTGAGATGGCACCTAAAAAGAACATGGAAGACAATATATAATTTGTGAGACACAAAATTTAAGAATTTCCTTGTGTTATCTCATCCATTCACTTCTCGAAAAAGAAAGGGTGAAGATAGGGAAAGAAAGAATGGATTGAAAGTAGATTTTTTAATCATGATACAAATTTGGGCTAATACAATATGTATATGTGTTTAACTGAAATTACATTCTCTTTGTCATCCTTTCTAGAAGATACAAACTGGACACAATTTAGAAGGCTGTTTTCAAGTTGTTAAGTTACTTAGCAAGAGACCTAGAAATTGGTCCCAATGTGTAGAATTAGCAAGATTAAAGTTTGAAAAATATTTCAACCATAAGGTAAGTATGCATTAAGGTCTCATCTGACCGTGACACATTTAGCTATTTGAATAATTTCACTGACTTGAAATGCCCTATAGCTCAGGTTTTCAGAAATTAATTAAATGGGAGCAAGTTTGGTAGACATCAGGGTTTTTTTTAATTGCTTGAATTTGATTGATTAAAGATAATTCATTAAAATAATTGCTCGGATAAAGAATACAATTAAACATGTTGGTTTGTCAGTTATGTCAACATTGGCCTTCAAATACTATTTTTAGCAAAAATGACATGTTTTATGTAGAAGAATCTAAGACCAAAATTCTCATAACTGGACCAATAGATATCATTGGAGTTCTCATGAATTTGTCTTACTTACGTCCATGAACAATCAATGTTCATGGAAGAGATCACATGACATACTGATTAGGTAATTCTACTGAAGAGCAAGAAATTAACTTTGAGGATTAAGGTGTGCCTGCCCCAAGCCATGGTCTTTTCCATAGTCTCATATGCATGTGAAAGCTAGACATCGAATAAGGTATACCAAGGAAAAATCAGTACATTTGAATTTTGCTAGAGCAGAATATTCAAAATGCCTGCTACAAGGACAAACAAGTCTGCCTTGGAAAAAGTGTGGCTAGAATGTTCTTTTGAGCAAAGATGGCAAGACTTCGTCTTACATACTTTGAACATACTGTTAGTACAGTCCCTGGAGAAGGACATCATGCTTGGTAAAGTGAAGCATAGCGAAAAAGATTAATACTTCGGCTGTATCAGTGGGCTCAAGCATAGGAACATTTGGGAAGATGGCACAGAACCATGCAGTATTTTGTTCTATTGTATATAAGTTTGCTATGCACTGGAACCAACTTCATGGCACCTAAATAACATCATTGACTTTTTTAATATGCAAAAGTTCAACCATATATATAAGACACTTGTGTTTTCATTTCTGTGTTTATTCTCTGAGAAATTATAAAGGGAAAGGGCAGGATATATGCTATCGTAATATAAAGGCAGTTTATCTTAATATATGTATATTTATGGGGTTTTGTTTTTTACTTCTTGACTTTTAAAAATTTGTACTTGCTGGCTCTTCCTGATCTCCCATTTGTTTCCAAACCCAATAAAGTATGATCTTTTTCCATTCCTGTTTATATTGTGCAAACAATAAGCACTCAAAAAGGGGCAAAGTGGGAATATCTCACGATTAATCATAAACTGGTATAAGTAACAGCATAAAACTTGAAATGGATACAGTTCATTCTTCCACATCTCCATTATCATTGCTAGCCTATCAGGTGGACTTTTTCTCTGATCCTAATCTCTCAGAGTAAGGTCAAACCTTAAAAGTTACAGAACACCATCTTTCAGATTGACTGTTCAGCTCATCTCAAAATTAGCCATGGTAAGCTAAGTCAACACACACTTTCAACCACCAAGCCCTTGCCTATCCTCCATGGTTTGTTCTTTCTCCAGAGCAGCTCATGGAGTATTTGTATTTATTTTAACCACAAAGAATAAAAATTTAGAGAGAAATCGAGCAGGGCCATCAACGGTTCTAGAAGGAGGTTTTCATTGTCTGCAGGGCCAAGACATCCTCTTGAGAACATGTGCTCTTGCCAATCTGAAGCCCTTTGACTTCCCATGTTCAAAGCTTTTTATCAGCTTCATTACATAGTAAGGATTGATTATATGAATGAATATGTATTAAGTCATATCCATCTACTTTTCTGAGGTTAATTGCCAGGCATCCTGGTCTGTGTGGCCACCACACTTTAAATGTTTCTTGGTTGTAGATGACAAAGACACCTAAATTGCTGGAGACTTCGAAGTATTAACCTGTCAGAAAATAAAAGTAAATGCCAAATAGTAGGACTCTGTCTCACACCTTTCCTATCAATGACATTCTTATTTCAAGATCTATCTTCTGTAGATGCTTTTTTAAATACTTAAATTTTTGTTAATATGAACAGGTTCAACCACAGATAGAAAATACTTTGTATTCCTTCTGTTTTCACTTTCTCTTTCAAGGGTTAGCTCTGGAAACTATGTAAAGTATGACACCTTTGTATTTGAATGGGATAAATATTTAGCCATAAAGAGATAATGAAGTTCTGATGCACATTATGACATGGGTAAAACTTGCAAACATGTAAAAGCATTAAGAAAAATTTGAGGTTACTCCAAGTATTGGGTCAGCAACAGAACATATGCATGGACTAATACAACAGTAGTGGGAAGTATACGAAGGGCTCAAGTAGAAAATGTTTTGGAAAGGATGATGGCAGTGTGTACAAATATGCTTAATAGAATTGATTAATGGAATGTTCTAAGAGCCCCCAGTAAAATGAAAAAGAGTGGTTGAAAACTTTACTGTGTATCTTAATCCATTTTAACCATTGACTCTTACGTATATATTGACTATAAAAGGTTAAATTTAAGTTATTTTGAAAATGTTTACTGAAGGTAATTTTAATAGGAGATTTAATTTGAATTCATTATATTCTTTAGGCTCTTCAACTTCTTCACTGTTTCCCTCTGGATACACGATTAAAAGATGGCAGTAAGTATAACCAAATATTGAGAAGTAATTTTAATGTAGTTCATGTATTACTAGATTATATTGAAAATGTTTTTATCTTTTTGTTAGGTTTGTTTTGGCAATCACCAAAGAGGCCTCCCTCACCAATAAAATTTGAATTAAATGAACCTTTGTAAGTATATTCCAGTTTTATTTATAGGAATCATTTATTGCACTTGAAAAAAAAACAGTGAAATCCTCAGGAACGGCAGTTATGAAGGGGGAAAAAAGAGATGGCTAAACCTCATAGAAAGTCTCAAATTGGTGGTTTTCAAAGGAGCTAGTCTTCGAATAAACATATGCATATAGTGTTTATATTGGGTATGCATTAGATTCACACTTAATTGTACACCCAAAAAAACCCAAATTCAATGCCATCATGTCGATATCCAACTTATAGCAACCTTATAGGAAAGGGTTGAATTGCCCTGTGGGTTTCAGAGACTATAACTCATTAAGGGAAGATAGAATAGCTGGTGGTTTTGAACTGACATTGCAGTTAACAGCCTAACGTGTCACCAAAGCACCTACTTATATATATAGATTTAATGAATCAACTTAGCTTGCCATTCAAAAGATAGCTTCTCTCATCTGGTATTATTGGTGGCACAGTGGTTACATATTGGGCTGTGGACCTGAAAATCAACAATTGGAAACCACCAGCTACCCTGCAGGAGAAAAACAAGGTTTTCTACTTCCATAAAGAGTAATGGCCATGAAAACCCACAGGGTGCATTTCTACTCTGTCCCATAGGATCCTTATGAGTCAGAATTGACTCAACGGCAGTGAAAGATTGTTTTGGTTTTAGTTTGGTACTTATTTAAGCTTCTAGTCGCCTTATTTTGACTGTCCTATAAAACAACTTTTTATTTTTAAGCAAACACATGAGCTTCGTTTGAACCTGCTTCCTACTCTTCTAAGACCAAATGTGTTATAATTTCTTTTTTTTTATGGAGCTCTGGTGGCGTAGTGGGTTTTACATTGAACTGCTAATGTCAAGGTCAGCAATCTGAATCCAAAAGTCGACTGTGAGAGAAAGATGAGGCTTTCTACTCCTGAAAAGATATAAAATTAAAGCAACACACGGGCAGTTCTACTCTGTCATAGGGTCACAGTTGACTAGCACTATTTATCTATCTGTAGCTATTCTCCCAAACCTCAAAACAGTCATTATTTCTACTCGGATGTAAGTTTTTCTGAGAAGAGAAATTTGGTGCTTTCTCTGTTATAGCTTCATAATATTTTGGTTCAGATCAGAATACCACTATGTAGCTTTTTGAAAATCCTATAGCAAATAAAAATGTCATTATTTTTCTGCACATCTTTTTTAAGATTATAAATTCTAATTAAACATAATTGCATATTTAAACTTTTATTTTTTAATTTCCTTAGACACTTCAATTTCATTCAGAGTGCTGCAAAACTATATGCTACTATATATTGCATTCAATTTACAGAGAAGGTAAGATATTTTTAAGGCCCTAGCAAGTGATAACAAAACCAACTTTTGATGCAAAAAAGTTTATGACTTCCCAGCTGATTTCATTAAAATGTGTTTCTTGTGTTCTAAGTACCGTAGTTAACACTATTTTTTTCGTTTTTGTCCATTCAAACAGGACAAGTTTAAAAGTTGTTTGCAATATTGCTAACTAGAAGAAAATAGAACCTTTCTAAATGTAATTAGTGAAATAGCCAAATTCATACAAGCAATTATTTTTAAAGCATACAGAGCCTGTGCACTTACTTTAGTTATAATTCTAAAAATCCAAAGAGAATAGTTTCATAGCAACTTAAAATATTTATAATCTCCTTGTTAACTTTTATTTGACTTAATATATGCTTTACTATACTATATGCTTTTCAGGAAATTCTAAAATGCTGCCCTATGTGCCATTTCTAACTCTTGTTATCATACCCACTCTCATTGACTAACATCTGAAGGTCCTGATACTGACCTATTTGAGAGCAGATGGTATTAGTGATTTTTTTCCTTCCAAATATGTTAGAACTAAATTGTTATACTTTTGAGCAGACTAAATAAAGGAAATTGGATTAGCATTTTGTCTTTGATATAATATGGAACCAGATTTATAGTTAGCATACACTATTTTGAATCTAGTTCAAAATGTACAGGATTTTTTTATTTTGTTTTTGAGTTTCTGTACATTAGAGTGCATCATAGATATTTGGTACAAATAGTGTTAGTCACTGGTTTTCTGAAAGACATAAGCGTGATAGTTGACTTCAAAGGTGTATACATTTGTTAATAAAATTATGCTTTTTGTTTTAAACAGGACTTTTCAGCAGACGCACTCTTGAATATTCTTTCTGAAGTAAAGGTTGAGGAATTCAAACCCTCCAGCAAGGTATATTTAAAAATTAAATTCTTAAGATCATTTTGTTGGGGACTCTTTAACAGCTCTTATAACATTCCATACATCAATTGTATCAAGCATATTTATACATAGATTGCCAGTGTTATTTTCTAAACAATTACTTTCTATTTGAGGCCTTGGTATCAGCTCCTTTTTACTCCCTCCCTCCCACCATCATGACCCTTTGATAAATTATAAATTATTATTATTTTCATATCTTACACCGATCACTGTCTCCCTTACCCCATGGTTTCTGCTGTTAATATCCCCTGGGAGGCTATGCATCAATCATTGTAATCGGTTCCCCCTTTTCCCCTCCTCCCCCCCACCTCATTTTCCCCCTCCCCTCCTGGTATCGCTACTCCCATTTTTGTTCCTGAGAGGTTTATCTAACCTGGATTCCATGTGTCATGAGCTCTTATCTGTACCAGTGTACATACTCCAGTCTAGCCAGAACTGAAAGGCAGGACTGGGGTCATGATGGTGGGGCTGTGAGGAAACCTCAAAGAACCAGAGAAATATTGTGTGTTCCCTCGGTGCTATACAGCGACCTGGTTGACTCATCCCTTCCTTGTGACCCTTGTGTGAGAGGATGTCCCAGATGGTCTACAGATGGTTTTTGGGTCTCTGCTCCAATCTCCCTTGTTCTCTGCAATATGGTTTTTTGTTTGTTTGTTTTGAGTCTTCTGATACCTGTTACCTGATCCCTTCGACAACTCGTGATTGCACAGGCTGGTGTGCTTCTTTCATCTGGGCTTGTTGCATCTCTGCTAGGTAGCCGCTTGTTTAACTTCAAGCCTTTAAGACCCCAGACCCTATGTCTTTCGACAGCCAGGCGCCATCAGCTTTTTTTAACAACATTTGCTTGTGTGCACATATTTTGTCATCAGTGATCCTACCGGGAGAGTAAGAATGTTAGAACCATAGTGTTTTTGTTGAGGGAGGACTTAAGCAGAGGCCCAAAGTCTGTCCACTACCTTAGTGTATTGCCATATAAATATATGTGCATAGGCCAATACCTCTATAAAAGTTAATTCTTGTTCTCATGGAAATTATATTCTAATGAAGGCCAGGATAAACAAATAAAAATGATAGTAAGTATATAATACTATAATGTAAAGAAAAATGCTAAAGGGTAAAAAATGGAGCAAGGAGTGGAAATAGTGATGAGATATCATTTCATATGAGGTGGAAGATAAAAGCATTTTTGTTAAGGAACATTTGAGCAGAACCTTGAAGAAAGTAAGTGAGCCAGGCATACTGATAATGGAGTGAGAAAGTAATGCTGGCTATAGGAATATGTGCACAAAAAGTCCTTGAAAGATCAGAGGTGCAGGAGTTGTTACTGAAGGAAGTAAGCAAGAGGAAATGGTTGTGGTGGTTGTGCTAGGGCCCACTGAGTCAGTTCTTGAGGCGTAAGACAGAAATGCCTCCTGGTCCTTTGCCATCCTCACAATTTTTATGTTGGACCCCATTGATGCAGCCACTCTGTCAGGTCATCTCAGTGAAGATCTTCCTTTTTGTTGTTTTGGTGTTTTTTTTGCTGACCCTCTACCAATCATGATATCCTTTCCCAGGGACTAGTTTTTGATGGTAACATCCCCAAAGTCATAGGGGCTCTTCACAAACTGATACTTTATCCTTCTTTGTGCTCAGGTTTGTTTTAGCAAGTTACTATGAGTTTATTTTGGTTCAAAACTATTTTTGAAATCCAGGTTTCCTTTTTTCATAATAATTTTCCATTAACTTTTTGAAGACCTCTCGTATATAGCATGTAATAAATAGCATGTAAATAACTAAGAGGTACCTGGCTTGGGGGTTGGGGGGTAGGATTATAAATCAGAGACTTAGTATATCTAGGGAAATTGGGTTAGCATTTTACCAGGTAAATAATGTAGGAAGGAGAAAGAAATGTTGGGAATGTTAATAAAAATTCTATATATCTTCCTTGTATATTCTAAAATTTATCCATGAAGCAACTCTATTCTATTTGCCCCTTTGCAAACCACTTCAAATTTTAACTATTTTCAGTCTTACACATTTAAGTTTTTATTTTAGAGAAGAAAATCTTATCAGTTGAATTATGCCAGTAGATAAGTTTGCTAAATAAAATGTCCATGACTTATTTTTAAAAAGCATAACGGGGACTGACATGGAACCAATAATTTGTCACTGGCAGAACTCCTAGATGCAAATTTAAGAAGCGGGCTTCAATAACTTTTTTAATGCTCTTCCTTTAATATATTATCTGTCTTGCATAGCTCTCTATCATAGTTTTAAAGTAATAAATTATCCTAAGGGAAATAATACTATGAGTGGTAACATAGCTACGTTTTTTGTTTGATTTTTAATTATTTTAATATTGTTTCCACTCTTATCCTATTAGTAAGTAATTTTATAAGCTTAAATGTTTTGTGGTATGTGCTACCCTCAGTGTGGTAAATTTTCCTATGAAGGGAGAGGAAACATACTCTTCTTTAAAAGTGGACCTTTTTTCTGACAGTAAATATTTTAGTGATACTTATACTACACTGGAAACATGAGTTGGCTTGGGGTTTTTTAATGTTAAATTTTAGTATGGAATTCTGAATTCTTAAGAGTATTCAGTATGTATTTTTGACACTTACTGGTGGCAGGCACTATTGGGTAAGTGTTGAACCCCTACAAGCCACTTCCGCGAAAGATAAGACTGTGTGCTCCTGCACAGTTTTGCAGCCTCAGAAACCTAAACCTACATAGCATCACTGAGTCAGAATAGACTCAATGAAAGGGGCAGCTACTATGAACAAGTTTTTTTTAGCTATATTGGCATTCTCTCAGTGAACAAGATAAATAAGGATTTCCTATTCTTACAGAATTTACATGCCAGAATGAGGAGAGAGGCACTAAACTTGTAGACATATAAGTAGCGATACTATTAGTTACTAATGAAATATATGAATACTATAATTAATAATCTGAAGAAAATGGAGATAATACAAGTTTCTCTTTATTTGATAGGTGGGTAAATGGAAATAATGGTAACTGTAAATAGATGTAGACTATATTAACATTAACAAAGATATAACATCTATTTAAAGGTTGTTCAAACAGACGAATCTGCCAGGAAACCGGATCATGCTCCTATTAGCAGTGAAGATGAGAGGAATGCTATTTTCCAACTAGAAAAGGCTATTTCAGCTAATGAAGCTACCAAACGTAAGGGCAAGAATCTATAAAAAGATTTTGAATGGGGTATCTTTTTATTTTCACTAAGATCTTTACTAAAGGCTTGTGGGATTAAATAACAGCAATTACAACAATGGTTTTAATTGAGATTATAATCACATGGAAGTCACTGATTGTCTTTAGAGTGACACTAAACCAAGGTTCCTCAAACTTTTTAAACAGGGGGCCAGTTCACTGTCCCTCAGACCCATTGGAGAGCCGTACTATAGTTTAAAAAATATATATGAACAAATTCCTATGCACGCCGCACACACCTTATTTTGAAGTAAAAAAACAAACAGGGCAAAAACACACTGTGGGCTGGATAAATGTCTTTGGTGGGCCATATGTGGCCCGCGGGCTGTAGTTTGAGGACACTTGGACTAAACCCTCTATTTTCTAACACTAGTCCTAATGCATAGTCAGTCGGTGATTAGACCGCACCAGTGGGTCTGCAGGAAAAATGTGGCAGTCTACCCTGTGGGTCAGTTCTCTGTGCTACAGGGTTGCTGTGGGTTGGGATGGACTTGAGAGACCTGCATTTATTTGGTTTGTTGGCATGCATCCACAAAGGATGACATTTAATTTTCCAAGTCACAATAACAGCTTTGTTTTAGTTTTTGTTTCTATTTTGTGATCTCGGTTTAATTCGCGCCTAGCATAATAACAGCAAAAATGGGGTCTTTGAAAAAAAAGCGGGGGGAGGGGGGTCTTTGTAGACTTAACTATTAGACTCGATAAATTTTAGGAATAAAAGGAAACATCTCTTAGATCAGTGATTCTCAACTTGTGGGTGGTGACCCTGTTGGATGTTGAACAACCCTTTCACAGGGGTCGCCCAATTCATTAACAGTAACAAAATTACAGTTATGAAGTAGCAACGAAAATAATTTTATGGTTAGGGGGTCACCACGACATGAAGAACTGTATGTATTAAAGGGTTGCGGCTTAGGAAGGTTGAGAACCACTATCTGAGATTCTTAACCTCCAGTGGGGGCTTTTAAGTTGACGCACATGCACTTTTCTTAAATGATATTGAATATCAAAACATAGGGAAATAGTACTTTTAGTTCATAAAGTCCTCTTTTTATAGCAGCTATCAATGTTTTAGGCCTGTTTGCCATCATTTTGTTTTACAAATCAACAGTTCCAAACTTCTATAATTTTATGCATGGACCAATGACATTACCTAGGTAAAAGAAATTACCTAAAATGATTTAAAATTTTCATTTACAAGTAAAAGGGTAATTGTTTTTATTTAATTTTAATTTTAGAAAAACATACTATCTTTTCTTATTTTCTCCTTTCTTCACAGAGCAGGCTACTCCTGTTTACAAAATGATCTAGAAAGCTACATTGGCCCACTGTATTTAGTTATGAGAGAGAAAATGTTCCAGAATAGTGCTTATGGGATCAGTTTTTGAACGTTGTCTTAAGTTTCTGTTATTTTCATTATAAACCACTTGATAACATGACCTTATTTATCTTTGTATTTTACTATCTTCACTGAAGGGGCAAGCATTTTTTATTTAGAGACTTCTAATTTAGTAATATTAAGTACATCATTGTAAAATACCTTCAATAATTTCAGTTGTCTAATCCTCCCATCTTTGAAATTATTATTTTTTTAAATCTTCAGTAGTAATAAGCTCAAATTGATTTTTACCAAGTTACAGTTTTATTATTTTTGGACACTTTTATTTCTATTGTTATCAGGTGACCTTCAGATGGCAGTACTTTCCTTTGAAAAAGATGATGATGATAATGGACATATAGATTTCATCACAGCTGCATCCAATCTTCGTGCCAAGATGTATAACATTGAACCAGCTAACCGTTTCAAAACAAAACGTATAGCTGGTAAAATTATACCTGCTATAGCAACATCCACTGCTGCAGTATCTGGTTTGGTGAGTTTATTATCATTTTAATTATAATGTTGTTTTTCTTCATTGCCTTTTACATGTCTTAACCTCCTATAACTCTTCAACCATTTCTTGTCACTCTGATTTTAGAGTGAAGGGGATAAATATTGATCTTATTTTTGTCATTGTAAACATTTTTAAAAATACAGTAATCTCTGCTTTGAAAGGATCCCTGGTAGTTCCGTCAATAACATTTGTATTCTATATACAGAGCGGAGGCTCTGCTTATTATGAATAAAATGAACTGCCATCATCTTTGCTTTTTGATAATTAGAGTAGATTTAAGTTCTTTGCTGTTAAAAAACAATTGTAATTTGTATCAATGCTTTGGATTTCCTTAAGATTTTTATTTGTCTAGTTCTTTTATTTCTCTAGTTCTTTTTAAATACATTTTTACACCTCTTGTTCAGTACATACTGTTCTGTGATATTTTCATTTCTAGTTCTCTTCCCTTTAAATTTATTTCTCAATGGTTCAGGATATTTAGTGTGGTGTTCAAATGCTATGCCCCACTCTTTAGTACTATATTGTTATTCTTAGCAGATTTGGAGGCTATGGGAGTGACTTTCTACATATGAAATTACAAGGTCAAATTAATACACTTTTCTGAATAATTTTCATGTCCAGAACAGTTTGGAAGTATAAAATGTACTAAACATGGAGAGACTTAGGAGTAATTTGCACTACAGTAAAATGATGGTTTTTACTCTTTACAAAGAAGTGTTTAAGAATAATTTAGGAAAATTAAATGGATGACGTTTTAGCCTGTTATATAATCAGATCACTTTTTTTGTTATCTAGGTTGCATTGGAGATGCTTAAAGTAGCTGGTGGCTATCCATTTGAAGCTTATAAAAATTGTTTCCTTAACTTAGCCATTCCCATTTTAGTGTTTACAGAGACATGTGAAGTAAGAAAAACTGAAATCAGGTAAGCATGAAGGTCTTTCTCGCATATAATGAAAGTAAAATAAAATTATTACCTTTTAAGAAGGAAATATACTTGCTTACACTCTTCTATATCTGTAAAACCAAATCAAATATTACCTTGCTGAGGCATGTCTTGGCTGAATGCAGCCAACGAACTTTAATAGTACTGTATAGCATTATACTTTGTTTATTGTTTGATATGTGTCTTTCCATGTCAGATGAATTAGAAGGCACTATAGTATCTAACTGTTGATTCTATTTGGAAACCGCCCCATCTGAACATTCAGAAAATGAAACCCATACACTGTTTTTAAAGAGAGAAAGACAGAAGAACACATGCATTAGCTAATGAAAGGACCACCAAGCTAATCATAAAAAATGATTACCTGTTTAGTGTGATGGTGAAACAAGATTCAGAAACATTCAGAGAAGTTGTCCCCTTTTCTAGCTATATATATCACTTATCTCAGGGTCACTATTAGCTGAAATCAAATTGATGGCAGTGGACTTACTTTTTTGTTTGTTTAATTTTGGTCTGGGTTTTGTGTTTTAATTAAAAGGGAAAAAATGAAATGTGTCTATCTGAATTTTTTTACAACAGAAATGGAATATCATTTACAATTTGGGACAGATGGATTATACATGGAAAAGAAGACTTTACCCTCTTGGATTTCATAAATGCTGTTAAAGTAAGGCACTTTTATTCAGTTGGCTCAGACATAATTTTAAGTTTGTTTTTGTTCATTTATATCTATCATTTAAGGTCACCAGTAGTATTTAACAGGAGTTTCTATAGTCTCTTTACTGGTTGCAGCTCAACATTATAACCCAAAATTTTATATTTGGATGATGTTTTGATTTTCTCTGTTTTGTGTATTAACTTTTAGGAAAAATACGGAATTGAGCCAACAATGGTTGTACAGGGAGTCAAGATGCTTTATGTTCCTGTAATGCCCGGTCATGCTAAAAGGTTGAAATTAACGTAAGTATCAAATAGTGTATGTGAAAGATTCACAGGAATTGAAACCTAATCTAATGATGCACTAGAAAATTAAATAGTAAGAGTATAAAAGTTCAAATAAAGACATGTGATTTACTTTAACCTAATGGCATCTATGTAAGCATTGAACAACTAACTGTAATGTCAACAGTGGTAAATCCACCAGCCTCTCAATGTGAGAAAGATAAGACTATCTGCCCTCTTAGCCTCAGAAATCCTAGATAGGGTCATTATGGATCAGAATCGACTTAATGAAATTGGGTGCATAATGGCATCCATAAAGATAAAGAGTATGCCAAAAGGTTACCTTTCAAGAAGAAATCATAGACATATAAAACCCTTTTGAATCTACTTTCTAGAGTGACTTCTTCAGCAAGTCGCCTTAAAAATCTGATTTCTTCAATACAATGAGTAAATGTAGGTCCATGTCTTATGTGGAAAACAATGATCATGATTATAAGACATACAAGACCAAAATGCCAAAGAATTTTACACATTAAAGTATACCTGTTAGGTATCTGGCACTGTTCTAAACTTCAGGGATACCATAGTAAGCAAAGTAAAGTTGACCTCTAGAATCTTACATGACAACTAGGTAAGTATGTGAGATGGTGATAAAATGCTATGGAAATCATAATGCATAATAAAGAGAAAATAATATGGGGAATCGATGTTTTAGTTTGCTATAATAGTATTCTTCTGGGACCTGAAAAAGCCTACCTGATGAGGCAAGATTTGTACAGAGACTCAAAGAGAGAAAGCAGAAATGACATTTGTAAGAAGATTTGATTTCAGGGATTTTAAGGTCAAAGGTAGAGGCAAAGGCTCTGCAATGAAAACATTCTTAATTGGTTCAAGAGATAGTAAGATTGTAAAATAGTATTAACTTAATTAAACTTGGTGTGTAATTGGTACTGGTGATTTGATATAAGGAAGGTCCTGAACATGGGAGTTAGGCAGAAGAGGAACTTATTCTAGCCAAGTGACATAGTCTCCCATTAAAAAAAAAAAGTACCCTTGATCCCTTTATTGAGACTAGATAGGAGGAAGAGAACGGGTACTTTAAACCAGTTAAGAGGCGTTTAGTGATAATCCCTGCCAGATACACTGGTGGCATCAACCAAGATGGTGGCAATTGACATAGAAAATGGTTTGATTTGGGGTATATTTTGTAGAGTCTATAGGATTTACTCATGAATTAGAAATGAAATGAGTTTAGAAAAATCTCTACAGTTATTACAGACATACAGCGGCTTCACAAAAATCATGAAAAACTCCATTAACTTTTTATTTCATTTTTCCACCAACTTTGTGAAGCCTCCTCGTATGTAAATTCTTTGTATAAGGTTTTCTCTAACCTGAATGTTACTTGAATAAAAGGCCTTGCTAATTTAGTAATTTAGATCCCCATCACTTAAACTTTCCCTTTTTTTTAAGCATATTTGAATCTCTGTGTATATCATTCTAATTAATACCCTATTTTCTAAAATAGTACAATATCAGCTTATATTCTGAGTAGTTACAATAGATAATCTTAGTAACTTTTCCAGAGAGATTTCAAGGAATTTTTCTTAAATGGTAACATTGTTTTCCCTCTTTTGAACAATATACTCCGTATTATCTATATTGCCTACCAATGTAGAGCTGCCCAGTGTTGCCAGTAAGGGTCTTCAGGAGACATTTTACATGTTAGGCTGTCTACAAGAATACAATCCCTCTGCCTATTAAAGGGAATTCACTTTCGCAGTCTTCACTTTTTCCCCCTGAATCAGCTTTTAGTCTCTGTTGGATCATATGCATTGCATAGAGACTTATAGTCATCTCTCCCATCTTCAGAAATATTATGTTGACCCACTTGACCTTCATTTTCCAGGCTCGGCCCTTTATCTTTGTACTCCTTTCCTACAAAATTCCTTGATAGAATTATACTTGTCTGCTGTTCTAATCCTTCCTTCCCAAGTTTTTTCTTAACCTTATTCTACTTCAGTTTTGCCTATTCTCATCTGACTAGCTTATTTCTAAAATTAACAGTTTCCTTCATGTTGCTAAATAATCATTTCTTAGTTCTTGGCTTACTTGATCTGTCAGTAACACTTGTCACAGCTGGTCATTCTTTCCTCCTTCATACAATTTTTTTGTCACTTGGCTTCCAAGATACTTTCTGGCTTTCTTCTTGCTCCCTTACTCCTCTATTCTTTGCTGGTTTCTCTTTTCCCAACCTCTATAAATATTTATCACCATCTATACCTGCACTTTGGCAATCTCCTTTTACTCTGTGTTCTGATCTTAGCATAGCATGCTCTCTGGTAACACTTCTTTCTTGATCATCTTGATATTTCCTTCTGACATGCCTAACTTACTCTCATAGGAATGGTGAAACTGACCACTACAAAGTTAAGAGCCCTCTTCACTTTATTTACATATTCCCACCCAGTGACTATTATAAAAACTATTGATGGAAAAGCCATATCAAGCAATTTCCCTTCACCACAAATGGGTATGCAGTTGTTTCTGCCATTTTGAGTCATACCTATCAGCAAATGAAAATCCTGGAAGCTTTACTCCCACCCCCACACCACCCCTTTAAGGTTGACTCTCTTTGAGAAGGCAGCTCTTCCTCAGTAATATTCCGAGTGCCTTCTAACTTGAGAGGCTGTATATGACATTGTTCCACTGGCATCCATAGGTTCTTAGTGACTTACTTCCTCCAAAGTGGACAGCCTATCTTGCCTTTGTAGTTTGTGCTGCATCTAGTAGCTCTTCTGAAAACTGTTCACCTTGAGGGTCCCTGCTTAATAATTTGAAGTACTGGTGATATTGCTTCCAGCATCATAATAACATGCAAGCTGCCAATGCATAGCAAACTGCACCCCAGTGGGACCTTCATTTCCTGATGACACAACTGAAAATGAGAAGAAACAGATGCCAGCATCTGCTACTAATCTGAAACTTGAACTATATATGAAGAATAGCAATGTATCAAGATTGAAGAAAGGTTTATTAAAAACCTGTAATACGCAGATGACACGACTGCATGCTGAAAGTGAAGAGAACTTGAAGTATTTGCTGATGAAGATTAATGATTGCAGCCTTTAATATACTTTACAACTCAATGTAAAGAAAACAAAAATCCTTACTTACAACTGGATCAATAGCCAACATGATAAGCAGGATAACATTTTTTAATAGTTTTATTGACATAATTCACATATACTGGTCAATGGTTTAAATATATTAAAAAATTACAGAATCACCACAATCAAATTTAGAATATGATTTTTGTTCTTATACTCATTATCACAAGCTCCCCACTACCCCCCAACTGCCTCTATCTTAGCCCTAAGAAAATTAATATAGTTACTGTATGAATTTACCTAAGTCTGGGTGGACTAGAGAAACAATTTCAAAGACACTCACTTGTGTATAAAAAAGAGCTTTATATCAAAGAGTAATTGTATATTGAAAAACCAGCCCGGTCCATAAGTCCAATATTAGCTCATATCCAATACCAGTCTGTAAATTCCTCATGCAACACGTGTAATAATGCCAAATGCAGGAAGATCACAGACCAGTGGGTGGAAAGTCTTGTGGCTCCGGTGGTACTGGAAGTATCTCAGCACTGGCAGGGTTCTCCACGTGGCTCCAGGACTCTAGCACAGTTCCATGTGTCTTCTCAACAGGAATATCTCACAGTGGGTGTGTATGTGTGCTGTCTCTAGCAAGCTATTTATCTCTTCAGTACCTCTAAATGAGGTCATTAAGCTGTGACCTGATTGACAGGCTAAACTCCACCACTTCACCCTTAAGTCTCAAATTGGCAACAGATTATATAACTACCACACATGGATTTCATATGAAAATCATACCAAGAAAAACCTCAACCCAAAAGAAAGCAGGAACTCATAAAAATTATAACAAATTTTAAATGGATCAAAAGGAAGAGCAAGTGGTAGGGTGTTAAATTTTAGCATAATTGCATCTGCATTAATCCACTTTCCAAGGAAATCTAATAGCAAAGCTATTCACATCTCTGGGCTATGATCAGAAGGATTCAAAAGATGCTTAATCCACGAGGATTCTACAAATGAATTTTGGACTTTCACTGTCATTCAGGTGTTCAGATTTTAAACACTAATGCCATTCCCTCTGGTCTACAATTTTATTATTTACAATCTTTGAATCACACAGGCTGGTGTGCTTCCGTATGGAATTAGCTGACATCTCACTTGGATATATGGCTCCTTGTGTTAACACAAACCTGTAAGACTCGTTATCATTGGTTCTCAACCTTCCTAATGCCGCAACTCCTTAATACAGTTCATGTTGTGGTGACGCCCTAACCATACAATTATTTCCGTTACTACTTCATAATTAATTTTGCTACTGTTATGGATCGGGCAACCCCTGTGAAAGGCTTGGCTTGTTCAGCCCCCAAAAGGGTCACGACCCACAGGTTGAGAACCACTGCTCTATATGCTGTTTTTTTTCTTCTGATAGCTGGGTGCTATCTGATGTCTTCTTACTTTGCTGTGGAACCCATATCGTCAGTGATACTTCATGAGAGCGGTCCTTAGTAGGGACACATCGCAAGGACTAAATTGTTTATAGATTGGGGCATATGATTAAGTGCAAGCTCAAAATCCATTCTTCTTTGGATGTTTTATATATGTCCCCGTTCCACTTTATATAACCCATACATACTTCTGGAAAAAGTTACAGGCCCGGAATCTCACAGGGGCAGTTCTACTTTATCCTATGTGGTCGCTGTAAGTCAACATCAACTCAATGACAATAAGTTAGTTTGTTTTTCAGTTTTATGTCCACTTTAGAGACATTATCAGTTGTTGGGGAATATTACAGAGAAAAGATTGAGATTGTCAAGGGTTCATCTTGCTTGAATCCACAATCAGTGCTCAGGGAAACAGCTGTCAACTCAAATAAGGTATTGTATTGTAGGAATATGTTGCATAAGACCATGTAAGCTATTGAACAAGGGTGTCACTTGGACTAAAGTGCACTTGACCCCCAGGTCATGGTATTTTTAACTGCCTCTTACTGTGAAAATTGGACATTAAATAAAGAAGGCTAAAGAAGAATCAGTGCATTTGAATATGGTGCTCGTTAAGAATACTGTCGTTAAGAATACTGTCAAAAACCAAATCTCTTTTTGAAGTACAGCCAGAATGCTCGTTAGAAGAGTTTAGATTTGTTACATGAGAAATCAGTCCCTGGAAAAAGACAACTTGCTATAAAGTAGAAGGGCATTGAAGTACAGGAAACCCTCAAATGGACTAACACAGTGACTGGAACAATGGGCTCAAACATCACAACTGTGAGGATGGTGTAGGACCAGGAGGTAGTGTTTCTTTATGTTGTACATTGGGCCACAGTGAGTCTTAATTGAATAACACCTACCAACAACAAAAGATGGGATAGAGGAGTTTCAATCTCCTGTGGATCGGCATGTTTAATTTTAAGCAAACATCTTGGTCTTAGCAAATTTTTGGTTTGATGAATACCAAAGGCTTTCCATGAAGATAAACTAGCTGAAAGCTATAATGTTTCCATCAGTCTTTAAGCTAAGGTGACCAGATGACCTGCTTTTGGCTGGACAGTCCGATTTTTAACAATTTTTCCCACATCCTGCAGCATTTTTTAAAAGTCCCAATTTTGGGGAAGAATGCACGACAAGCTAGGGTATACAGTTTTCGGCTGCCATGTGGCCATTTCACCAGGACATGAGTTTTATCAATGGTGTCCCGCTTTACCAATGTTAAAATCTGGTCACCTTACTTTAAGCAACATTGAGGCTAATGAAAATATTTTAGAACAAATAGTAACCATGAGGAGTCTTGAATATGCCAATTCAGAGAGCAAAATTCAATCAAAACGGTGGCATTCAGTGGGACATGCTAGGCTAGTTCAGTTCTAGGCTAAGAGGTCAATTTAAAGTAAAATTATGAAGACTGTTTAAGGATGGTCCAAAGGACCAATCCAGATAGATTTTTTCAAAGGACTTTTTTCGTACTATTTTAAGTTTAGAGAAAAGAGCCAGAAAAGTTGTACCTAACAATTTTTTTCTATCACAGACAGTGTACCTGTTTATTCCTTGATGCTTCAAGGATGGCAAGGGTTTTCCTGCAGTAATTTTATTTGGAAACCTTACCCTATCTACTATACAGCCCTGATATTGCCCATTCAGTTTTTGTTTTATTCCCCAAACACCAGGAAAATATACAATGAGTGCAATTTGAGGCCCTCCGGGATGTCAAAACTTGTTTTGATGTAGTGTAAATTAGCAGGTGCAGAATTCTTCAGGGAAAGGTTAGAGAGATGGAAACACCACCTTCATAAGTGAATAGTTCTAAATGGCAGCTGTGTCATAAAACAGTAGCTTCAGATTTTGATACTTTTAATAAAGGTTTCTAATTATTTGGTAGCAATAACTTATTAATTACCCTCGTGCTTACCAAAAGCATGTAGCTGGCCAATGGAAAGTAAACTTAGCAAAGGTTTACTGCAGATCTGGTTTGTAGAAGTAGCCTTTTGTGTAAAATTAACACTTTCTGAAGGTTATGGTTCCAGCTACCATAGAACCCACTAGAAGAGGTGATTGGGTAGGAGTTTCACAACTTGAGCTGGTGGTAAAGACTGATAAACGAGTGCACTGAGTATAAAATGGCTTACCAAAACACAGGAAGGAAGTGGCTTCCTGCTGCCGTTGTCGTGGAATGTCACCCTAGTATCCTTTGTTAATGTAGTCTTAACATTCTGCCAGCCAGCAGACTAGAAGTAGTTAGAGGGTCCAACTCCAGTGCACTTGACCCACGCTGTGGAATTTTCAGTCTCCTCATAATGCATATGAAAGTCAGACATTCCATAAGGAAGACCAAAGTAAAATTGACGCATTTGAATTATACTGCTGGTGAAGAATATAAAGTACCAGCAAATATGTCTTGGTAGAAGTATGACCAAAATGCTCCTTAGAGTCAAGGATGGAAAGACCATTCTGCGGAGAAGTACATCAAGCTTTGTAAAGTAGAAGGGCAGCAAAAAAAAAGGAAGACCCTCCACAAGATGGATTGACACAGTGGCTACAGCAATGGGCTCAAATACAACAACAATTTGGAGATGGAGCTGTACCAGACATTGTTTTGTTCTGTTGTATATAGGGTCGTCACGAGTCGGAACTGGCTTGACGGCACCTAACACCAACAACTTGACTCACAGAGCAGAGCATAAAAGATGAACAGAAGCAATAAATTGATAACTGCTATAAATTATTAATAGATAACTCAAACTCAGTCCAAGTTTGAATTTAACACCGTTAAATGAAAGCCTTCCTGTAACCTTGGTCTACTGGTAATTTAGTTAATCTTAGTTTATTACTCTTTCATATCTCTTTTTTAATCTATTAGGAAATTATGCTTTGTATCCAGAATCTAACCATTTTGTCACTTCAGCTAAACCCACTGTCATGTGTTGCCTGTATTCCTGCAGTAGACTCCTCACAGCCTTTGTATCTGCCCTTACTCCTTACAGTCATCTGAGCACAGCATGTTTTAAAGCATCAGTGGTATCATGCCCCTTTTGCTCAAAAATCTTAAAATTGCCTTCCATTCCAAAGTAAAGCCAAACGTCTTAAAATAGTCTTCAAGGTTCTAAATTATCTGATTCCCTTCTAAGTTTTATCTCCACTTCTCTCTCTGTGTTGTTAATATATTGGATGATGCTTAATCTGTTTGGGAAATCACATATTTTTGAATTATTTAAAGAATGTGATAGGAATGGATGGTAGAATAAAAAGATGATAGAATGGGATCAAATATTGTGAAATGAAGAGATATTGAGGATTAAGTAAGACTATATAGTTCAAAACCTGGCATGAGATAGGTAAAGAATATCTGACAAACAGTAACAGTATTGATCATCAGGAGGTTGAATGACATCAAATTTACATTTTTTAAATTCTGGTACCTTTGTTGATTAGAGAGGGGAGGGCAACTGCGAACCAGTTGTAAAAGCTGACAGACTCTTAGATGATGGATTCAAGGCTTGATTTCTAGCACTATTAATAAAAGCAAGTAGAAAGTTTATTTTTAGTAATTAGAATAGACTAAGACTAAGGGAAAGGTAAATTTTAATCATGTGTTTCTAGCTTACATAATGATGCCTCCAAACTTGATAGGTAATTAGTGTTTTGAAAGCATTGTTTACATTTTGCTTTGTTTTTGTTTTGTGTTAAACTGTATTCTTTATTATTTCCAATTGTGGTCCAGATCAGTTTTTTAAAAACGTTGCTGTTGAATTGATTCAGAATAGCACTACAGGTCAGAGTAGAACTGCCCCCATAGGATTTCCAAAGCTGAAAAATGTTTCTCAAATCCAACTTTCACATCTTTCTCTAGGGAGCACCAGATGGATTCAAATTTTATACCTTTTAGTTGATGGCCCAGTGCTTAAACCATTGTGCCACCAGAGCTCCTTACCCACAGAATCTATTCAAAGATAACCAAGTGGTACAATGGTTAGGGTTCTCAGATGCTAACCAAAAGATGGGCACTTCAAACCTACAGGCTGTAATGATAAAGAAAGATGTGCTTACAGCCTTGGAAACCATATCTACAATTTAACTCACTGTTAGTAAATGATTGCCTAACATTTAGCATTTTTCAAAGGAAAAATTCTTATATGAAAGAAGATGAATTTAGAATCTAGACACAAGTCCAGATTCTCAGGGTCACATTAGTTAGCAATTCACTCTTTTCATTTTGTGGAATTTATTTATTTATTTATTCATATTTTCCATATTTATTCATATTCAGATTATTGATTCATATTTATTTTCCTTAGAATGCATAAGCTTGTGAAGCCTTCGACTGAAAAGAAATATGTGGATCTTACTGTATCATTTGCCCCTGATAGTGATGGAGATGAAGATTTACCTGGACCTCCAGTAAGATACTACTTCAATAATGACACTGATTAGCATTCTTTTCTTCTAGTTGCTCTTTGCTCTCTAGAAGGAGTGCAATCAGAATCTAAAAGTATCAGCTCATAATACGATGGATTTCTCCATGATGAAGGCTTAATAAAGGGAAGCACCAGGAGGAAACAACATTGAAGAACTATAAAACATTGGAAATTGGGAAATAATATACACTTGTTTAGTGCTTCTTGCACAAATGTGATCACAAACAAGTTTGAACTGGAATTCCATTGTATAATGCTTATAACAAATGTATGTGTTAGCCTCTCTGGGTGGAACGAAAAATATCCATCAATGACCAAAAGAGTTTGAGGATCAATCAAGAAATTCAAAGTAACAAACACACCTTGCCAAAAAATTTCATCTCCCCCCCCCCACCGTTAGTATTTGAGGCCCATTTTTCTATCCAAGTAGTGTTTGGCAGCCTACACTTTTATTCAGCCTGAGAATTTAACACTAGTGGAAAAAGGAAGAGAGGGTGGTGGCAGTGTCTGAAAAGTGGCATTTTAAATTGTGTAGTTAAAATAATATGACCTGTTAATCTCTATTACATTGTTCTATCACTATCATTCCACAAATTGGGCCTACTGTTGATAGCATCACTGTTGTAAACTACGAGCAGATCAAATAACACATGTTAACTTCAACTAAATGTTAAAGTTAACTTTGACTCTGACAACCCTCTTTAAAGAATCCATAAATGTGAACATATAAATGTTGCTAATCTTTTGGTTCTTAAATATGCGATCTAGTAGACTTATTTATTTGAAACTAAACCTAATTGCCATAATATATAAAACTGAAAGGTTTTGTAAAAGGGTTGTCCTTAGAAATAGATAGAAACTAGAAATGTTAAAATCTTCACTAGTTGAGTCTTTGTTTTGTTTTGTTTTGGGTTTGTTTTGGTTTTTTGTCCAACAGTCCAGTGGATAAAAAATTAGCATAATAATCATTTTTATTTTAAAGAAGAGCTTATTTTATTCTCCATTTCCAGAAAGGAGGATTTTTGACTAAAATAAAAATTTATTTTTTTAAGCCTTTATTGATAGAAACTTTGTTTTCTTATATAAAACTATTGCAAAAGTGCTTTCATTGAAATGATAAAAAGTGCATTACCACTGTGTAAACTCAATGAGAATAGCAAGTAACTCTTATTTCTAAAGTTGCCAGGCTTTCTAAAGCATTTGGCATTTTGTAACTACAGAGTAATTATCTCTCACAACTTATTTTCTGTCCTCTTATTTAGCCCAAGTACTACAGTAAACTAAAAACTAGATTCACATCAGTATTATTCCAATTGTGTCCCTTTTTACATTCTGTATTTAGTCTTACTCCAGGTACAAGTTGTTTACTTTGTTGGCCAGTTGGATTGTTTGATTACTCTGTAAAAGTATCATTAAAACGCTCACTTAGAAAAATACATTTGGGGGTGATGGATGAGTTTGTATGGTTAAAAGAAAATACGTTGGAAGTGGGGAGAAATAGACATCAGTTTGAAAGGAATTGGCTCCCTGAAATAAAACCATTCATTACCTTTTGTTCTCTGTCTTACCTTTCCCATCATACATAGCCACTAACTGTAATGCTTAAAATTTGTGTTATTTAAAATTGAATCCAGGAAAATTAAAGCCCTGTGACATGGAACTTCACTGGCTAGAAACAATAAAAGAATCTTTGTTTAAGAAATCTTTTTTCCGGCCTTATTACTTTGTTTGCTTTTGGACAATAACCCATACTTTCCAGGAAGCCATTTGTCAACCCTTAAATGTGATCTGATAGTATGCTTATATTTGACCTGTCTACAGACCTCTTCAAAAGTAAATTTAGAGCCATGCTGTCAGTGTTAGCAGCTAAAAATTAAGTCAGTAAGCAATTGAGTTCATTTAATAATTAAAACCAACAGCCATTTTGTCATCTTTTATTTTGGGGTATTATGTCCATGGGTATTTACATAATTCTATTTAGAAAGCCAGGATAAAGTTAATGACATTTCTCATTGATTTATTTCTCTACTGTGAAATTACTGTTGACAATTGACAATACCAGATGAAAAAATGCATAAGATTTTGTACAGTGTTGTTGCTGTTAGGTGCCATCAAGCACCAAAGATGGCCCAGTCCTGCACCATCTTCACAAATGTTCCTAAGCTTGAGTCCACTATTGAAGCCATGGTGTCAGTCCATTTCCTTGAGAGCCTACCTCTTTTTCACTGCTGTCTACTTTACCTAGCATGTCTTCCAGGGACTGGGTGTCTCATGACAACATATCCTACGTATGTATGTAAGGTGAATAAGGAGTCCTCTGGCTATAGTTCTTCTAAGACAGATTTGTCTGTCTTTTTAGAAGTCCATGGTATTTTCAACATTGTTTTCTAGCACCACAACTGAAATGTCTTGATTCTTCTTCGGTCTTCTATATTCATTATCCAACTTTGAAGTGCATATGAGGCGGTTGAAAATGCCATGATTTGGGTCAGGCACACTTGAGTGCTCAAAGTAACATCCTTGTTTTTCAGTACTCTAAAGAGATCTGCAGCAGATTTACCTAATGCAACATCTTTTGATCTCTTGACTGCTGCTTACATGAGCATTTATTGTGGATCCAAGAAAGACTAAATCTGTGATAACCTCAACCTTTTCTCCATTTATGATGTTACATATGATACAATTGTGAGGATTTGGTGTTCTTTACATTGAGTTGAAATCCATACTGAAGTCTGTCAGCAAGTGCTTCAAGTCCTCATTTTCAGCAAGCAAGTTTGTGTCATCTGCGTATCGTGGGTGGTTAATAAGCATTCCTCCAATCCTGATGTCATGCGCGTCTTCATATAAGTCAGCTTTTGATGATTTGCTCAACATACAAATTGAGTAAGTACGATAAGAGGATACAACCCTTTCTCACACTTCTGAATTTCAGCCATGCAGTATTCCTTGGCACAGTACCACTAAGTAATTTTTTACTTAGTAAAAATAAGAAAACTGACAACACCTTTATAAATAACTTCCTGTAATTGACTAGAGATTTCAATTCTGATTCATTTTGTGAAAACAAGTTTGGGTGTTCTCTAATTGGCAAGTTCTACAGTTGAGATAAAATAGTGAGTATGGTTCCTTTACCATTTCCCTCTTAGAAACTGCTAACAGATGGGAGGAAATGGTGACCACATAAAACTGAAAAATCTGATAAAAAATGTAACTGCTCTGCGGGGGACAACACCAGAGACACAGTGTGGGAATTGCACCCAATCTGATCCCGCCACACTGAGGCAAAGTACTGGGGGAGTGCAGCGGAACAGCAGGGGAGGGGAGCAGCAAGATCCCCAGGGAATGATGAGGGTGGACATTGGGAACAAGGCATGGTGCCCCAACAGATTGGACTGGAAAACACTCTTAAAGGCCAGCGATCCTTGAACTAACTACAAGCTTTTCTTTCTTGGTATATTTTAATTTGTTCTTTGTCAGTGGCTTGATGTTATTGCTGTTTTGTTGTACATTGTTGCTTGGTTTTGCTCTGTCTTGTTTTTGTGCGTGTTGTCTCCGCAGGTCTGTCTGGATAGGACAGGCTGGATGAATAATCTGGAGGAGAAAACAACGGGGCTGACAGTTCCGGGGGAACATGGGATAGGGGGAGGTGGGGGAAAGGGAAGAGGTGTTAACAAACCCAGGGACAGGGAAACAACAAGCGATCCAAGAGGGAACCGATTACATGGAACTGTGGGTGACCTCCTCCCTGGGGGACAGACAACCAAAAAGTGGATGAAGGGAGACGTCGGACAGGGCAAGATATGACAAAATACCCATGTATAAACTATCAAGGGCTCATGCGGGAGGGGGGAGCGGGGAGGGAGGGGAAAAATGACCTAATGTCGGGGGTTTCAATGGAGAGAAAATGTTTTGAGAAACGATGTACAAATGCGCTTTACACAATTGATGTGTGTATGGATTGGGATAACAGTTGTATGAGCCCCTAATAAAATGTTAAAAAAAAAAATGTAACTGCTGGTTTGGGGACTTTCAGAATCTTTATAGAGTACAAAGCAATATTTTTATTGACCTATAAATTTCTCATAATTTGTCCCAAAAGTAGAACTCGGAAATAGTGTATCGTTGTTTTTACTTTTTATCTCTTATGGCACATTGACAACACATTTTTTAAGAAATCAGTTCTATTTAGAGTTCACAATTTTAAAAATAGTTCACAATTATATAATTGTTAGATGATAGTTCTCACTGACAGATTCTGTGCACTACAAAACAAAACACTGCTGCCTCGTCCTGTTCCATCCCCACCATGGTTATGTTGTGTCAGTCCATCTCATCGAGGCTCTTCCTCTTAGTTGCTCACCCTTTACAAAGCATGATGTGCTTTTCCAAGGACTGATCTCCTGATAGCATGTCTAAAGTACGAGACAGTCTCAGCATCCTTGGCTCAACGAGTATTCTGGCCGTACTTGTAAGACAGGTTTGTTTGATTTTATAATAAGTACAAATGTAGACGAAATATATTGTTATGTTCCTGAGGAAAGATCTGTTGACCTAATGCTTTTTTCTAATTATAATCATATATATGCATCATGATTGCAAATCCTAAGTATGGGTTCAACTATTATTTTTACAGATTGAAAAAAGTTGGGAATTTGAGGTCTTAGGGTTCTTAGTAATCAGCAAGTAATTGTGTTCATTTTCTTCTTGTCATATCCTGGCTTTTCTCTCTAACTGGAATTTTTTATTTTTTCTATAACCATTCAAGTCAAGAAGTAGAACATTAACAGCATCTCAGCAGTTCCCAAGATGTCCCTTCCAAATCACAAGCATCTTCTCAACATAAACCCGCTGTCCTGTCTTTTGTTTTAACTATGTGCTTGTTTTGTTTGTTTTACCACCTGTGGGTGTAAATTAGGCATTAAAGTTTACTTTTGACCTTTTAGAAATTATACTGTATGCATTCTTTTGTGACCCTCGTCATTCAGTATTATAATCATTTAATTCACACATGGGTACTTATGACTACTTTGTTACCATTGCTTTATGAGGTGGCTTCAGAAAGCTTGTGGACAAATTTCATTGTCTTTACTCCATTTTCCCATGAAAATGAAATTGCTAGATCATACAAGATTCACTATTCACTGCCATTGAGTGGTTTCCACTTCATAGCAATTCTATAGGGTAGCAGCTCATCTTGTAACCATTACACTACTAGGGTTCCTACCTATTTTCAGTGTGTATGTGAGGGTTTTGGGGGTTTTTTTTATCCTAAGCAATCCTGTTTCACGTTTTGGACAAAATTATTTCATTTTTGTCAATCAGATAAAGGAACAATTGAGATTTTACTTGGTATCTCTAGAATTAAAAGGTCACTTTTTGATAAGTTACATTGGTCAGATAGTCTATTTTTGACAAATTGTCTTGGTATGTGTTGCCAATTTTTCTATTGAATTGACCTTCCTTACTGATTTATAAAAATAGATATATCCTGTCCGTTGTTGGATAAAACCACTCACTGCCTGGCTCATTGTGACCCTACATAAGAGTTTTGGAGACTAAATCTCCAGGAGACATCCTTATCTTTCTTGGAGTGGCTGGTGAATTTGAACCCTTCACCTGGCAGTTAGCAGCATAATGCCTAACCTATAATGCTGCTAGGGATCCTTTATACATATAAAAAACACCATGAGAGGAAAATCAGACCATCGTGGGACAGGATATTTGCAGCTATAAGTCTTTTTGAATATTAAAGTCTTTAAACAGGGCAAAACAATGGGGATCATTAGTATGAGGCCATAATAGTGTCCAAGGGTTTGCTGATACTACAAAAGTCAGACAGTCAAGGAAAATTGTCTCAAATGCATGGTTGGCAACTCAATATAATTCTCTGATCATGGATTTTATGATTTATAATCCTTGGGTCATACGGGCTAATATGTTCCTTACACACAGACTTGGGTGATACCTGATTTATATAGTTGCTTGTTTTAGGAAGTCTTGAGGCCCACAGAAGTTATTCTTTCTGATAGTTAGCCACCATCTAATTTTCACTGCACACAACATAATGTTCTTTTGATAAAAAGATAGTTTACTATGCTGAATGTGACAAATTCAAGAGTGATGTGACACGGTGTGGTAGTTACATAATTTCCATGTCAACTTGAAGTGAAGGGGGAATGTAGTTTGTCAGTCAGGTCACAGCCTGATGGTACTTCCTGGTGGGTGTGTCCTCACAAGGAGGATCCTCCCTCCCCACCTCTCTTCTCTGTACCACCTTCCTGTTGGCCAGTCATGACGCTGAGACCTGCCAGAGCCCTGTAGATACATTGGATCTACAAGACTGCACCCACAACACTGGCCTGTTACCTTCCTGCGTTTTGCATCATATCATGTGGGTACTGAGTCTGAAGAGGACCAATGGACTAGTATTGGACTGACATACTTGATCTGGACTGGGCTGGGATTGTTGTTTGATATATAATTGTTGATGTAAAGCATTCTCCTATGAGTGTCTCTGGATTGTTCCTCTAGTCAATCTGACTTAGCACACATGGCATTAAATATCTATTTTTTAAAATGCATTCCAACTCTATCTTGGTGGGATATTTACATGCCTAAAGAGAAGTCTACTTAATACAACTATTGCCCAAGTTTACACATGAACTATTTAATGAAGAAAATGAAAATGCTGCCAACTTCAGTCTAAAATAAACATACAGCAAAGGTATAATTATTGGTGATGGAATGCAAAATTTGTAAATTTTGGTCTTGGTGATACAAATAAAATGAAATAAGTAGGGAAATGAGGTCTTGGTGATACAAACAAAACGAAATTGCCTTATAGATTTTTGCAAGACCACTGACTCATTGCAAATACCTTAAACAAGTGGTGACTATACACATGGACTTCAACAGATGCTTTACACAGGAATCAAATTACATCTGTAGGAAGAGACAATGGAGAGACTAATATTATCAGCCAATATGAGGCCAGGGGCCAACCATAGAAAAGATGCTTGCTCATATATAAATTCAGATAGAAAATAAAAAGTCCAAAATACAACCTTGAGTATGTCTGACCTAAATTTCCAGAACATCTTAACTGATTTGACACATTGAACACAGAAAAAATGTGAATAAGAAAGTCACATGAAAGCAAAAGTATTTAAAAGGAAAAGAGAAAAGATCAAAATGGATCTTAAAAGAGATAAAACTTGCTCTTGAATTCTGAGTAGATAAATGAAGTATGAATGCTAAAGAGAAAATTTCAAAGAACAGCTCAAGAAGATAAAAGTACAATCGTACAAAAAGAACACAGCATGTCAAGCTGAAAGTTTGAAGAAAAAATTCAAGCAACAAATTAGAACAGTGAAAGATTCTATGGGTAAATGATGCAGAAAGCATCATTGTACCAAAACAACATTTAGCCATTTCAAGAGGTAGCTTGTGATCAATAACCAAAGATAGTGCAGAAAGAAAGCCAAGCTGCACTGAAGGCATTAGCAAAAAAGCAAAACTAGAAATAGATGAAGCACCAATTTGAAATATTTCAGCAAGCTGCTGAAGCACTAGAAGCACTCATCTCTCCCAAGAAAATTAGAAGACAACTAGCTGGCCAACCAACTGGAAGAGATCCATATTTCTGCCAATTCAATTGTCACATAATAGAATATGGAAGTTACAGAGCAATATAATGTGCAAGTATAATAGTGTAATATAAGATACAATAATAATTTATAAATTATCAAGGGTACATGGGGGAGGGGAGGAGAAAAGAAGGGGGAGGGGGGAAAAGGAAAATGAGCTGATTCCGGGAACCCAAGAGGAAAGCGAATTTTGGGAATAATGAGGGCAACAAATGTATAGATGTGTTTTACACAATTGATCTATGTGTTGTGATGAATTGTATGAGCCTCAATAAATTGATTTAAAAAAATAATGTGCAAGTAAAAATAAGTATAGATCATTCAACAGTGGTTGCAGGGGTTATCAACAGATAGCTGCCAGATTCGAGTTGGATCCAGAAGAGGGCTTAACACCAGAGATAGCCTTGTTAATTACAGGTGGACCTTGACTTAAAGTGGAAACTACCAGAAAGATCTTGTGTTTGTGCCAAAGCTTTCAACTGTGCAGATCATAAGAAACTATGGATAATATTATGAATAGGTATTCCAGAACCCTTCACTGTGCTCATATACATTCTGTGTCTGGATCAAGAGATAGGTGGTAGAACAGAACAAGGGAATAAATTCATGGTTCAAAGGCGGTAGAACAGAAAGAGAATAAACTCATGGTTTAAAACTTGGAAAGGTGTGCATCAGGATTGTATTCTTCACTATTCAATTTGCATGCTGAGAAAATAATTGAAAACACTGGTGTGTTAATCCCGATTGACTAGAGAAACAAATCCAGGTACATTCATATGTGTGTAAGCGGGAACATTATATCAAAGAGCAATTGTATATTGAGAAAACATCCCAGCCCAGTCCAGATCAAGTCCCTAAGTCCAATACTAGTCCATGAAACCTTCAGACTTATGTAGCCACTTGTAATGATGCCAAATGCAGGAAGATCACAGGCCAGTGGGTGGAAAGTCTTGTGGACCCGGTGGTGGTGGAAGCATCTCTATCTACTCTGACATGGGTCTGCATGTGCCTTGTCAACAGGAAGATGAAGGGAGAGAGGGAGATGAGGTTCCCAGGATCCTCATGAGGTCATGCCCACAAGTAGGCATCATTAGGCAGTCGCCTGATTGACAGGCTATGCTCCAACCCTAGATTTATCAAATTGGCATGAAATCATGTAAGTACTACAGTGCTACATCAGGATTTGAGAAAGGCGTACTAACCTGAAATGTACAGATAATACAATCAGAAAAAAGAAAGTCTCTCCAGAAGATTGATATAATAACTGCAATAATAGGCTCATAAGGACAATTTCAAGGAAGACACAAGAGCAGGAAATGTGTCATTCTGTTGTGTATAGAGTTACCAAGTTGGACCCAACTCTATGTCCCTTAGCAGAAATAGTAATAATGTATGTAGAAAATATTCACGAGATTTTAATTCAGATCTAGTTTGAGGCATGGAACCAGTAATTTTATGGAGTTGACTAGATACTGACTAGTCATCTAGTAGATAACTTAGAACCATGGTCAAACAGCTATCCTTATGAAATGAGGTGGTTATGTTAAGTAGCCTTTTGAAATAAGGTGGTTATATAGCCGTTGGACATCCTTATAGATTAATTATTTTAAGCAGGTACTAGTTGGTTTTGAGATAGCAAAAAGACAACATTGGGGAAATATAAGGAAATCATTGGTTTATGAAGTTTTATTTCTAATTACAAAAATATAGCATTAAGTAATTAGGAAAAAAGACTTCAATATGTTCAAACTTCTATCTAGAATATTAGAATGGTTCTTATCTGATGAGTTGGTAAAACAAAATTTTAATAAATGTAGTGACCTTTTTTTACAATTAGAATCATGATGTATTAAAGATACTGCTATGAAAATTGTGTTAAGTATATTTAATGGAAGCCTAGGATATTAAAACTCCATTTATAAAGGGCCTCATGTTTTCAATTTTTATATGTATGTCTACCAGTTTCCTGTATTCTGCAATTTTCCTGTAAATTGTATTCATTCTGAAAAGACTGGGAAATTATATGATACAGAGCTTAATTCTTGTGTCTAGGCAAGCGACTTGGAAATTACAATCAAGAGAATACAAGCAATTTTCTTTAAAAGTGAAAATTTTAAAATACAATCATTTTCCACTTCATTTCATATCTGAATTTTTCTTCAATCTCTCTCTCTTCCCATTTATCTTGGAATCTTGGCCTAGAAATTTTGGATAGGAAAGCTTAATTAAATAATGAATACCATTAAGCAAGTTATTTATTAATTTTCTGTTTAGTTTTATTTTCATGTCTATTCTTGAAATAATATAGACATTTAATAAATGTTCCAAACCAGAAAACAATAATTAAAAACAAGTACCCTGCCATCAAGTCAATTCTGATGCATAGTCACCCTATATAAAGTTTCCATGACTAAATCTTTACTGGAGTAGGCAGCCTCATCTATTTCCCAAACAGTAGCTAGTGGATTTGAACTGCCGACCTTTAACAATCCAGTGCTTAGCCCACAGTATCACCAAGGATCTTTTAATAAAAGTTTAATGAAATAATAAATGTTGAATTGCTTTTTATTCTATCATGGATCTATAATTCAATTCCCAGTAAGTTTTTCTGTAGAGATTTTTTCTCTCTCTCTGGCTTAGATTATCTGTTACCCCCCCTACCCTTTTTTTGAAGTAGTATATATTCTCAAAATCCTTATTTTCTGAAGTTGGGGCTGGTAAGGAAATACCGTCAACCAATTTGGTTCTCTCTCTTGCCTTCTAGTTTTAGAAACCTGAGTGCAGACTTGGATTAATAAAAGGTCAGAGAACATACCATTTGTAGAAAATATTTCTTGTAAATGCCTTTATTCAGTTCCCTATATTTGAACCCTTAGGTCAGTGGTTCTCAACCTTCCTAATGCCGTGACCCTTTAATATAGTTCCTCATGTTGTGGTGACACCCCCCCAACCATAAAAGTATTTTCGTTGCTAATTCATAACTGTAATTTTGCTACTGTTATAAATTGGGCGACCCCTGTGAAAGGGTCATTCGGCTCCCAAAGAGGTTGTGGCCCACAGGTTGAGAACCGCTGCCTTAGGTGTTTTAAAACTTCCATTTCTTAGCAGATATGTTAGGCTGGTTTTTCTAGAGAAGCAAATCCAAGACACTTATGTATATAAAAAGAATTTTATATCAAAGAAGAAATTTATATCATGAGAGTGGCCTAAACAACTGCCAAGATGGCTAACCTGGTCCAGCTAATAACCCTGAGTCAGGTGCTAGGCTAAAGGCCCTTCCAACTCACATGGTTGCCAGATGCAGGAAGCAGAAATGAAAGGCCTGGTGGCAGCAGGCAACAGACAGCAGGTAGCAGGAAGGTAAAGATGGACTATAGATGGAGGTGGGCTGCAGGTGGCAGTACCGTGCAGTCAGGAGGTGCTGGACTATAGGCAGGCACAAGTGGTTTGCAACAGACAGGTGAGGCAAGGAGAGGTGAGACTGGGCAGCAACATGTGGCACCCTCGCCAACCAAAAAGAACACCCCTTGCAGCATTTACTTGTATCAAGTATGCCAAATCCTCCAGGCAGCAGCATCAGGCTGTGACACTGGTGTGAGCCTTGCAGGGACTTGAGAAGGGAGACCCCATTGCCAAACTGCAACATCAAGCGAAGTTGACAACGACCTATCACAAGCTCCCACATTCCCATGTATGCCCAAGCCCAATGTGATAGTTAAGGTTTTGTGCCAATTTCAACGGGCTAGGACGCTCCGTAGTTTTGTAGTTTACACTAAATAATTCCCATGACCTGATCTAACACAATGTAATCACAGGGAATCTGGCAAGATTATATAATAGGATAAGATTAGGGTAGAATGCAACACCCTTACTTGGGTCACAATCCTGATGCAATTAATTGCCACGGAAATATGCCCTTCAATACAAGAGTCTGCTGTGGGAAAGCTTACTTTCTTGCTGGGCATAAACCCTGCATCTGGCTCATTCATCTCCAGTTCTTCACCCTCAAGCCAACAGCCTACCGTACTGCTTACCAGTCCTAGGAGTCTTCAGAGGCCTGCCATGTGACCTGGCCACCTTGGATCTGCAGTCACCAGCCTTATGCCTTCCTGCTAATAGTCTGCTCATCAGCTGCATTAGCCCCATGAGTCTGGAGAAGCCTATAGCCTAAGGTCTGATCCATGGACTTAGAACCTGCCCAGCCTTGGGCTTGCCCACTTCTACAACTATGTGAGCTATTTTCTTGATAAACTTTCTATATAGAGACCTACATATACATGTACAGATTTAGAGTTATATATATATATACACACACATATATAAATTTAGACACATGACATATATGTGATTGATATATATATAATTTTGCTTCTCTAGAGAACCCAGACTGAAACACTTAGCTATGACTCCAAACTCCTGAAACGATGATAAGATTCCTGTTCCTTAAAAAGTCAGTATTGTTTCTCAAAATGGGCTTTAACCTTTATTTTTAACTTTTATTGAGGGTTCTGTTGCCACTGTCATTTGCTCTTCCTGTTTATGCATCCACCATCTTAATGCTTTGAAAGAAAACACGTCATTCTTCAGTAGCTAGTCCAATTATTTGAAGTCTCTCTCCTTGAGCTCTTCCAATTCCATGTTTCCCCCTGATCTTTATTTTGTAACAAAGAAATCTGCAAAGTGTTTGATTTGTTTCCAGTCACAAAGCAAACTTAACCAGTTCAGTCACAGAGTAGTAGTTGCCTGGTTATCATCTTTACGAAAACGTGTATTTTGTCTAAGTGCCCCATTTGTTGGGTATTTTTATTCTCCAATTAATTTTTTCTCTACTCGCTCTTACCTTGAGACTAACCCCAAATCAAGGAGCTGCTCTTTGGTAGTGACAGCATGAAGGCCTAGCCAGAAGAACCATGAAAAGGGAGCCCTATACACTGAGAAAAATAGGAGGGAATGGGAATCCTATGGTCCCCCACTCCCCGATAGTTCTAGGAATTGTAGTTCAAGAGGAACTTGAACTTTAAACTTGTTTAACTTATTTAATTAGTAAAACTTTCCAGACAGGTGGCAACCAACTAAGATTATTTCTCTTACAATCTGTCAGAACAAAGGCTTGTTTAGGTAACTATGAAATACAAACAAATTGGATGTATTATATTAAATCTGTTATGGCTTGTCAAATGACTATGTGCAGCAGATACTGCTACAGGGGACGGAGAGACACTCCCACAAAGAGCGTGCCTTGCTGTGCCAATGACTGCATTACAAACAGCAGTTTCAAGATCGCATAACCTGTTCAAGACTGTATGCTTGGATTAATGTTTTGCTGTCACCGTTTTTGTTATTTTTTTCATTTGAGCAAATCTGTTTTGGAAGAAATACAACTAGAATGTTCCTGAGAAGCAAAAATGGCAAGGCCTCATCTCACATATTTTGGATGAAAGATGGTAAAAGCAGAGGGTCAGCAAAAGAAAGGACTTTCAGTAAGATGGATTGATACAGTTCCAGCATCAATGAGTGTGAAGACGGACTGGATCGGGCATTATTCTCTTCTGTTATACTGGGTCGCTATGTATCAAAGCTGATTCAATAGTACCTAACAACAGCAATATCACCATCTTGAAATTCTTTATAGTTGTGACCAAAAAGCTCAGAAATTCCATAGGTAATCCTTACTAATATTTTTATCTGTAGCTCCTCATCACCCACTCCTTATCTTGCCATCTGACTTCTCCCTTTATTTTGAGTAAAACTTCTCTCTCTCAAGTTACCTGCTGTTTAATGGCTCACCCGCCCCACCACCACCATTTTCCCTTAATGTTCATCCAACTGAACTTGACTGGAGCATTTAACATAACTGACAGACCAGTCCTTCAAATTCCCTGTTTGATGTCCATGGCTCTACATGAGTTTGGTTTTCTCATCCCTAAACTTGTTTATTAAAGGCAAGTAGAATGATGGAATAAAATTTCTGTTACCAATATACCTGGGCTAGAATATACTCTATAATTCAGGCTACATTGATATTCCATTGGTCTTCTAAGTCAGCACCAAAATGATTCCCAAACAGATCAATTAAAAACTAAACTGCAGTTCCTTCCTGGCTAGTATTATTAATATGCAGAGTTTTTTATTGTTTTACTGAATACAGCAATAAAATGAAGACCATACCAAGGTTTTCATCAGCTGAATATATAAATGGTCTTAAATTTCCTTGAGTTTCCTTCACAAAATAATCAATGACACTGAAAAGGTTTGGAAGTGTCACCTGTATAAGAGAAAGAGAGAGAACCGATTAAAAGTCACTTACATAAAGAGAGCTTAAGAGAACACTTGATGGATATTTAAAATTAAAGGTGATGACTTTCTGACCAATAGATATTGCGCTTACGTCGTTTACTGAACGACAATGTGTTCTGGATTTTGTCCCCCTGAGAAGTATAAATTGAAGCCTTATACTTGTGAATTTGATCTTGCTGGGAAACAGGTTTTCTTTTGCTATAGCAAAGAAGTAGGGTGGCTCCTAAACCTAATCCGTCCTAAGTGGTATCTAATAAAGGAACGTACAGACAAAGACAACAGGGACACCAGACAGGTTCCATGTGACAATGGAGACAAAGAAGGGGCTCCTAGAAAAGAAATCTCATTCTGCAAAGTCACGCACACGTAGTATTTTTCATTACAGTAGCACTTGATAACTAAAACACCATGGTTTTACCTACCTAGGAGGGGCAAAATTTTGTGTTAATTTTACATAAAGGAGAACTGGTGGCACAGGGTTAAGTTCTCAGCTGCTAACTGAAATGTCAGCGGTTCAAACCAACCAACCACTTCTTGAGAAAAAACACTTGACAATCTGCTCCCATAATGATTATTACCCAAATAAACAAATGGGGAAGCTATATTCTCCCCTGTGGAGTTACTGTGAGGGAGGATTCACTAGACACAATGATAAAGTTGTGCATGTATATATTTTGTATATATAGGGAGGTAAGTAAAACAGTATTTTTACTAAGGTTCCAGTACATATATGCATGCATGGGTCTATCCCAAACAAAATGTGTTTAAATACATCTCTGCTATCTGTGGATGGCTGCATACAAATTCATTCATTAATACACTTGTCTTAGTCTCATTGTGGTACCTTCAAAAAAAAGTTTCAATAAAAACAATTACTTCTTAGTTCAATTCAAGCAGAAAGGTCAGCTCAGATGATTATGGGGAGTGTTTTGGGTGTTCCAAAAGGGTAATCTTGGTAGATTTTCTCAAAGGATACAGGATGATCAGAAGGGCTTCGGAAGAAAATTTCAGAAAATCGAAAACTGCATTGGTGAGGAAAAGGCCATGAAAGCTACACTGAGGAATTTTTTTTCCTGTCATGACAATGCATCACATTATTTATTCTTCATGGGTCACAAAGGATGTCTTACGAAATTCATTAGGAAACCTTACCCATCAACCCTACTCTCCTCATCTCACCCCTTCAGCTCTTTCTGTTCCTAAAACTCAAATATGATGGAAAAAGAACATGCTTTGAGTCCCTTTAGGACACCAACACTTCCATTTTGACATCATGTAAATTGAAAGTACATAATTCTTAAAGGAAAATGGAAACTCCTTCAGAAGTCTATAGACCTAAATGGAAAACGTATCGAGGAGTCCTTCACTCAGCATTTTGAAATGTTAATGTGATAAGGGTTATAATAATTTTAAAGCAATACTTTTTTTAATTAACCTCATATGTCTCTAAACTTGAGAGCTGCTCTTTTGATCCCATTGAGATAGTTCATAAAAGAGTATAATGCTCAAGGCAAATATAGTCAACAGATTTTTGACAAGGGTGAAATGCAAGGGGGAACCCTAAGAAGCTAGAAAAAAGCCACCCTGGTGGAGCTTTCATAGTAAACCACCACCACCCACCCCCAACAGCGAGCATCAAGCACTTGGTGGCATTGTCTAGGAAGGTTCTCTCTGGTCACAGTGATTTTTTTTTGTAAAAGTAGTTTTGCTGGAGCCTCATTTTGTGTGTGTGTGTGTGTGTGTGTGTGTGTGTGTGTGTGTGATGGCCAATTTAAGAGAATGGTATGGCTGTGAACTTTTGTTTCCTGCTCAGGAAAAACGCCACAAAAACTGTTGTGATGTTGAACACACATTACAAGGACAGTGCTGTGGGGGTGGGGTTGGGGGTGGGAATCAAGTGTATGAGTGGTTTTCTCATTTCAAAAAAGGTGAATTGTTGGTTGATTGATTAAAAACCTCATTCCGAATGTCTGTCAACTTCCTGAACAGATGAAAATGTCGATTCATAGTGCATTTGAAGTTCATTCCACCAGGTCAGATTGTTAATCAAGCTTTCTATAAAGAGGTTCTGAAAAGATGCATAACAGTGTGTGACCAAAAAAAGGCCTGAATTGTGGCAGATGGGAGACTGGTTTTGCCACCATGACAATGCACTTGCTCATGCAGCTATCTCAGTGCACCAGTTTTTGACAAATAACAGCATGCCTCTCTTGCCCCATGCACCTTACTAACCTGATCTTGCCCCATGCGATTTCCACAAATGCAGAGGGACATGGAAGGACAGCGATTTGATGGTGTAGAAAAAGTGAAGAAAAAACAAGGGACGTACTGTCAGCCATCCAAACAGATGAGTTTGAAAAATGTTTCCAAGAATGGAATCACAGATTTGACAAATGTTTTGTGTGTAATGGAGAGTACTTTGAAGGTGATAAGGTGGTTTTGTAAAAAATTTAAATACATAGCTTTGGAGAACAAAATCATCCGGGTTTTTGGGGGTACCCGCTTGTATATGTGCTTATAATTGTGTATGCTATTAGTTCTATTTCTCTGGAATCCCTGAAGTAATGCACTGTGCAAATATTTCATTAACCCCTTTCTAACCAAATATAGTTCTTCTGGTTGAAGAAATACTCCCTTCCCGTTGGATCCAGTAAGATAAACCAATAATGAGGTAGCCTGCTCTCTGCCCAGCTGAGGAATTATACTATAACTCAAGCTAGCCCAGTAAATGCTCCCATCCTGGAACTGGAATTTTATGTAGAGGAATAAGTAAAGGTAACAATTTCTTTTCAGATACTTTTTAGTAACAAGTAACTGCTCTCTGGTTCTTGAAGGCTTTCTAGTTTTATCATCATTTTCTGCGCTTCCTATAGTCTTACAATAAGTTAACTTTTGCTTGTTAGCTATAGTTGGTTTCTTCTTCGTGACATCAAAGAACCCTTAAAACTAGTGAATGTAAACATTTTAATATCACATTGAAGGAGAATGCCTTCCTTGGATAAGGGTAGCTGGATGTGTCACCATCACCTGTTTTTATACATGCGAGGTCGGGTTAAACCCGAATATCCATAGTAGCCTGGATGAAGGAGAATCATTCACAAAAAGACCTTGATTGTGGTGTGGTATTGGAGAGGATGAAAGGTAAAAGGTTATTTCAGGCTGTCAGCCTTCCTTAAACTATGGACTACATGGACTATAACAAGAGGGAAATGAGCTCCCGTTCACCAGGTGCAGTGGTACCTTCTTCCCTGACCATTGCCTCTCTTACTTACCTGGCTTTTTCTTTCTCCTCCTTTTGAATTTTTGAAAAAGCCTACTCAACAATGGTTATGACAAATATGAATACCTGGAAGGCATTGCTGACAACTATGTAAATGGGGTGTATGTATGAGCAGCTGTCTTGCTGTTGGCAGGGGTCACTACTGCATTCTAGGAGTTATCGGCAAAACATAAGAAATTTAACTGTACTGTCCCTTCATCCACCCGATCAAAGAAATGGGTTTATAGAAGCAGAGAAACGAGCAGTTTGATTTTAGAGAAATATTATACATATTTACAAGGCCCATCAGTTCCATTAAAATGTTATCAAAAACATTTCCTAGCTGCCTTCCCCCTCCATCCCCGCCATTACCGTAGTCTAGGAACACAAAGCTATTTTACACTTTTTCAGTACCTAGTTTCAAGCCAGATCACTCCATGGCTAAGATCAGTTCTCTCACCTGGATAGCAGGCATAGCAATATCAATTGCAGGATGATGACAAAGATTAAACTAGATAATATATATACACGCAAAGTACTTAAGTCATGTCAAACACTCGTAGCCAGTGGTTATAATATATTTTTTTAACTCCATGATTATCAGCTAAAGTAGGAGAGGGATTACAAATAAACCTGCTTTCTTCACTGACTGTTGCTATTAAAAGGGAATTTCTGAACTTTTGCTAATCTTGGATATCAGAGAACTAGGCATTCAAAGAATGTTTTCCCATAAAACTAAGCACACTCAAATGCTTTTTATGCCAAACAAAGAGCAAACTCACTACCGATGAGTCAATTTCAATTTGTCGTGAGGCTGCAGGGACAGGGCAGAACTGCCCTGGGGTGTTTTCAGACTGGAACTGTTTCCGGGAGTAGACAGCCTCAGCTTGCTCCCTAGAGGGGCAGGTGGGTTCGAATTGCTGACCTTGTGGTTACCAGCCCAATACATAACCACTATGCTACCAGGGCTCCTTAAATGTTTGTAACTGGAGGATGTAAAACATTTAGCAAATGTTTTTTCTCAACCTATACATGATTTTAATTTTTGAAACTTCGTTGTTGAGAATATACAGTGCAAAATGTACTTCAACAAGTTCTATATGTGCAATTCCATAAAATTGATTAAATTCTTTGAGTTATACAATCATTCTCACTCTCTTTTTGAAGCTTTCCCTCAATAACATAAAGCCACCTCTTTCTAAGGTTACTGTCTAATCTTTTGAATCACTGCTGTCAGTTTGAGTCCATGCAGGTCTTAAAAGTTCATAGCACTCAACTCTATTATCAAAATCACAATGAGATGCGTTTTATTCCCAGTAGGATAACTAGGATTTTAAAAATTAGTAATACGTGTTGATGAAGATATGGGGAGATTGGAACAATTTTCCATTGCTGATGAGAATGCAAAATGGCACAACCCTGTGGAAGAGTGTGGTGCTTCCACAAAATAAACCAAAAACTTTCAAAATATAAGTACTGTTGAACCCAGCAATTTTACTCCTAGGTGTATATCAAATTATTGAAAGCTGAGACTAATACAGATATATATACCAATCAGTGTTCATTGCAGCACTTCTCACCTATCATAATGTAAACAATTCCAGGATGGGATCTGCCCTGGATCTAGCAAGCAGCTGTGGAAAGATTCGAGTGAAGTTCAGCACTTTACTCAGGTCTCAGCCTGACGATGTCTCCATGGGGGTATGGCCTACTTAATATACATAAATAGACACTGTGGGAAAGCTGCCCCTCTCGCTCTTCTTGCTGGTCAGAATCCTGGCTCTGTTGAATTTATCTCAAGTTCTTTGCACTTGAGCCACTGGCCTGCCAACCCTGGAAGCTATCAACAGCCCACCCTATAGCCTCCTGACTATGAGAACTGTCAGAGTGTAATATCAGAACTGCTCATCTGTCTCTACATCCACCAGTTGTGAATTTCCTACTTTGTCTTCCCGCTCCATCCTCTTGCTTCCTGGTTCCTCAGCTACCCAAGTCAGGAACAGCCTCTGGCTTAAAGTCTGACACGTGACTTGAACCAGACTGGACTTGATTGCTTCTACAACTGAGTGAGTCATGTTCTTGGTGTAAATTTCTTTTTAAAATATGTGTATGTCACTAGTCTTACTTCTTTACAATCCAGCCTAATACAAAGAGGAAGACCTTGAATAAGATGCATTTACACGGTGTCTTCACAGTAGTGACTGTGAGGGTGGCACAGGACGAGGCAGTATTTCACTGTTACACATAGAGTCACTACAAGTTGGAACTATTCTACAACAACAACATGAAATGTGTGCTCAAAGACGCTACAGAAGAATCATGATCAAAAGGGGGGAAGTGCAGAACAGAATTTCAGATTTTCATAGACTACCCTTGCTAGAACTATGGAGAATGGATGAACCCCTTAAACCAGAGGTTCTCAACCTGTGGGTTGTGACCCTTTTAGGAATCAAATGACCCTTTCACAGGGATCACCTGATTCATAACAGTAGAAAAATTACAGTTATGAAGTAGTAACGAAAATAATTTTATGGTTGGGGGTCACCACAACATGAGGAACTGTATTAAAGGGTCACGGCATTAGGAAGGTTAATAAGAACCACTACCTTAAACTAATGCCCTGCATAACATTTAAACCTTAAACCAAAAATATCCCCTGATGTCAACATTAGTTTTATTTACTAGTTTAAAAAGGTCTGCCTGGAGCCTTATGCTCTTTTAAGAATTATCTATTTGAATGATGGCAAAAAATGTGCAAATGTGCTTGACACGATGGATGGATGGATGGATGGATGGATGGATTGTGATAAGAGTTGTTTGAGCCCCCAATAAAATGATTTTAAAAAAAGAATGATCTATTTGATATCACATTAGACGGAAATGTAGGGCACAGTAAGTTTATGTTAATGGTGAGGAACAGCTCGGATATGGAGCATGGGAATGGTTCCACAACTCAGTCTCTCTAAATTGTACATGTAGGAACTGTTGAAATGGTATAGATCTTTCTGTGTGTATCTGAATAATAAAAAATAAAATTTAGTGAAAAATATTTTTTCTGTTTCCCTGAAGTAATAATAATCATAAAGACCTGATGAGAAAAAATATATAGCTAGAAGCAGATTCTTTTTTATTCTGCCTCATTTAGTTGTTCTTAAACTTCACTTATCACCTGAATATCTGCTCCTCTTTTTTTCACCAGGACTAGGTTCCAAAGCAGCATATTTGTTTCTCCATCTTTCTTTGGTTTCTCTAAGGTAGGCTTGGCAAGATCAGAAAACAGTACATCAACAACAAAGAAATATCTACTTACAGGTTTTTCCAGTTCAATCGTGTAGTTTTTCCCTTTCCTTATCACTTTGTAGTGCTTGATTCTTGGCAGGCTAAAAATGAAACAAATAGTTCATCTCCATTTAATTATACTCTGAGATCAATGCCAAAATAAGTATAAAATATCATGTATTTTCCCATGACTGCTATGGCAAAAAAGTTTCAGTGTTTTTTTAAACCTGTTTTTTCAACTTTGTTCACTATTTCTGCATGTCAAATCAAAACCAACATCACTGTGACCAAGTTGATTCTAACCCAGAGGAACCCTAAGGCAGATCTGCCTCTCTGGGTTTCCAAGCCTGTAATTCCTCAGGGGAGTGGAAAGCCTCATCTCATTCCCATGCAATGGTGGTTTCGAACTGCTGATCTTGCAGTTAGCAGTCCAATGTGTAACCACTACACCACCATGTATCAATTAAATATATGCTCTCCATATTAAAGGAGACAGAAAATAATTAGTGTAAAAAATTATTTTCTACTTAACTTTATCACCAATCCAATAAAAATTATCTCACTATGGTTCTTTTTCATATTAGCTTATATATACCACTATGGATATCTGCTACTTTTCCGGGATGACTTAACACAGTGCATGCAAATGATACTCTACAAACAGGGACAATGGATGATAAGAATAACCCTCATCATCATCATTCACTGCAAAGTTGTTGGAGGAAAGGTGCAAAGATCAAAAGGTCTCTTGTAACTTTTGACTAATAAGACTAAGGTTAGCCAATTGAAACATAAAAAGACCAAGATTACTTGTCGGATAGAGAATCGTGGAAGCCCCAAGACTATAGCCCCTAGTTATCCTTATCGTCTGGAAAAGAACTCACCCTCAGGCCTCAATTTTCAGCCAAACAATAGATAAGTCTATACGGGGAACAATAACACTAGGGAAGCATGCACACCTTAGACAGTGGTTCTCAACTTTCCTCATGCTGCAACCCTTTCATACAGTTCCTCATGTTGTGGTGACCCCCAACCATAAAATTATTTTCGTGGCTACTTCATAACTATAATTTTGCTACTGTTATGAATCGGGCGATCTCTGTGAAAGGGTCATTCGACCCCCAAAGGGGTCGTGACCCGCAGGTTGAGAACCGCTGCCTTCGAATAATCAACCTTTGAGATCAAAAGATTGATTTATCCAAGGACAAAGTTCAGAAGGGTTAGGACAGACAGAAGAATGGAAACAGGGAACAAAGAAGTAATGTTACATCGTGGGGATTGCAATATATTGTTACAAAAAAAAATATATATATATGAATTTTTTATTGGAAAGCACATCTGCCCTATAAACCTTCACCCAATTCACAATAAAAAAGTGTATGTATATATATATGTACACTTTTCTGATATATATATATATATATCTCAGAAAACCCTTTGGAGCTCATTTTTCCTCTAATGTTCATTTTCTCTGATGTGCTTATTTCACTACAGAGCAGGGGAAAAGATTAAGATTTGAAGCAGAGAAGCTGGTGGAAAACAAATTCATCATAGTTACTTAGATTCAACTCTTCTTTTAGATCATATGCTCTTTTCTAATATTTTGTTTTCCTCTTGAAAAAAAAAAGATTGATAAAATTTGCTATGTTTTTCTGATTATGGCCTCAAAAAAAGTTGCCTGTTGTAATGAATCATGAACATGATTTATTATAAATTCTTATTCTTAGCCTCAAATCAAAATTTTTTCAAAGGAATACATTTTAACAGTTTTATTTACATATAACTCATGCACTATACAATTAAATTATTTGAATATATTAAAAAGAATTGGGCAATCAGCACAATCAGTTTTAGGACATTTTCTTCATTATTCTTAACTTTCCCCCAATCTCTCCTACCATAATCCTTAGGAATTATTAATTTAGTTACTGTCTCTATAGATTTACCTATCCTGGATTTCCTATAAAGGAAATCATACAACCTCCCTGCAATAAAAATAACAAAAACAAAATAAAACACAGGAACCCCTCAAGCCAAAAGAGAACAGAGAATAATAAAAACTTGAGCAAATTAAAAATGCAACAAAAGGGAAAACATGATAAGATGTTAAAATTTAACAACTATATCTCCATTAATTCACTTTCCAATCTACTCTGTCTGAGGGCAAAGCTATTCATGTGGCTAGTGGTCTTAGAGAATTCAATGGAGGCTTCATCACCACGGAGATGCTACAAATGGATTTTGGGCTTCCACTGTCATCCACAGCTTTCTGCAAACCAGGTGCTCAGAATTTAAGCTCTAATACTATTCCTTCTCTTGATCTTGGATCTTATTATTTACAATCCTTGGATCACACCGGCTGGCGTGCTTCTGCCATGTGGTTAGCTGATATCTCACATAGATGCTTGTTTTTAAAACAAGCTTTTAAGACTCAAGATGCTATTCTTTCTGATAGCTGAGTGCCATCTGCTTTTTTCCATCATACTTTGCTATAGCTCTCATATCTTCAGTGATCCCTCGATGAAAGTAAGTATCGATTAGGGCCGCATCATAAGAACTGCTTGTTCTTAGGTTTGGGCTTATAGTTAAGTGTATCTTCTTATATATCTATCTTATATATCTTCATATATCTAAGGTTTTTATGCATCCCTAGTCCACTTTCGTGGCAACATTAAATCAGCTTTTTTAGAGATAATCGAAGTGACTTCTATGGAACCTCCAAGGAATTAATTTTAAGTAGGTATTTTCTGTTGCTTTTCAGCTAATGGCTTTCTAAAATGACATCCTACTAATCTGCCACCTGATTGGAACACTTTCAGGCAAACCAACCAAACCAGAAGTTTGTTGTAAGAACACTTTTGATATCGTATGAACTCATACAGGACTGGGTTTATACTTTACACCAAGAGGAGGCACCTGGCAATTTGGCATTGAATGACTTTTGTTTCTTCCAAAGAACTGCCTTCCATCCCATAGCTGATGTTAACAGGTGGGAGGTAATTTTATTTTCAAGTACTGCTTTGTAAGCCAAATTGTCCTTTTCAGCTGGTGTTTTGCCAGACACATTCAGCTAACTTGTACAGCGGTACACTTCCACAGTCTGAGAGAATGAGTTGGTCTTGTGGATAACATAGGTGCTTCACCATAGCCTACAGTTCTACCAATTACATTTTTTATTTGAATTTTCGCTCAGACTGTAGAAGTTACTGCGAAGATAGATATTAAAACAGGCATTCTAAGAGATGTGCATTGAGGCCTACGAGAGCACATGTAACAATCCTTAATACCAGAAATATCTAGTTAAGTCAAGCTCTTGAAATCACAGTTAAAAGTCTTAACCATTTTCCAGGCACAAATTACTCCCTGAAACCCAAATAAGCACATACTGACTCTAGTGTAGAATACTAGAGTGTGATCATTTCTTTTCACTTCTTACTTCCTAGATACGAACTTTTGGGGGAGCCATCAGAGTTTCTCCCCTTGCCCCCCCCCAAAAAACCATAGTTTTTTGTGACCATTAGCTATACAAAAACACGAATTTCAATATGAGTTCAAATCAAAAGTGAGTTTACAAAAATTCAATTGCACAACTTTGATACAAACACCTTTGCTAGGTTCTTGCTCCTGGGTAGATATAAATGCAATACAAATACATATAAGTATAAACCACAAAGTTAAATTAGATCCTAAATGTAGAAACAAATTTGCTTGATTAAAAACCACACACACAGAGCCCACATTCACGGCAGAAAATGTAGTATTTTTCATAGTTCAATTATATGGAAAATGCAATGCAGAATTTCAACTAATTTAGACCATTTTACAAGCGATCCGGAAAAACAGTCTTTAAAGAGCCCTTCAGTCTTGAGATTTTGTTTTTTTCATGCAGAATAGTAACACATGATTTCATGCACATAGATCAAATACTTAATCTGACAGAAATGTAAAACATGAAGAAAATGAGACATTTTTGTTCTCTCATTTCACTTTCAAGTAGATAGATGGTTTCCTTTAAAGTATCTCATAGCTTAAATTTTTATTCAGTTGCATATCCTTTTAAAGTAGAAGTAGAGAAGCATTCTGTACTTTATGTGACCCTCAATTTTCTAAACTCTGCACAGGACAATATCCTTCACAAGCATATGCTGATTTCTTCCAAACTCACTGACAATCATGATAGTCATAACTTCTATCTCTTTGGGGTTTGTCCTATAATCAATTAAATTCTGATTTCATTAAGGTCTAACTAGATAAGCTATTATATTCTATCATATTACTTGAAAATCTAGTGACTGCAGATATTAATCTATAAAAAAACAAAAAATAATAAAGCTATAAAATTAAGTTGAAGCAGACATAAATTGTGTAAAAATACTCTCTCTGGGTCAGAATTACCATCTAACATTCCTGTCATCTGTTGCATATATATGGCCGGCAGACAGACCATTCTGTCCATGAAGAGTGAATGAAGCCCACTGTGTCGTGGGTCATTCCGGACATGTAGTTGCAGGGTCTTGTTTTAATTGTAACCTATAACTTAATGCTTCCTTTTTATTGCATTATTCATTCTCAATGTCAATGTCCTCATACTTAATTTTAAGTTATTGCTATGTATGGGGTAAATTGATGGATAGATTTAGTGACTTTCCAAAGTGTGTACAAATCATAACAATTTCAAAAGCACAAATCATGGCAGGAAGTTTAGTGTCAGAATTACCTTTAAGAATTGACTTACCACAGGGTAAATTTTATTGAAGTTGCTTAGATATGATATGCAGAGAATAGTAACGACAAGAATCCAAGTTCTGTGGATGCATTTATAGGAAAGGTAATCATTTGTTCATGGCCTGAGCTCACTCTTCAGCATTGCTTACATGACGTTTCTTCCCTATTCATATTTTTAGCCTCAACAAAAATGCATAGCAGGTGCTGATCTATATTTATGTGGTTTTGTCTTCCAAGTGATAGCATGTTTTTAACTACTCCATATATTTTAAAAAATAAACATACTCTGTGTCCTGCCGAATAGTGATGGAATAGTTTCCATTGTCACTTCCAGGCCTCAGGATCATATTTCCCAATGAAGGGTTCTTCTCCAGCATCTCCGTGGCTTCTTTCCGGGACACCACATAAAAACATCTACAAAAGAAAACCT